CTTAAAAGCTTTCAGACCTCCATCATTTGTGAAAGCTTGAAGTAGAAGGGTCAGGACTTGGGCCGACGGACGATCAGTGGAAGAACCTGAAAACCTGTTATAATCTGTTTCCTGACCTTCGCAACCACGAAACATACCTTCAATGATCAACGTTGAAACAGAAGTCAGGACGACAACCCAGTAGGCGTAACGGTCCTCAGCACATGCAGACTTCTTTGCTGGCTCGTAGCGTAACTGCTCGAGGCTGGCGTTCGACATTGCTTCGGCAACCAAGTAGGCGTTTTGTCGAGCGTAAGCCTCCGGTCGCCTCTTAGCTACCAAAGACTTGCCCAGGTTCTGGAAGAAAAGGACAACCGCAGATGGTATTTGACTTAACACATAGCGCAAGCTTCTCACGTTCTTGAAATGAGCGGTCTTCTCGTCTTTTTCCATGGAAGGTGACTTTGGCTTCTTTGAGTCAGAAGAGCGGGCATTGCTGCTCGGTAAGCCTGGTGCTGTGGCACGCGAGGGAGCTGAGGTCGTTTCGACATCCCCAGGGATCTCATTCCCATTGTTGAGAAAACCAAAGACCGCATCTGCTTCTTCACTACCCATGCCGAAACCTTTGAAACTTGTACCCATCTTCCATGCGTCGGGAAGTCTCTTGAGTAGTAAGATTTCTTCCCATACGCAGACTCGGTGCAGTAAACCAAGGCTCGTGACAACATTTCGATACTTGTCCGCGAGATTGACCTGACTGAAAGGTGTCTGGCTCGATCGCGAACCGAAGATGGGCGCTGAAAACACTTCGGAGAGAATGCAAGTCAGAGTGTGAACATTCACAAGAGACTTGAGAACCGTGGTCCCAATTGGAGCATAAGGGCCTTCATTTTGATCATTGGTGGGACCCTCTGCCACTGATGTGAACTCAGAGAAAAATGCATATTTCCCAGTGTAGTTGTATAGAGGTTGCAGATCATCCAAAGTCTTCTGTGCGCGTTGGAGCAGAGTGGGGAGAACGAGATGAGGCTTCTGCTCGACCATGATGTGGACAACTTTGCTGACCTCTTCGCCACCTTTTTGCATGTTGAAGTCAAAGGGAAGACTTGGCAATGTCGCGAGGTCGAGTATGAGGTTTGCGCCATTTGCTTCGACGAAAAAGGAGCAAAGCGAAGAGTTCTCGAAGAAGCCTTCGAGGAACCGCATAACTACCTCGATGCGTTGAGCAGTGCTGGGCCCGTTCTTCTCGTCCATCTCGTCCATTGCTTCAGGGTCAAGGACTGCTGTAACCGGATATTCTTCACGAATGGGAGATGCTTCACCCATCACCACATCATCATCATTTTCCACCTTTGGCTCCACGGTAGTGCTTTGTTTGGTGCTTTGGTGCTCCCCCGCTGGCACAAGTTTTCCATTTCCGGCTTGAAGCCAAAGCTTAGCTCCACAGCCCTTGGTCTTCGCTCGTGACTTGCACATCTCTCCAACACGCTCGATCATAGTCATGATGTTGATGACGACGGCCATCTTCAGAGTGGGATGATGTCGCACCAGTTCATCGAAAGAGTTACCTAGCATTCTTAGCAGCTCTGATTCTGTGGGAGATAACATTACTTTAATGTGCTCATCGCTTTCAAAAATCCTGAAAAAGCTATCGATAGCTCCGGACTTTTGAAACAATTCCAAACCAGTGTTATGAAGACAAATGGCACCAAAAGCCTGAGGTACAGCCGTGATCGAGTCGGAGGCTGGAAGGATCTCATGAGTCGAGGGATAGACAGCCTGCCGCAATTCCTTGCAATGATCATCTTTCATGAATTTCGCAATGCCACCAGCGTTTGCATGCGCGACTCCTTGCCTAATGACTTCGTCTTTGCTAATGTAGAGCTCGTAAATGGTCATGGGACTTTGAGGTTTTGAATTCAGAGTGATGGCGTCAAGCAGCCCGCTGCTGAGTCCTGCCTCGGAGATGACAGCATAACTCGTAGGCTCATTATGTATGAAGCTGCTCATGATGTTGATGGCTCCGCTCCAGATGCTCGAGCCGAAGACTTTGGGGTTGGTGATGACGATTTTAAGACCAGCTAGGAGCTGGGGAGAGTCTATAAGGTTTCTGAGCAGTCTGTCAAAGTTCGCTGGGCTATTTGCCATCAAGTGGTTGATGAGCTTGAACAACATCCGCAATGTCTGTTGCTGGAAGAAAGGAGTCTGATAATCAACCACATGGCTGCGATATCCTGGATTCAGACCTTCCCCATTCTTCGCACGTTCCAAGGACGAACGGACCTCGTAGGCAATCAGATCGGAAATTGTATCCAGACCTTTTGAGTTGGCAATCGACTGCAGAGCGTCTCGCACCGTATATACGATTGCATTGAGAAAGCTCAGGATTTTTGGTTGGCTACGCTCTGCTTTGTTAGTCCGAAGACCGAGGATCTCTATGAGTATGTCAAGGAGGCCCGCAGCGATGAGATTTTCTCCGGTCCTAGGTGCAGATGGTGGCAAGCATTCGAGTAATGAGAAGACAGCTTCACGTCGTTCCTCGCTCTCGTCAGACTCAGGTTCTTCGCTCGCCATCTCGGCCACAGCTTTGCGAAGAAGGTAGAATAGCACGCCATGGTTGACGTTGACATTCAAAGCGGCACAGACGTCAGGTGCTTTTGTCTTCTGCTTGGCGAGCGCCTCCAGTGTTCCAAGTGCCACCGTCTGCAGTTTGAGCGGAATACCCGATGTTTCATTGCCCGGCGGATGCACCAAGTCCGCAAGTTGATACGCAATTTGGAATCTCCGTGGTTGATCAGAGTCTTGCTGCAGTATCTTCTGTTGAAACATCACATCTGGATATATGTAGGCTAGATTGGTGATTGCCAGCAAGCGTATCTTCACGAGTTCCTGCCGCATGGAAACGGAGGTGGCGATGGCCTTGGCATTCCTGATCCGAGTCAATAGCTCGTAGTGCGAGTCCTTAGGGAGGTTCTGCAGCCCATCGTTCAAGACATCCTCCACCTGCGAAGATGCTATCTGGGAGTAAGGAATCTCGACTTGTCTCATCCCTCCAACGGTCGGCTCTTCGGACTTTGCATTGGATAGAGCTGTAGATGCTTCAGGAGACTCATCAGAGCTTGACAATCGGCTAGGCCGAGACAAGCCTGATGGTCGTCTTGTAGGGGTAGGGGTCGGAGGCGGCTTCTGATCATCATTCGGTACTGTAGCTGACTGATAGTAGGTCAAGAGGACTGAGCCCCAGTCTTCCCAGCTCGATGAGTGGTGTGCTATTTTCTCTGCAGTGGGAGCGTACTTCGCTGACCCGTTCACCGAAGTCTTCACGTCTTGAGTCAAAGTCGACAAGTCATTGGCGTTGACGGAAACTGAAGATGTTGCCTTCGAAGCATGTCCCTTTTCTTTACCTTTCACTATAGGCGTAGCTGAATTAGCAGACGCAGAGGCCGACGACGATGACTTCGTAAAAGGATTTGCAAGCTTTTGCATCTTCTCAAGATCGATGTTGTAATGTAATTGTAGCAAGCTGTTATTCAGGTGTTGGCTAGTCTGGGCTCCTTTTTGACGAGAAGCGTAATAGCGATGGGCAAGACGAGCTGCAAGTTGGAGAGTGGCGGAAAGCAAAGATAAACTGGTTGTGTTGAGGAGGTCTCCCAGGCGTTCGCTACTGGCATACAAACTTCGATTGCCACAATTTTCCAGCAATTTGCGTGAGAAGTTCAACATGTCCTCCACAAGTTGTCGATCTCCATCTGGTCCGAAGCCCAATTTTTTCAGCTCTGCGTCGTTGGTTGGTGTACCTTTTGCAGCTTCGTTTTCTTCGGCAACGCCTTGAAGCAATAAGACGCATCCAAAAGGCCGTACCTGAGGTCCGACATTGAGGCCATACTCCCGAACGAACTGTTCAAGTATATTGTCGAATCGATTGAAGAGAGGAATCCAGTGGTAAACATCTCCTTTTGGGAATGCCCATCGAATAGGAAAGCTTCTGAAGTGTCGTGGCAGCTGGGATATCGGGAGGATACTTGCTGTACTCACGAACTCCGCTATGGCGGGAGGCTATAGAAATGAACGCATTAGTACGTCGCAGCTAGCTAATTTCATAACGTAGGTGGAGCTATAGAAGTACCAGAGTCTCGTCATGCTTTGGGCCCGCTTCCTTCTTAATTCGCCCCATCGTGACAGCTGAGTGAGTGTAGAACACTCATGTGTATGTCCGGAACCGATTCCGAGCTCCCCGGTGTATGAAGGCGAGTTTCTAGGTTCAAGTCTGATGGTATGATGTGTGATATTGGAGACGCTCAGATGTTTGTTCGGGAGCTGTTGAGGGGTTCGCTCCTGCCTTGTCAGCAAAGCAAAGTGTAAGGTGGTGTTACCCTGAAGTTTGTATGTTGTAGGCTTTCTTATAGTGGAAAATGTGCAAGACGTTGGAACACCAGACTCCACGTCAAGATTCGAAGGAAAAAAGAACGTGTTGAAGATCAGGGAGGTAGGATGGAAAGGCGGAAGCTTGTGGTAGATTGAAGAAAGCTTAGCGGTGCAGGTCGCCGGCTTAGATGTGAGAGTAGTAGATGAGGTTGTAAGATGCTGCCTTGTAACTGAGAGCGGGGTGATGGGTGTGATGAGGAAGGTGAGATGCGCGTGAAGGTGCAGAGCCTTGAGGAGTTTGCTCTAGTAGGTAGAACCGCAAGGTGAAGGACCGGAACAAAGTTTCGATATTCCCGGGTAGAACGCTAGCCTAAAATGGATTTACGATCACTGTTCGTTACGAGTCGGATCAGGGTGCAAAAGAAGCCGAATAGAGAAGTCTATGTCTAATAAGGGCTATCGCAATACAATACATAGTCCGGGTCGCTTTTGGTCCATACAGCAAAGGGACACAAATCCATGCAGGCTCGCTTTTCTACCAATACCCTTCCTCAGACTACAGTCGTCAAGATGGCAGAGAGCTCTTCCGATAGCTGAACATATTCTTACATCAAGGCATAATTTCATCGCTTTCCTCCCGATATAGACCAGTCCAATCACGCTTTCTCCGGTGGCAGATCTCCATCCCACCGCACCTTCATCGTAGTTGGGACAGGAAAGTATCTCGAGTGATCCGCAGTCATATATAGGGTGACGCCTCCTGGGCCGGCAATCTTTTTAATCTGTCCCTGTGTCCCTGGCGCTCTTCTCAGGTTGTCGAGCTTGCCCACCGTCTTCAGCATCGTCATCATAGCTAGCTTGCTCACTCCATACCCCAAACACTGGTGTGGTCCCTGGCCGTAGTGGATATACGAGTCCATGGGTCTGTCGAGCTTGACAGTTTCTGGCTCTGGAAAGGCGAGTGGATCTTGAGATGCTGTGACACAGTCTACAAAGACTTTGTCCCCGGGGATCACATGGACCTTTCTGTCGCCGTCCTGTATGGTTGCCATTGTTGCTACATCGCGATACACGCCAACCGTGGCCCTCATCCTAGTGCCTTCCATGAAATAGCGAAGGATCAAGTCATCGGCTTCCGGGGTGTCGAGCTTAGCCAGCCTATTGATCTCTTTCAGATGTCCGGCATTTTCGGGTTCGAGGTAGAAGTCAAGATTCTGGGCGAACAACTGGGCTTGGTTGGCTATCATACCACCCGCAGTTGGCAAGATTTGAGACCAGATAATGTCTTTCGTCGAGAGGCCGCTCTTGAACAATTGATGAATCATGTGCAAGCCATATTCACTCAGTGCGCTGTGCTTGTGAAAGAAGCCGAGGATGGTATTTAAAACGGCTGGTTCCTTGGCCTCGGGTATGACCAACGTTTCCATTATCTCACCAAGAAGCTGAGTGAGTGTGCGTGCGGCTTGGCGAAGAGGAAAGCTGTTGGCGGGATCTACATCAAAGAAGATGCAGATGAACACTAGAGCCATTAAGCTATAGAGTTGGCTTTCAGTATACACCCCTGTCGGATTCTTCGCCGTCCTCAATGGAAGGCAGAAGACCTGTTCAATGTTGTCAGTCCAGCACCAGAAAGGTCTGGCTATGGTATTGACTCACCTCTGCAGAAAAATGTACTTGAGCTAGATTGCCGACATCTCGAATTATATCAACCTGGTTTGTCCCAGAAACCTTGGAAGACTTCTCGCGGAGAAGCTGGAGCGTGATTTTCTCGTAGAAAAGTTTGACCTCGTCCTCCCACTTGTTGTGGTACAGGGCAGTATCCATCACACGGCGTGATTTGGCATTGACAGGCGCGTCTCCAGAGAGCATGAAATCAGCTCCAAATTCTTTACCACTGTTGTGCATGAGATATTTGATTGCCTTGCCCCAGGTAACCTTGAAATTCTGCTGATTTTCGAGAGTGGATTTACAAGCAGCGTAAGATGTAATCAGCGTTGGCTGTTGTATGGGAGCTGGTCTGCCAAAGTCGTACTTGTCCACCTGTTCAAGCTTAGACAGAATGACATGGTTCTCTTCCGGGACGACCAAGGGGTAGTGCGCGTAAATCGAATTTGGCTGGAAATGATTTGGGAATGCTCTCAGGAAGAGCTTGTAGAACACATGGCCATGGTCCACTGTCACATCCGACGAGGCCTCGTGGAAGCCCCAATTGGTCAGGTTATTGGGGGTATAGTCGACTGTGTAAAATCTGTCTCCACGTATGAGGGCCACAGCATCAGAAAGTACAGCTCTAGAGATAGTGTAGTCGGTGCAAAGGCCACTGCCAGCTTCGAAATCCGTTAGAGGTTTAGCCTCTTCAACTACCAGACCGGGATATAATTCGACGAGGTCGGGTTCATCGTAGAAGTGCTTGAGCGCATCAGCAATTTTTGGATCACTGTTGATACTTTCGAACGATGTGTGCTTTTCCAAGTTGAAGAAGGCTCGAAACTCGTTAAGAGTAGCCAAGTTCCACGATCGTGCTTGTTTGATTCCGAGGATCTCGACGGCTTTGAGAATGGCCGGAACGTTTGTCGAGCCAAAAGCACCAGCCACGTCTTCGGTTCCGTCGGCGAGAATTTTGACCAGTGCATCGTCATCCAGACTCCCATCTGCGGAACGCTGGAGGTTAGCGAACGGGCGTTCTTGGGGATCGGAGGAAAGGCCAGATTCCCATATGCCAAGGCCTGTGAGAAATTGTGTCATGTTGACTTGGCTTGGGTCTTTCCCGTCAAATAGTCTCGCATACTCCTCCTGGGTCCACCTGTCATCCTTTTCGGATACGCATGCGTGCCATCGGTAGACGAGGTTGAACTCTGCAGAGACTTGATTACCTGGAGTACCATTGGCGGTCGGGCCAGTAAGTGTGACTGTCCGAGGGTCAAGATCCCAGTCGCTGTCGGTCCTGTTGAGATTCAATATTGTTCTTACGTAGTCTTTCAGAATGCAATTGACGTATAGACCACAGTTGATAAGACGAGCAGTCTGGAACAGATCGTTATCGTATTTGGTGTAGGCTGTCTTGTCTGCATCATCTTTGGGTTTTGCGAATCTATCGGCTTCGTTGATTGACGCAAGCTGGTCCACCACATAGTTGTGGAAGCGATTAAACATTATTAGCATAGCGCCAACCCCAGGTGGAAATCCCAGAATGCGCTTGTTGCTGAAGCAGTCAGATTTAATTTTGCCGTCCTTGAAGGTACGCATCGCATCCTGCTCCGTCTGATCGCAACCATACAGGGGCGCCAGATCCAGATATGAAGATGTCTTCGTCTTGGTAGTGTCCCAGCGGTCCGTACGGAATAGATCATGTATGATGATAGATGCGAGATAGAAAAGCATGCTGGAGAGCTTGGCAGGATGAGGCTTGAACCGGTCCCGAGCCATCAGATTGTCGAATAAATCTCCGGGATCCGGAAGGTCTGCATTTTGCACGGTCTGCGGACGCACACTGCGGGCATAATGGGTATTTGCAGCTCCTACTTGAGGAGCCATAGTGTTATTGAATGAGCCATCGGCGGCTCGATACCTGTATTCGTTGCCAAGCTGTGCAGGTGGAGGGTGCTGAAGATTATCGTACAACTGCTGGACAATCTCATTGTTGAGTATACCGGCCTCTTTGTTATTCGCCGGTAGCTCGCTTGCCAACTTTAAGAGCCTTTCCATGAGGTAAGTCTTGTCGTTCACAGGATCACCGGTCAATGTGGACTTAGCCTGAGCTATCAAGGTCGAGACATCGCCCGGCCGTAGATTTACCAGGTCCGTCAGAAGCCCAGTGGGCTTTGTATTTGCAATGTAAGATCCATCGCCAGTCTTGGTTGGCAGGGGTGCTGTAGTAGCCTTGATCACGCCGACCACGGATTGAAACGCGTCTTCGACCTTCTCGCGGAAGGTGGCATGCTGCTCTGGAGGCGTGGCGGGCAACTGTGATTCGTTGGCTGCCATCTTTGAAGTGCCTGGAACTTCGTTACAGGTGGAGTTGTCCTGGACGACAATGGGATAACGACTTGATGGTGCTGATTGGTCGGGGTTTATGTATAGGAGTATGAAGAGTGCCGGCTATAGGACAGAAGGAAATGTGAGAGATCAGAAGGTAGCAGAGATATATAGAGGTCGACCTGTGGGTGGAGCAGGTGTCTCCTCGCTGATGGAAGACAGGTTTCGGTTTTGCCGCTAGCAATGAGTGGATGTTTTCACGGTCTATAAAATTTCTGGAAATCCTGAAGATCCTGGGGAATTCAGGGTGCGGAAAGCAGTGACTGTGTATGTATATAGTTGAGATATTATAATATTAGAGGAGATGCACCGCGAGGGAGGAAGGGGGCTTTGGAGTTCGGATAGTCCGAGCTTGAGGAAGCCTTTTAATACTTAGCTGCTGAAGCATTGACGGAGCGCAGTACACATGTATCAAGCTCCGCATCTAAAAATATTACAAGAAAGCCGTTGCGTCTATTGGGCGTCAGCTGGAGTAAGCGGTAGCATCCAGTGGAGACGTTTTAGCTACGCCGGATACCCCTGACACCACAGGATAATCGAATCGACGCTCTCACCACCATCATCAGCAGAACGGCTAGATTTCAGCATGCGGCAGCACTGGTCTCGTCCGAAGCTAGAATCATAGAATGCACAACATACTTCAATGTAATGGCTCGAATGATGCGGCGTGACCGACCAATGCAGCCAAAGGAGCTCAGCCTCAAAAGCTGGAAAGCCTCGGCTTGCAATCTCACTGGTTGGCATGTGCCTTTTGTGAAGAGGCAAAGCGGTCGTAGACCATAATCTGTTCTAGTGCGCAAGGATAATGATGATGCGCAGCAAAGTAAACATACGAAAATACGACCATCGTAACGACGATGGGCGGACAACGTTTCAAAGTTGATGGTGTAGTCTTTGAAGCTGAGTGGCTGAAGATTACGTGCGAAATTAAGATTGCCCTGAAGATCCGCCTTGCTCCCTGGAACGAAACGGCGCTTCTTCTGCGCTTCGGCCCCCGTAGCTCTGGTCTTGGCGCGCCATTTGTTCCATACTTCCCAGACCCACACAGCATCAGGAGCCTCCACTTCATACTCTTCATCGTACTCTTCATGACACCGTACCCTTCATTCTGCAATGAGACTTTTCCTCATCCGCCACGGTGAAACAGTCGATAATGTAGCCCAAGTATAGTGAGAGTCTCTGTCTCTACGGCCAGATCTCTGTGTGCTAACGCCATCTAGTGCTGGAGTCAAAGACTCCGCCCTGACCGTCCATGGCAATCTGCAAGCTGAACGATTGGGGAAATACTTTGCGGAGAATGGGCTACGTTTCAGAAGAATATTTTCCTCTGACCTGCAGCGTGCTTTGAAAACTGCAACTGCGATACGCCTGGCACAGCCCCTGCCTGACTGTGATGCGGCACCTGAGGCAAAATTACAAGTCACTGCGCTTACGGTCTTGCGGGAGCAGGACTTCGGATTCTACGAAGGGAAACCGTTTTATGCCCGTCCTAAGGATTCTACTAGGTCAGGAAAGGAGAACCACCGATCTCAACATCAGGATGATCCCGACTTCAAGGATGTCGAGTCGAAGGAGTCGATGGCTTTGAGGATGTCGAGATTCCTTCACGATCATCTAGTGCCCGCCATACGGAGTGAATCAGTGGAGCTCACCAGCGACATTGTGGTCGTATCCCATGGGATAATCTTGTCCCAGCTATGGAGATGCTTACTCACGCTCCTTGCAAAAAATAGCATCACTCTATCTCAAGGGCTCTCTGTGGGCACTGGTGGCATCACGCCCCTTGAACATCTTGGCGGATGGTCAAACACCGGTTACCTGGAGCTAGACATTCTGAAGAAAGAGTCAGCCGCTACAGGCGAGCTGGCAATATCTACTGCTGCGCCGCACACTTTTAATTCATCTAACGCCGACAACGACGCGTCTTCACCATTACACCAATACAAGGTTGTCATCAAGACCGTTAATGGAAAAGAGCATTTGAAGGGTCTAAAGCGCACCAGGGGTGTTGGCAGCTCAAGGTTCGACGAGAGCCAAAAATCCATTGAGTCGTTCTTCAAGAAGAGGAAAGTGTGAAGACTATTCGCAGACAACCAGTCAAAACTCACACCGACAGACGACATTTGGGGCTCATGGATTTGAGACAAGAGCAAAACAGGCATTGATGGCGTACAGCGGTCTGCTGGCGTGGAGGTCCGCGGAAAGATATCACTCGTTTCCATCGAGACCTTGTTAGCCAACGCTGCTCAGCTCCAGCCGACTGCACACGCTGACACCAGCAACCATATTATCAATCGTATGGCCACTGCAAAGCCCCACTCAGCCAATGAAATACCCGGTTGACGGATGATAGAGCTGCTATAAGATTTAAGGATGTCGGACTTCCAAGGCATATGAGGGTCGTGGTAAGCTTACCCATATTACTATCTTCATCTCCTTCCATTTTCCATGATGAAGCACCTTATCACATATCACAGACCTGATCGGAAATATCATGTCGAGAAAACTATTGTACCAACTGCTGTCTGAGGACAAGGATCATCATTAGCTCTACTACTGCTCTTGTATAGAAGTCGGCTAATGTAGGAGAGGAGTATACAGAACAGTGCAGCCATAATTTCGGCAGAATGCACGCAGAGGAGTGGGGAAAATTGGAAAACCCGCAGGGTTTGACTATTTTTGTGCTTTGCCGCAGGCATGGTACTGGACTGCGATGCCACATCCTACGGGGACGTTGGATAATTACTCTCATGATTCAAATAGAAGAATCCGAAAGCTACTCTTCATACGAGATGTGGCTTGGCTGATAGCGTAGATATCATTTAAAGATTCTCTTTCATTTCGATAAATAAACGCTTTCCCAGACATTATCCCACCAACATGTTTCGCTAACAAGCGCATTGACATTAGGTTTCTCTTTGTCTTCGTGAATTGCATCGTGTATAGCCATTGTCTGGTATACAAATGGAATCACTAGCCAGGGTATTCCGAGGTCCAACACCGAATCTACCACGTTCCGCTGAGAAGACCCGAGCTCTGCACACGACAATTATCACTGCATAATTCTGCCGTGCACCTCGATGTTCAAAGGACTCCTCTCTTCGTGTGAAGCACTCTAATGAGAGTCCTTTCCGAACCTTGAAGTCTTATTCAGAAAGCTTTTCACCGTCTTGTACTCGTCAAGTCTGTCAGCGGCATCTTCACCTTGCAGCTATTCGCGTACAAGAATGCGCTTGGGAAACGGTGTCATCGTCATCACAATACAAACAGGATACACAGATCGAGATAGCTCGAGGCATGAAAATTTGCAGGCCAAGGACTGCATTGCTCGTATCGCGCGTTCTGCGCTAGCGAGCACTAGCGCGGAACCCCCCTTCTTTCCCCCACGGAATGTCTTGGCAACGGCTTTTCTGCACCAAGATTTCTTCATCTTCCGCCTTATTAATTAATAAGTCTGACCACTCGTCGACACGGCGACACCGCTACGCAACACGAAATGCCCACTATTTTCCAAAAGTGGCAATTCTATCGATAGGTACCAAATAGAAGCTGATGCCAGCAGATCCTCTTTTGCAGATCTGGGTGAAAACCAATTGCAAAGAGACGGCCGCATTCGCTGGCCATGCAGAAACCAAGGCACAACAAGTGTGCAACATGCTGGCCCAAAAGCGCGCAAAAAAGTACCATACACAAAGCATGGGAGTATCCATGTTTCTTCTCGGTGTGCGACTTCCCATTTGTCTTCGTTTCCTGTTTCCCACCATGTTGTCGCGTCCCCGCCACCGCCGTGTTTAGGGAGGCTGGGACCGCCAACCACCTCCCCGTGAACCACATATTTGATGTCATCTTCTCCTCTTCTTCACATTCCTTTTCAATCCTACACGCACAATCTCTAGTCTCTCGTTTTCCCTTCAATTGGTCTTACAATATGTTCTTCACCATAACTCGTCTAGGCCTCGCTCTCTCAGCTCCATCCCTCATCCTCACACAGTCAGTCACCACCTACTCATTCACCGCAAATGGCACTCCAACCTCCCTCGTCTTTACAATACCCACCGTTCAGACAACGACTGTCACATACACTCAAGCAGCCTACACAATGACCCTCACACCAGCACCTATGATTGAAACACATACCTTCACCATCACAGCACCTGCACCCGAAATCGCATCGATAGAAGGCGCAATACCTCAGTCCGTTCAAGTGGTAGCGCCATCTGTTGCGCCAGGCTCCGTGGTCCCAGTGGTGATACATGGCTATACTGCATCAGTGCAGATACCCGCAAGCGCATCGATCCCAGAGGGCACATACACACCTTCGCCAGTCCATATCGATGCCGCAACACCGGCCGCAGTGTCAACTGCAGGAGCTGATGCTTCCCAAGCTGCCGCCAACGCTCAGTCGGCAGCGTCAGAAGAGGGCGCCGTGGCTTCGAATGTTGCCGGAGACACCAATACACTTGCTACAGGTGCTGACCCTGCCGCTACCGCCGCCGTCACCGTAGCTTCGAACGCTGTCGCAGACGTCAGCACCGCCGTTACTGGAATCCCAACACACGTTCCCATACCCATCGTACCCCTCGTTCACGCCTCTGCCGCTGTCCAGAGCGCCGATGCCTCAGCCTCAGAGGCGGCCTCTAATGCCGGTACTGGCGCATCTTCTGCAGCCAACGGCGCTGCCTCGGCGGCTACTGAAGGGTTTGCGTCCACGGCTTCTGTACCAAAGGTAATTGTGGCGGACACGACATCTTTGCTCACGCCTACTCCTATTATCGCGAGTGTCACCTCTACATCAGAAGGTATGGTGACCTCGACGACCTCAACTACTGATACCACTTCGACTACTTCGAGCTCAGTAGCTGCCCCCTCCAGCTCTTCCGCTCCAGCATCTTCGAGCTCGTCATCAACTGCCCCGGCGCCAAGCACGAGTAGTACCGCGGCGCCGAAATCGGGTGCTATGGGAAGGAAGGTTGCTGGAAGCTTGCTGGGTGCTGTAGCCGGGTCTGTCGTATTGTTGCTCTTTATTTGAGGAGATGGGCATATGGGAGGTGAAAGGACATAATGCGATGATACCATTTTGCGTACTGGAGTTTGATTTTCCAGGGACTGTTTGAGCAAGGGGCATGGCGAAAAGGAAGACTTGTGGCGTACGTTTGATTCTTTCACTGTGGATATGAGCGCATGAGATATATGCAAACAGGACGTTATGTTTATATATTACAATCTAATACACCAACTCCCATGTAATCGCTTGCTGATGCTACAATCATGGAATTCACTTCGCTCCAACTTTTCATCAAACACAAGTGCCCTTGCGGAGTGAAGCCCACTAAGTCGCTTCTGAAACGGTAACAACATGATTGTAGGTGACAAAGTCATTGAACCCAGCCTTGTAGCACCCTTAAGTGAGGATATATTTCCACACATCATTCCTCGCGCCGCACTCTTCCTGCCACCAAACTCAACCGGTAATCATATTCCCCCAATCCCATGCCTACCAAATCCCAGGCAACATGCTGAACCGCTTCTTCTGATACTTTTCCCCAAAATCCTTTCTGTACCTCATCTCTTTCTTCTTCGCCCAGACAGCCATCTGCGCAGCCGCTACTACTGCGAATAAAACCGTACTCCAGCTCCACGATACTAGCGCTATTCCCACCCATGCCAGCGTTTCGAACATGTAATTTGGACATGTCACTAATCCGAAGGCCAGACCTTGCGGAATTCCTCTTTCCGCCCCGCCTGAAGAGCGGAGGTTTCGAAGTGTCACGTGGTTGCTCAGATTTCCTAATTCCCCGATTACAAACATCGCTAGTCCAGGGTATGTGATCAAGGGACTCGACTCTTGGGCAGCGGGAGCAGAGGGGAGGTAGATCCAGTAAGCCATATTTAAGCCTGACAGGAGCCAGTAATGGGCGCTGTTTTTGAAAATGTTGGAGACGGGCATGGTGGCAGAGCTAAAGCGGTGGATGAAGAGGGTTTCGAGTTCGCGTTTGGCGAAGTGGAGACAGACAAGTGTGAGGGAAAAGGTTTGTAGGTAGGAGGGACCGGAGCCGTTGGATGTGGAGGGGAGGATGAGGTAGAGGAGGGGGTGGATTATGAGGGGACCTAGGTATTCGACTGGATGGCGTTGCTGTTAGCATTGGTACCTAAGGGTGCCGAATTGAGATTGTGATGATTGTATACCTAAGAATACAGTCCGCCACGCTATTTGTGGTCCCAGATCTTTGACATAGATCGTGCTCTGCTCCCGCAACCCAGTCGAGTTGATAGAGAGGTCTTTGCTATTGGGGACGAGGGAGCCATCGCTGCCTTTCGTGACGCGAAGGCGGTGGATGGTGGTGCCGGCTTTGAGGGCCAGTTGGTGGTAGAGCTCGGAAGTAGGGCCATTGGTTGGTAGGGAGACTTCTTCGGGGAGCTTCTTGACCGGTCTACCTAGACCTCAGTTAGATTTTGGAGGGTATGTGGGTGAGTGCTGGCAGTTGCTTACCTCGCGGCCGCACGGCGAGGGTCAGCTTCTGAGCAGCCATTGTATCTCTATAAAAGAGTCAGGAGAACTGCGGACAATTGGGAGAACATTTAAACCTCGTTGAGCATTCAGATCTTGACCCGCCTGCCAAAGCTGAAAGGCCTGGAATTTATGTCAAGAAATGTGGAGCTAGCAGAAGCGCGCCAACGCATCGCTTCCCCCGTTCGTCAATTGTGCTGCCAATCGTCGAACTGCCCTCCATGACGAACAAACAACCCGAGACTGAGGCTGGCAAAGGGGAGGCGCGCGCACAAATGGATTGAGGATCACCATAAGTATGCAAAAGCAGTAGCAGTTCCTAATAGTCGGGACCATGGACGTACAGCCTTGATTGAATCGCTCTGGGAGATTGAGAATGCCCCGGGGGAAACCAAGCTGATGAGCAAGACATTGCAGATGCCCGTCACGAAAGGAGACAGGGTTGAGCCTTCGGCCATGGTCTGGGGGTAGAACGCACTGGACCCGAGTCGGAGGGCACGACCTCGTGGATAAGAGTTGGGAGTCACCACCGCTAAACAGCGAAGGGTTCACTACATGTCCACAAGCACGACACTCTTCTTTCTTCCTCATCTTCACTCGAGGCTTGGGTTTTCTCCCCCCCTCTCTCTCTCTCTCCCTCTCTCTCTCTCTCTCTCTCTCTCTCTCTCTCTCTCTCTCTCTCTCTCTCTCTCTCGCTCGCTCGCTCTCGACCACCACATATCATGAAGTCAGAAAGGTCACACCACACTTTCAGTCCAAAATCTTCATTGAATTGACAGGTACTCCATTGCTGGCTTTCAGTGTTCACCAACTCATCTACCTTTGCTAATCAAGTCCGAAAGCCTTGCTTCAATATTTCCTTTGATCTAGCACCTCCATCCACGCTTTTTATATCTAGGCTCTGCCGTACGGCACCTTCTCCTGGGCTTGTACACTGGTAGGGACTGCCGCTCTCCAGACATTGCTTGTTCCCGTACTGTTCTCCATGATCTTCTCATGGCAAGGATCTAGTCACTCGCTTATATCTTCGCGCCTGCCAATCTCTTACCTCTTGTCACTTACCAATTTCCCATACCTTCGTTGAAACATAGGCTACATACAATCAGGCTTTTACATGCTGTCCATTTCGCGGTTGAGATTACAGACTCGAGCACCGCTATTTCGGACTCACATGATCCATATTCAGTCACTCCCCCAAAGCACTCCTCCAGACGCCGACGAGCATCACTACACCGCATGCTAGTCTACGTTGACTTCGATTTCTGAAGCTTACCTGTCCTTTATGGTTTCCAATCCTGTCTCTGACAAGTATCTTCACAGATCGCTCAATCAACGCGCCGGCCCTCACCTGGCCCCAGTCGTGCCAGCTGAAAATCGCGACACACCGCACCTTTCGCAGTGGCCGACCTTAGACTCTGAACCTCTTGCCGTACGTCTCAGATAATCTTGCTCGCTGATCATATGTTGGGTTTGTCGATATCCTTGGGCCAACTCGGCGTCATCTTTACCAAAAGTAGGGATCCTAAAGATGAATGATTTCTGCATGTGACTCCCGTGTATTGAAACCAACTGCGAACACATCACAGGCCTTGATTCACCGCAAGTATAACTCCACCTCATTGCACCTCAACCTAAACCTTCTCTCGCCTTTCAAGATGGCCTGCACGGAGAATACCCCACCGCCTAAGGACCTTCAAAAGTGGTACGATGAGCTATATGCAGATCTACCAGATCTGCCTGATGCTTTGGAGGAATCCTTGAGGTCGAAATACAATTTCCGCATAGGTGTTCGGGAGAACAACAATGTTCCCATTACATATCTCGACCAGGACGACAGTGGTACCTTCGATCCAGCTAGCAAAAAGCCACCAGAATGCGTGGTTATCAACAGAAAAAAGCGGGAAAGGAGAGAGCGCATCGATGACGGGACACCCAAGAAAGTCAAGACCAATACTTGGCAGGGAGGAAGACGGACGGGACGTCAACTTCCAGTGGTGCTCAAATTCACCTCTGAAAATGGACGAGCAACACTGAAGGACTTCGGAACTTCACTTGACAACTGGCCAGAGCGCTTGCCGGATCCAGATAGCAGAGATGATAGCCCGATTGACTGGCTAGAATTCCAGGCCCAACCATATGATCTTCGCGAACGTAGGAGATGTGATCTTTCGAATCCTGCAAATGCGGCTTGGGATGATGACCTCCGTTTGGAAGACATAACGCTAGGCTACCCAGCTTACCGAGGATGCAAAGGCTGCTTTGACTGGGGATTCCGTTGCCCCTTGCTGGACGAAGGGTCCAGATACCCATGCGCAGAATGCGCTGCTGACGATGCAGAGTGCGAACTCATTGTGGAACCGGCTGTGAAGCGCACGTGTGAAGAATGTCGTAACCGGAGACAGCAATGTTCTTACAGAGAAAAGGGAGACGACCATACTAAACCATGCCAGCAGTGTGCCAATGCTTCTCGAAAGTGCGTGGCGGGACCGGCAAGTGGAAGGACAAGGACCGGGCCATCACTGGGCCAAGGTGCCCCTCGACCCCGAAAACAAAACGCTCAACCCCGAAAACAGTGTGCTCAGACCCGAAGATCAAACGTTGGCTGTACCCAACGACTACGAGACAAGGAATTGTGCTCGCACATATCTTACATGGAACAGGCAGAGTGCGGCTATTGCTGCAGGGGAGGTACATCCTCTACCGTCGAGTCACCGGAATCCCAAGCCCCCATGTCTAGCAAAGGGAGGGAAAAGGAGCATGAAATCTGTAGCCACAAGCGGAGCCAGCCTGCGGCTGCAGAGTCAACGAAGTCGAATCGATACCGGACCATTACTACTAAGCTTGCCCACCCTATCCATTTCAATTATGCATATGATGATGGTGAGGGAACAGCGCCGTGTCACTGGTGTGAAGATGCGATTTACGGGATCCTTGGACTTGGGGAGGTTGAAGTTGGAATCTTTGACAACGAAGACGGTCAAGGCTTCATTGAAATCGTGGACGGCCACGCAGCAACGTATGGTCATAGCCGTATGTGCGAGTTTTGCACAACTGATCGCCTCAAGATTACCGCTTGCAAAAATCATGAAATTGAGCCCATCGCGAGCATGGACCCAGACAAATTCGACTACAAAGGGGTTATGGAGTGGATGATGCCAGGCATGGCGTCGTTGGCGCCGTTTACATGGTGCTCTATATGCCCTAGCCCTGCGTTCTATTGTTGCTCCGCGAAACCAGATATCGATATGATTGGGCAAGAGGAGGATCTCTATCTGGGGGATCAGAAAGGGTGTGGCTTATTGTTATGCGAATCCTGTGCTGTCACCTTGATTGGCGGGCACGAAGGAAAGCTGGACAGACTGATTGATAGCCTGGAAAAGGATGGAGAAAATGGAGGGTTTGGAATACGAGCGGACGCAAACTTTCTACATTCAAAAGGAGAGCTTCTGCGGAGGATGGGACTGTTTTAGGCACGGCTCCCGTAACCCTCACAACTCATGCTCACCATGATGTAGCCCCCCCTCCAGCTCCGACTATGACAGGAAAGCCTGCTCCCAGATTCGACCAGACGGGAGAGTTCATGGCTGGTACTGGGAAAACAAGGTGATGACGAGCCAGGGATGTTCAAGGAAGAAGAGTAGTTGAAAGATTCAAGGTGGAGGAAAATGAGAGGTTGAATCACGTCCTGGATTCCAGAGACTGCCATTCGGTATTTGTCGCAGCGATGGGCTTCGGCCCCCAGTGGATGCTCACCACTCTTAATTGTGCAATGAGCCTCCTCTATCGACATTTGCTTCTTAAGCATTCTGACTTCCCACCTGGTTCTCTTTGGGTCTCGCTCACGTCGTCAAAAACGCTTCCGACGCAGCGAGGCGGGAGTTGAGAGGCTTTTATATGTATCCATAGATTTCGATCGGTAGTCAGCAAATTGAGCAATCTACGATCGCAAGTCTATAATTGAATCTCGTGATTGGATGTGTCCGGTTACTTTGTTAGGGACGAGGGTCGGTGTCATGCCGACTTCTTGAAAATCAAAATTGTCGAAAGTCGAACTTTGAAAATTTCTCAACGGCCACCATTTACTTCAAAGGCTTCAAAATTCCTAGACGTTATTCTTCAGATAGTGAGAAATACTCAGTATTAATTTGAATATTTCAGCTCGTGTATTGGTAGAGGTTTACATTGTTTAAGAATGCTAGCGCATATCTGAAGTCGGCAACCTCTTTTGACCGGGAGTGAGGGTCCAAGGAGTCTGCTAGAGATTTTTGCGGCGACCTAGAACGACCGTTGTGCAACCTTGGCAGCTCCCTTCAGGCGCGTTCCCCAATTTAAGCGCGAAAGAGCAATGACCAAACAATGAAACCGATCACAAAAGGAAGGCCTCAAGCCGGATAATTCGATGAGGACGAGGTTGGCCTATATACTGTCATGATTCTCCGGTACAATGCCCGAGCTCTCCGACTTCCAGGCCGGGCAGACGGTCGAGCTCTCAACCGGCGTCAAAGCAACAGTACAATTCATCGGTAACACCCACTTCGCTCCTGGGGACTGGATTGGGATAGAGCTTGAGAACGCTTCCGGAAATCATGATGGAGCTTTGCAGGGGCAACGATATTTCGATTGCCCGCCGGGACATGGCTTGTTCATCAGGCCTTCCGTTCTCAAGATCGTCGACGAGTCTACCCCGAAACCAACTGCACGGCCAAATGGCAAGGCGAATGGGGCAGCGAAAAATGGGAGACCGCCGAGTTTGGCTGTTGGAGGGGCCAGAAGGCAGAGTGTCCTGGATCCAGCGGCTACGAAGAGGCAGAGCATGAATTCTGCGAGCCCCACGCCTACAGCGAGGTTTGGACCTGTGTCAAGGTTGGGGGCAAGTGCTTATGGAGAGACTCTATGACTGTGTATACATGCTGACTGATCCAAGTCTCCGAGCAAATCTCCAACCAAGCAGCTCGGCTCGTCCACCTCCTCTGGTAAGTCTATTCCAGGAACCACCACTGCTCCGAATACAGCCCGGAAGTCCATTCTTCCTCCTACAAAACGGACTTCAATGGGTCCTCCATCTAAGGCGCCTCGACCTTCTATAGCAGGCACCGTGAACGGCTTGGCGAGACAATCCAGCCAGACATCTCCATCGTTATCTCGAGGACCTTCGAATATGTTTTCAATGCGGTCGGCTGCAAAAGAAAAGATTGATTCAGTCAGTGGTGAGAGCCAACACAGCATGGACAGTATCCATGAGTCACCCGCAGATTCTCCAGAGCCGGAAGCGCTCTCATCGCCGCCAGTGTCTGAGTCTTTGGATGATCGTTCAAAAGCGACGGCCATTTCGCCATTGTCCCAAGCTTCAGGCGTCAGCCTTCCTACATTGAGTCGGGGAAGATCTCCGCCTTCTACGAGCCAACGCCCTCCGACTGCAGGCACTGCTTCTCAAAGGGAGGTGGAAGACCTAAAAACCAAGCTACGACTGATGGAGAAGAAGCGCATGGAGGACAGAGAGAGATTGAAGACACTGGATAAGGTTCAGGCGGATCGAGACAGGTTCGAAGGAGTCATACAGAAAATGAAGTCAAAGTACCAGCCGCAACAGCAGGAAATAGCGGAATTGAAGAAACGGCTCAAAGAGATGGAGGCAAGATACCAGGCTCTAGAATCACAGGAGGCAGAGAATGACACGATTAACGAGATGGCTACTCTGGATCGAGAGATGGCCGAGGAAACAGCGGAAAACCTGAAGATTGAACTGGACTCGCTACGGCAAAAACATGAAGAGCTGGAGCTTGAAGTTGAGGTGCTTCGAGAAGAAAATCAAGAGTTGGGTAAGGAGATGAGCCCAGAAGAGAAGACAAGTCAGGGTTGGCTCCAAATGGAGAGAGACAAGGAGCGCTACCGAGAGGCTTTGATGCGACTGAGAGACGTAACACAACAACAGGAATCAGACCTAAAGGACCAAGTTGCTGAACTAGAGCAAGACCTGGAAGAGCTGAACAAGATCAAGACCGAGAATACACACACAAAGGCGAAGCTCTCAGAGTCGGAGATTACGCTTGTGGAGTTGCGTGAACAGCTGGATAGTGCCCTTGGCGCCGAAGATATGATCGAGGAACTCGCAGAGAAGAACATGGCCTTGACTGAGAAGGTGGATGAATTGAGGCAGACCATCGAGGACCTTGAGAGCTTGAAGGAGCTCAATGACGAGCTCGAGATCAATCGTACGGAGACCGAAAAGCAGCTACAAGAGGAGATCGACTATGATGAGGCCTTGCTTGCTGAAGAAGCCAGGAAGTCGGCTATTCAGGACGGGACGATCCAAGACCTTGAGTACACAGTCACGCGTTTCCGGGATCTAGTCACAAACATGCAAAGCGATCTTGAAGATATCAAGGCCTCACAACAGATCTCGGAGACGGAAGCCAATGAGCTGAGCAGCCGCTCCAGAGCGATGATGGATCTCAACATGCGCTTACAAGTCTCTGCATCGAAAGCTCAAGTCAAAGCTATTGATCTCGAACTTGGCAAGATGGAAGCCCAGGAGTCTTCGGAGCATCTAGCAATCGTGCAGCTATTTCTACCTGAAACTTTCAAGAGTGAACGCGACTCGGTACAAGCACTTCTACGCTTCAGACGAATTGGTTTCAAGGCAAACATAATGAACCATTTCATCAAAGAAAGAATGCATGGCTCAGCAACGCCTGGTCAGGAGGATGACCTTTTCACGTGCTGCGGTGTCCTGGACAAGTTGACTTGGGTCTCATCAACGTGCAATCGCTTTATCAGAAACATAAAGACATGCGATCTTGAAGCTTTCAGGAGGCTTGGTGGTGCTTCGTACGAGCTTGAGCCAGTAGAACGTGCCTTTAATGTGTGGGTTGACGACCTGAAAAGAGACGAGCTCAAAGTCGAGCAATGCGCCATGGAGCTGCAGCGGTCCGTTTCACTCATGTCGCATCTGGCCGAAGTGCACATCGGCGAAGACTTGGTACACTACGCCGATGAAGTCAACATGCGGGCCACAATGATGCAAAGCTATTTGGAAAACTCTACTACTGCACTATCTCATATTAAAACAGTGTCTGAGGCTAACGTTTCTACAACGAGCATCGAGAGCGATGAAGAGAATACGGACCAGGAGGAATTCTTCCGAAAGATGGACGCGCTGATTTCGCAGACGCGCAGCGCAAAAGTCATCAGCAGTAAATCTATTCGTCAGCTGCAAGATTTGAAATCCAGATCGCTTACTCTTGAGCCTTCGACACTCAATACGGTAGAGACAGCCCAGAATGCTGCTTCTGAGTTCGCCTCCTTCACCTGCACGGCAGGCATGTCCATACTGCAAGTCCTCACCGAAGAAGCTCGCAATGTTCCAGTCACGTATGAAGTCTTACTGGATCAAACGCCATTCGCATCTTTAGCCGCAAAGCTGCACTCTGCTACTGGACAGCTGCAGAATTTCTACAACCTAACAAACAGTCTTACACAAACGGTTGAATTCCCATCGCCCCCTCCACCACCACCTTGGAAATTACTTGCGCAGAATATGCAGGTTGCCACCGCTGATATGGTAGCACGTGAATCAGAAGTTGCGCGATTGAAGGACGAAGTGGCAGAGATCAACACCACGCTGGCTATGAAAGAAAAGATCGCTGAAGAAATGGGTGTCAAGGTCGAAGTCCTTGAGAAACGTATTGGTGAATCTGGTGGACGGAGAGAGAAAGTTAGAGAGCTTGAGGCCGCTGTCGAAGCTGCGAATTACAAGGAGAGGGATCTCCTCGGCAAGCTCACGTATCTTCAGAACGAGCTTCGAAGCCTCGAAGCTGAGCGCGAGAATTGGAAGCAGACCCCTCAAGTTGCAGCACCTACATCACAGCCCGGTCAAAACGCGGCTGCTACGACGTCTCGAGCGTCTCTGCGCCAAATCGATAATCTCAAGTCCGAAATACAAGCTCTACAATCATCAATCCGCTATCTCCACTCCGCATCCTACAACCGCACCCTCTCGTCCACTTACAAATTCGTCTCCGCGCCACTCATTCCGCCACAAGCGTCTCCATCACGCCTCCAAACCGAGGCCAAAGATGTCCTCAAGGAAATGCTCAACGTCATATCCCAACCGGGAAATCAAATTGTCCGACTACAGCCGAGGAAGAAAGCTGAGAGACTGCTCTGGAGACCAGCCCGCGAGACGAGCAATTGGAAAGTGCAGAATCAGAAAGAGGAATGGGAAGAATGGAGGGAGTGGAGAGATGGCGTTGCGAGGAAGTCTGCGATGAGCAAGAAGGAAGAAGAGAGGAGGAGAGAGGTGAGGAGTAGGAACACTGCCGGAGAGAGGGAGCCGCTCGCCAGTGTAGAGGTGCATCTGTCAGGCAAGACAATATCGGGACATGAGATAAAGATCGTGAGACCCGGGGAGTGGGACGGGCTGGAAGAATCATTGGGCCTAAATGTGGGCTAGCTTGCCATGGTCTTGACATAATCTCTGGGGCCTTGATCATTGCATGAGCATAAGCGAGTTTCTATGCTGTAGATTGATACCCTCTAGCGCTTCGTTTGACGAGCCACGGCCACACGTAATCGACGGATGTTTTTGTTGATATTTTCGATTCTATGCAGAACCTGAGCTGAATACATGCAATGGACCTTGTGCTAGCCATTCCTAGACGCTAGATTCGCCTCGGGAAGCGTCCGAGGAAGACATTCCTGAGACGACCGAGTCGTGGTAATAATCTTTTTGCCGCAAAGGTGCAGCGAAAGCCTCAGCTCCACGCTCCAAGGAAGGAAAGAGAAGATGTCCGCATGGTGAAGGGTGATCCATCAGCAAAATCACAGCGTCCGTGCCATTTATCAACCGACGATCCAGATCCGGGGGTACTCGAACACAACACCGAACCGGTACCCCCCACGAGAGGTCAAGTTTCAGCTACGTCGATCCACCAACGGCCTCCTCACCTTGTGGAATTTCCTGGAAATTCCGATACATATCGCCTTGGCATCCGTCTACGGGATCCGTCGAGGCGCTCATTTCATACAGTGTGTGTAGCGAGTAGTCGCCGTGTCTTCTTCAACCCTTTTGTCCAATAGAAGGTGAAAAAGATGCAATTCCACACCCATGAATGACGGCCGCTACTCACCATCGGTGGCATTTTCTCACTCAAACTCGCTCCACCATCGCTCCATCGCTCCGAGACTCATGTACCCCTATCCCCATCCCCTGCACACGCCCTTTTGTCCGCCGCTCGTGGGAAACATGTCGCGAACCGGGTACGGAGAACCGCCTTCGCAATATCGGTCGGCACCTTCTTCTTCTTCTTCTCCTTCTCCTTCTTCTTCTTGGATCTCACATCCCCACCACCGACGCCGACGACATCAGCGCTGCGCACCTCGTCCTCCATTACGCCCATCCAACCCCTCTCGCCATCCGGCCATCTCTTCCGGCTCGTAAAAGGCCGCCAATCGATGGCGGGGAACACCCCGCCCTTCTGCCGCTGCAGCAGCGTCTCACATTCTTCGATCAAACGCTCCAGGTCTCGCGCGAGCGCTCGGTTCTTCGCTCGCTCCCCGTACCGCTTTTGTCCGCATCCGACGGCAGGGCCCGCGGGCGCCACTTTCGACGTGTGCCGTTTCCGCCTCCGTTCCTTCCAATAGCCAAGCTTCTCCTGAATGACGCAGCAGCGCATCTGATCCAGATTGCCGCAGTGCATCTTCGACCAACTGCGCCGGCGTCGCCGTCTTGAGCAAGCGGCCGTATGCGATGCCCCGGTCGTCGAAGCCGAGGGTGGATATCTTGACGGGCAGGTCCTGCCTTTCAACCTTCTTCATTCGTCCGCACAGGAAGCTCGTCCAGGCGATGACGGCTTTGTACCCCGTCCGGACGATCCACCCGTCTTTCCCGCCCCCGCCATCTCGACGGCGCGTTCTCGAGCCCTGGGCGTTTGGCCTCCCCGTGGGCTTTTGCGCCGGGGTACGGGAACTCTGCTGTTATTTCCGGAGACGGCGGGAGGCCTCGTTGGTACCGCGCCGCGGCTCGCCTGAACAGCTTTGTCAGTTCGACCGTTGACAGTGCGGGCCCTGGGTAGGTCAACGGGTCTGGGGGGGTGGGGGCGGGATGGCGTCGCTGACGAGTTCGGCATGTTGAGTATGTTCACTGGGGAGGTCTGCCATGTTTTCTGCGGGCTCCGATGTCTCTCGATGGCTCTCTGTTTCGATGGCTTCCTGTCTATCAATGGCATCGCTGAGCAATAAGATCACGCGCTTCTTGGCCCGAAGCTGATCTCCGTAGGAGCTCCCGACGGCCATTGTGAGGGATTGCAGATTCTGTCTTCGATATGGGTTGAAGATGGGCCAAGGTATGTTGACCGGACAGGGGATGATTGTGTTGGTGATAAAAGATACAGATCTTTCAATGACAATGGGGGCAAATGTGTTTGTCTTTATTAAGACTTCACGGGGAAATTGAGAAGCTGACACGTATATAGGGGAACAAGTACAGAGGGGAGACAACAAGCATTATAACTTTTACCGCAGTTCATGAGATGAGGAGGCGATTCATGTTTGGAAAAAGAAATGCCATTATCGCGCACAAGTTCGGAAGATTTTGGACGTTTCCGTCAAACGGCTGCGAAAGCTTAGCTGTGGAGTTATCTGCTTGAATTTTCTGAGACGAACAAATGTTGAGTGAAGTGTCTTAATTCCTTTCCTTCGTAGCATACATTGACCTACGGTCACTGTCCCTCATATTGCTTTTAGCGAGACGCAAACGGTTGCTATCCCTAGATGCGACCGACCTTACTCCCCATGTCCTGGGGCAAGCCTAATAGCATCCATGGCTTTCCCAGCCTCCACTCTATCCTTAGCGTTCACCTTCCCAACTTCCCTCGCATACCCCAATCCCTTCCTTTCAGCCAGCTCTTGATACATTCTTAAACACCAATCCAACTCCTCGCCCGGAGTTCTTCTCAGTGACAACAGAGCCGCCCTCAATGCAAACAGACTCTTCTGCGGACCCAGCAAACCCATACTGTCATGCAAGCAGTACGGCATAGATCGGATGATGTTGGTGGCATTTTCCAGACGTCCGGTGTCGCCATGCTGGATGAGCAGTTGGCGCGCTGTTTGCTCTAGTGCCGCGAAGCTTCGGGGATCTTCGTGTCGGTTAAATCTATCCGGGGAAAGGACCGATGCGCATACGATGGCGATTGTGTTGCTCAGCGCTAATTTGCAACCCCAGAAGGTGGTCACGGTGTGCGCGGCGGGCAGATCCGGGAATGAAAATGGCCGCCTGTTAGTCAATGATGCGACAGTGGGATGAATGCCGTCGTTCGGTGGAGTGAGCCAGTACAATGGTGTCGAAGATTGACGAGTGAGAGCGTGATACCAGAGATTGAACGTGGCGTCCAAGGCAGAACAACGTCGCAAATATTTCGTGAGCAGTGAGGTTCCAACTTCTGGACCAAGGAGGTTTGCCTTGTCAATTCCTTCGAATAAAGCGGCCAAAGCAAAACCGTGATCGTATAGCCTTTGGGTCAGGTCTCTCTTCGGATACTGCCACCATTCGTATTGCCCTAGCGGAGATGCTTTGCGATTCTGTAAAGCTTGAATCATCTACACAGGTCCTCAGTCCCGGATCAGCCAGAGTGTTAGTCATACGTACCGCTGAGAGACGAATCCCTTCCAGAAGAGCACGTCCAAATGAAGAGCGATGTCGATCCGGACCCCGAATAAGCATGAGACGCGTCACACCGTTCGTATGACTATTCCATCCAGCTATCGAGTCATTCGTGGGTTCCAAAAACTGTACGACCATACTCAGCTCGATTACAAGCGCAAAATTTCAACATGAGCTGCTTACCTCATAGAAGGCCAGAATATTACCGGTCGCCAGGGTCTCATCTTGCCACATAGTGCACTCGTCGTAGAGAGCCTTCTGGACCTCTTGCAACGCTTGGCCGTACAAGACTCTCCCGTTCAGGACAAGCGTGTTATCTTGATGAATCCAGCCTAGTCTGGCCATGGCCAAAGCTTTGAGAGATAAGCGTAAGGCTGGCGAAGGGTCTGGGAGGCCCAATGCTTGTTGTAGCCAAGGGCACTGACAGCCGGTCTGGACGCTTTGCTGGGGAACATACTGTTCCCAGAATGAGGAAATAAGCTGGGCTTCATAAGCTGCGGCATTCCTGGGTTGGAGGGGCACGCTGCCGATGACTGTCTTCTGGTTATATGGAGTACTCCTTTGCTGTGCAGTTGTGGGTGCAGTGAACGGTATTATGGAAGAGGCCGGCCATGATACCGTACCCTGTGGTCGTTTTGCTTCTTCAAACGCTTCTCGTTTCGCAATACCAAGTCCGGTGCGATTGAGGAAGACTGGATAACGAGCATACCCCTCACACATCCGCCCATTATTGTGACATGTCTTGCAAAGTGGTAGCTGAAGATCACACTGGGTTTGATGTAAGCAAGGAACGAGTCTGGTGCATAGTATGCTTAAAGGCATGGCCGGATTTGCTGACTTTTTTCTTACGCCGTCGGCAGGTGAGACACCCTTTTGATCTACCCGGAATCCCAACCATTAGAAATGCGATCTCAGACTATGTCGGTTCCAATGATACGGAGTAGTGTTCGTCCGATTGACAGGCGATCTCATCGTTGTGTTTTCTTCAGACTGTGCGAACATGGAAGCGCAGTGTTGCTTGGAAGTACGGTAAACATCGTCCACCCTTGGCTGTTGAAGCATAGAAGGATGATGCGAGCTGAGAAGGCGATTTCAGGCCTACCTGGGTGCCTCGTCGTGAGGCTGCAAGGCTGCTCCAAAGGATCTCGACGCTATTCCAGGTTAGGGCAAGGGTGCCGATGCGCGAGAAATTAGCGTAAGGTATATTACACCTTACTTCAAGTTTCCCCATGCAAAAGCCTCTGCGTTGCTTCAACTTATCAACTTCACAATCATAAGTGATAAGTGGAATCAAGAAATTCCAGCGGTTGAAATTAGAATCGAAAGAGTATCTAATAGCAATCTAGTATACAGAAATGCTGATTTTGAACTATTAATTTGATAGGATGCAGAGGTCAAAAGAAGGATGAAGTTACTCTCGAGCGAAGTTCGCCGCGCTCAAAGCCTAGGATATTTGTAACTATCCTAAGACAGTCTCTCTCTTGTAATTATTCTTTTATCTTAACGGCGTTGCAATCGCAGCGACCAGGAAATTAGTATGTATATAGAAACATACACAGTCTGACTGATACTTGCGAAGGCCGATACTCTAGTTTGAATCAACGCGATGCGCGAAAAATCCTAGTGCCAAGCAATCCAGAGGTTTCCCTCTCATATAGCGCTTACATTTCGGCCTCGCCGTCGATCAAGATCGTTAGCTTTCATCCGTTCATGGTGGAGAAAATGATTGCATCTAGGCACCTTGGATGTTACAACATAATGCTCCATGAAGTGAGTGCGCCTGTTCTGAAGTAAGACGGTGAACCGGGCTCGACTGCCTGAAGGACCACGTAGAGCTGGTATGTTTGAATGATCCTACGCCTCCAAAAGCCCAAGTTGAGAGGTCAGACACCTGAAATAAAGCCCACTTCACATTGTTATGTCTGTTTTTGCCTGAAGGGTCGAGGCTCACGACAGAGCACACTCTTTCAGGTGGTAAAGAATGTCTCTCATGTACCTTACATATTGATGGCAAGCCATATAGCACCGACAGCAACAATCCGACTCCAACATATGCGATTCCCCTAAACCAAAACCCACCGGACCCTCATCGCACCCCTCTCCTCCGCCTCCTCAACCCCCTGACAGCCCAAAACCGATCCCTTTCCTGCTCCCTCTGCAAATTCACAACCCAGTTGTAGACATATCTCGCGCAAATACTCATCAACGACAACGACAGCACGTTCACCCCCAGCACCACCAGCAGCGCGAACAGCAGCACTACCGCGCAGCGCCACCACAGCGCCAGTCCGATCCAGACCCATTTCGCGAGCAGTGCGATGAAGGAGAAGACTTGGATGCACAGGGCGAGCAGCCGGTTGGTGAAATCGTCGATTCTTTGGTGGACCTCGTCGAGGAGGTCGGTGTTGGATTCGCGGGTAGGTGGGTTGGGTGCCATGGTGGGCTTTGTCGGGGACATGTTGGATTTGGAGCGGTGGGGGGTTGATTTCATGATGAGTCGAGGTGAGGTGATGGGATTGATACGTGCTCTTTTTATTGCAATATCTTCAGCTCCGATCTTTTAATCCCATTTTCCAACTTTTCAACGCAAAACATTTTCTTGGCTTAATCCACTTTTACCCAGAACTCAAGCAGGCAATAAGTCTATTGAACATCGAACACGAAGGAAAGAAATAAGCAAAAATATAACCTCGTTCCAGAATCAGAATTTGCAGGACCTCGAATCATACAAGACACGCGCATCTCTGTACACCCAACGCCCAGCGAAACGAATGGCTTCGTGCACTGCGATCGAGGAGTGTGAGCAAAGCTTCACTTCGCCATGCTCGCAGGTGGGCTGCTTGCATTCATCAGCAAAAGAGTATGACAAGCGTGACCGAGGAAGCGCCAGAAATGCATCCCTGTCAACACTTGATCTGACGACAGCATTCTTCTCTGATCCAGTACCGGACCTGCAACCATATCAAGTCCCAGATCCGGTCTCAAGATGTCCTGCCGCAGCGTCCTTGGCACCAGGAAGGAGTGCGAGGCTTTTTAAAGGCGGCGGCAAACAATGGGAACAGGAGCCGGACAAGTATGTGATGAAGAAATGCTACTGGCCCGGATTTGACAACGATTCCAAATTCAAAGTCTTCATATCCGAGACTCCAATCCTGATAGCGCACCTCCGCCCATCGGAGCAGAATGTCGCATATGACGCCATACTGTCCGGAGCACCCGCACACAAGATTCCCTCATACTATATCTTACACCTGTCCCGACTCGCCAACATCCGCCAGGCTATCGCCAGCAAAACAACAAGCTGCCAAGAGGAAATAGAGAATCTACGCCGAGCGAGTGTTGCAGAGCGGAGCACGGAGTCGTTGAAGACTGAATGCGTTGATGGCGAGAAAGTGGACGAGGCGTTCCGTGCCTATAAGAGGGCTATCAAGGAGAAGCAGAAAGTAAAGGCGTGTGAGAGGGGGGTGATGAGGTTGCTGGAGCGGTGCGAGGATGTTCTCAAAAGGGGGGCTGGCTTCGAGCCAGTACGTTGGCGGAGGAGTGCGTGAGGGGGACGATGGGGGGGGGGGTAGACTTGGAGACGTAGGTGTTATGGATTCTTGGAGGACCAGGCCAGGATCTTGAGGCATTGAGAGGCGGTGAAACCACTGTCCTGAACTCAAAAGCAAGGCGCGAAAGCTGGAGTAGGATTATTCATGGGATAGAGCTTGGATGGATCGTTCGTTGCGTATATGTTAGGCTGGGTATCTGCCATCATCACGAGTCAATAAGGCATACGTCGAGGAGTGCATGATTCAGATGTCATACCGCGACAGTGTCTTTCCGAAGAAACATTTCTCAACCCACTAACGTATCCATGCCCCAATTGCCGATAGCCTATCCACCGTCTACTCTACCGCAGGCCTCGAAACAAAACCGCTCTCGTGTTCGACATCCCAGCAACAGGAAATGCAACCCGACATCCCTCAGTCGCAGTATTGAGCCTACCACTTATGCCAGCGCAAACGCACAAGATTCTGCCAATGGAAATATGGCCCATTGGCATGTTTGAACCCGAAGTACGCACCACTGTCCGCACTCGCCCAGATGTTTGTTATAGTCAGCACGGATTCCAAGAAGGAGTCCTTGATGGTATGAGGTACTCCGCAGGCAGACGTGGGATATGAGCCGAGGAGGCGACGGCTGTTATCCGTGGTCTGGAAGTTGACATCCATCGCGTTGAAGGGTGAAGCTCTGGGTGTTTGTGGTCTCATGAAACAGTACACTTCCAACCCGGCGCCCGCCTCGAGTCAAAAGGCGCAGGAAAGTAAAGCGTGAACAGCAACATGCGTTATAGAATTGGAAAGTCAATCTTCTACCCCCGATATCACGATCAAACCAAACAAGAATGATTACCGCCGGGCTCTCAAACCAGGCGCCATGTTCTTGACCCTCACCTTTCGATCAAAATCTCGTTTTGCTCAAGGCTTCCTGAAGCTCTTCCCCGAAACCGTCCGTGGTGTCGAACCTCCCCCCCTCAACCCCAAGATCGATACCGACGTGAGAACCTCTCGTAGGCCGCCGATCGAGTCTCGTCTTCTTCCCATTCCACTTCGCACGCTACGCCCCGAACTATAGCGCCCGTTGGACCATCGACCAGGGCTTAATAACTGCCCCGTAATTCACATGAGTAGGCGATGACCGAGGCAGGCCGGAGGGATGAGGATCCGATGGGGGTTTCCCAGGGTATGCGACAGGGTTTTGGGGTCTCGCAGTGTGCCGTAGAAGAAGAAGAAGAAGTAGTAGACTTTGCGGAAGACGCACGGCTCGGGAGCACCGTGACGGTCTGACGTGTAGCCCGAGGTCAACCGGTTTAGAGGGGCGCTTTTGCATTCCTGGGACGTGTAAGATGGGTGGTTTGGTTCTTGGGCTGTCTTTGGGGATTGCGCTCGCGAGCGGTATGGCATCGGAGGGGGCGGAGGCGGTGACGGAGGGACAGATTTCGTTGGTGATTTGGGGAGGCTACTAGAGGATGTGTCGGTCGTTAGAGAGGGCATGCTGTCGTAGCCAGCGTCGTTGATAGATTCTGTGGCCATTGAGAGCATGGAGCCCTCGTGAGTATCCAGGTTTTCTCCATATGAACAGCCCCCAAACTTATTATATACATTTGAATGGAAGTTAGAGCAGCGCCCATCCCAAAGGGCCAATCCTTAAAAGTAGGAGCGAACTCACGGATCCGTCTATATCTCGGATCGAAGTCATCTCATTACCTGTCTGGCTTATACATCCCCAAATAATTTCCCCAAAATTCGAACTCCAGTTCTTTTAGTCATTGTATCATCCAGTGACCAAGAAGATTTGCCGTCCACCGAATCCCAGGTATCGTCAACCATCAGAATAGATCGTCCTGCCATTCCACCCTCTCGCTAATTGTCAACACTACCGTCGTCTGCGCTCTAATCCTGTTTACCGGCGTCGGTGATCCTGCCTCCTCATTGCCACCTAGCTCAATCTCCTCTTCATCCACCTCGCCCCTTCTCTTTCCCCTCTTCCCACCGTACACATCTGTTTTGTGATTCCACGCGCTTCCGTTGCCGCTGTAAATATTGGGCAAGCTATTGTCCTCCAGCCGGTTGAAGCTCCGGTCTGGATGGATCTTGGTGCCGCTGCGCCATGAAGAGGTAGGGTAAGTCTCGGGGAGTGGTGGTTTAGGCCTGTGGGTGCCGCCCCAGACGACGCGGACAAAAAGTGGCCGGAGGGAGGGAATGCAGGCGGATACGACGGCTATTGAGGGTTCGGCGGCAGTCCAGATGGAGCCGGAGACATATGCGTAGGTTATGTCGGTTCCATGGAATTGGGAGATTACGACCAGTCGAACTATACTAACCGCGCAGACACTGCAGGAACTTATTCAGTAGGTGATCTAGCCCGTTTGGTCTGCGTATACTCACGTCATGCCCATGATGAAAATGAAGGTCAGTAGTAGCTTCTGTGGTGTGCCGGTCTTCAGATGCCAAAGTATGGGTATAGGCTTGATCGCAGGTGTCAGCCCCAACCAGATCCGAACAACCGCGGATTGCTACTCACCAAGACCAAGAGGGCAAAATCTGTAGCAGCGTTGATGGAGCCAATGATGATCAAAAATAGCTCGACTTTAATGCAACGACCCGGGTGCGTTCCGGGGAGTTCGCCAGCAAGGGTGGTCCAGAAGGCGGAGATTGGCGTACATTGCCAGATGAACACAATGATGATTGAAACAGTAAAGGCTACAACGAAGAGGCCGCAGTACTTGAGGATGCGCCGAAATTGGACGATAGGGAAAATTCGATACTGGAACAAGATGCTACCGATCGTGCGCATTAATTAGACGCTGCAAGATTGACCGAGGACGAAGACCGGCTCTCACATGGAATATTTGACGCTCGCCATAGCAAGCGCATACAAGAATTCGAAAGCATAGTTGTACTTGAAATACGAGTATAGGTCCAGTGGTGATAGGGAGAGGAGATGATGGCCCATTGCGTGATGGGAACCTGCAGGTGTCAGCCCGGGATAATGCGATCGGTAACAGGAGCTTCTGACTGAGGATCATGATGATGCAGGGGCCCCATGCGAATAGCTGCGAAGTCGTCAATCATGACCACGATATCTAAGTCCATTGTTTAAGAGCATCTCCGTACCATTGCCAGAATTACTGTAGCGTCATCCCACTATTATTGATAATGTCAACCTCTTTTCTTTCGTCCATGTAGCAGCAGATGGAGCCTGTACCCAGAATCCAGCCCTTGACATCCATCTTGACAGCAGACGTAAGGTGACAGCCAAAGTAGGAAGAATGAGCAAAGTTATCGAGGCTCCGAGTATATCCCCGTTACGGTTCTCGTACAGCGCAGGGTCTGTTTTTGGGTTGGGCGCGACAACGACACCAGCACCGGCACCAGGATCCATTTCAGCGTTTCCGAAAGCAAGGACAACGACGACGCCGCGTATGCATCAGCGATTGAAGCACTGGCAGAGTGGCATCGTCGTTGAAGTGAGAAAGTAAGGATTATCCATAGTGGTCCACATGAAACTGATTTTTAGGGGGGCTTTTGGAGCAAGTGACTTTTGCTGTGCCCCCTCGTACAAGTGAATAATCGTGCTCTATTAGGGCAGCCTCTAAGTGCTTTAGTCTTGCTATAGTGCAAACACTGTCAGTTATCGATCCCGCCAGCAGCGCCGGCTGCATATCATAGCGCGCCCCATTCAACGCTATGGCCAAAGGCTCCGTGCTGAAGGGAATGTTATCATTGGTTGAATATGTAGCAATCAAAAGATCAAGTACTTATCGACCTATCGTACCTGGGCAAGTGCGGTCATAGTTTCCGGGACGAGAGATCAAAACGTGTGTCATGGACTTCCCGAACAAAGTTATTATTGAGAAGACGGCTTCTCGAACTTTCTACTCCAACCTTCAGTGGAGCCGGGGATTTTGTTGTAGAGGCTCTTCCAGGTCAGAAGACGGGAAGAGATCCCAAACAATGTGCAACAGATAACTGTCCATATTGGCAATAAGTAAGGTGGCACGTGGGGGTTGGGAGATTTAGTTCGTATTAGGTTCGATTCCTAAGCTGGTCAATGGTGTTGCGGTGCTTTTTTTTTCGCACGTGTTATGCACATGAAATTAACATAACGGGGAACGCGTGGGGCACTGCTTTTGGGGTGGTGATCCCCGTTGGACTGTAATACCCCTGTTTTCTTAATCATTGGGAAACTAAAAAAATTGCGATTTTGGCACCCCGATAATCAAATACAAAATTTGAATTTCCTATATAACCTCACCACCACTTATTTTTACAGGCTAAAAACTTTACGAAATCTACTTACTATATTAAGGAATGTACTCATAAATTTGAAGATTTTAATTCTAATCTTATAAGTGAAATGTAAAAGCGAATATACCGCGAACCTCAAAAATTTTTATTTTTTTACCGCCAAGACTTCTCGAGAAATCTAAGAATTTATTAAATCCTTATTCTATAATAGAACGAATAATTAAGATCTTCTATAACTTGATAATCATAATCTCTCGTATAATTATTAAAATCTATAAAGTTTTTAGAGCGTTGTAAGTTATCGTTGTGAGGCTATTCAAGAAGCATTTTTTGTTTTTTGGATGGGGGTCCCAAATCGCGATTCTAGTTTCCCAATGATTAAGAAAATAGTATAACAACCTTTGCTGTCGACATAGCAGCTTTGCCAACCAGCCCCAGTCTATCTCGACATCACTTCAACCGGATCAAGTAAAGGCACCAGGGCAGCACAAATGACCTCTTAAAGGCTCCTCTTCATGTACACTCACCTTCTACGGCAATATTTCTGACCAGGGACACCACATTCTGAATGGATTTAATCTCCACCATTTCCCATCATCGTCCTCGGCAAGCACAGAGTCGTCGCCCGCATCATCGCCCGCATCCTGGCTAAGCCCCCCAACGACCTTTCCGTCAATGGCGTACTCTCCTCATGAACCCACGATGCTGGATTAAATACGCGTATATACTGCCTCGCTCGGGTGGAGGAAAAGTCCAGGATGTTGAAGGTTTATATGGAAGGGGTTTACGAGGAGACGAGGAGCGCTTTCAGAAGAGCCGAAGTGGCTACGGGAGAGACTTGTGAGGAACTGGTGAATATGAGAAGATGCAGAACGGCTCTTCACTCAACGTCAGGAGTTAGTGGCGCCAGCAGAGATGAAGCGGAGAGACAGATAGCGCAACGGAAAAAAGGGGGTTGCTGAGTGCAGGAGGAGAGTGGGGAAGATGTATGGAAGAATGTGGGTGCAAGAATGTTGTAGAATGGAGAGAGCAACGGAAGAGCTGCCGGGCTTTGTGAGGTGTTGGCAGCTTGTCCCTCCACGCAGCCAGCTCCTGCTACTCAAGCCTCCTTCCATTGTGCAACATTTGTGATATGGCTAAGCTGCTCTTCCCCTCGAGTGATGATCAGCTAGACGATCAGTCTACTGCAAGCCGCTATCAATGCAAATCTCCAACGAATGGCCAGGTTATCACCGCTCCGTCGGCTTCGTCGGAGTATCTTGCGCTCTACAATGCAGTAGGATCTCGCTACTGAATCTACTTTGGCATTTCCTCATGATCTTGGTCTCAGATGAGATTCCTGCTCGAGGTCCATGCCTTTCTGCTTTTGCGAGGTAGCAGAAATGAATGAGGCACGACTGTTGGGGGTTGACGAGAAGTTTTGAGCGTCTTTTTCAAAAGCCGTCGTGGAGGCTAAGCTTTCTCGAACGTTGGGCGATAAAGGGAACCGAGGAAACAGCCACCTCCTCATCATCTCATCTTGGTAAAATGTATGATCTCGCATCTTGGACGTTTGATGCCTGTAATACTTTTATACATAATTATATACTATTGCCTTCAGATCGTACGACACGTTCCGGTCTGGTGTCATCAACACATTGTTTCAGATCACAAAATGTCTGTCGCTGGTGTTATTAATACTGTAGCCGATTTCATGAACAAAATTTGCATTGTGCTCACCAAGGCTTATGACCACATATTCTATCTCTCAGAATGACCATTTCGCCATACAAAATTGCCCAGATGGGGACCAAAAAGCGCGAGACTGCTTCATTACCAAGAGAGCAGCACCGGTGCAATTCACCGTGGCGAGAATCGTCAGTGAATATTCTCAATATGCCGCTCTCTTTGACAAGAATGCCCGAAACATCTTCGACTTCGCAATCTCAGCCAGCGCCAGCCGTGTCAGCGGATCCCTCGACACAGCAATGGATGGAAGTACTCGAGAAGGGAAAGCCCCCACGAGAACGATCTCGAAAACTAGGAAAACCGCTCGAGATCATGATCGCAGGGGCGATAGCAACTGCGAGAGAACTAGGACTCGAAAATTCTCCGTCGCGATGGCAAAGCGGGCATCATGGGTGGTTCTTCGGGAAAAAGTATATCGAGGGGAAGAGCTTCCAGACTCAACGAATGAAGATGGTCGAAGTCCGCAACTGGCCCGTCAAGATATCTACCCTGCCCTCCGAGGGACAGATCTCGGTGTATCTAACCCTCCTCAAGACCGCCAGAGTCGATCAAGTTGCCGCATACTACAGATTACATTGCGAGCAAATCGACAAAGTTCGATGCTGCATTGCTCGCGAGTTGATAGAGCATAGAGAAAATGACAAGCAGTACCGACAGATATTCCCGGTTCTTTTCGCTCGTCACGGCCACATCGCCAAGTTGTCAAAATTGAAGAAAGCGGCGCATGCGGTGCAAGTTGCCAATAAGCAGTACAGGCTACGAGCAGGAACTCGAGCTTACGCGAGAGGATTGGAGATGTTGATCGAGAAGTGTGAGGCTCGACTGCAGAGGATAGAGAACTTCAGAGCAGCAGATTGGCGGTCGTATGGTAAAAGGCCGAGGTGGGCCGATGGTAGGAGAGGTTGGACTGGATTGAGGCCGGAAGAAGTGGACGTTCGTACCGTCGACACCACCAAAGACGAAGAGGTTTGCTCAAGGGATATGAGAACAGAAAAGTTACAAGGGGTACTGAGGGCACGGTACGCGAGGTCGTTCCCGCAAGCAGCGGATAGAAAACTTGCAACTTCTGCCATCGAGGACCGAAGAGATCGAGAGATTGTCTGGGCAGAGCGCATTGAGAAGGCAAAGGCGATTCTCCGAAAGGCTTTTCGTTAACCCTCTCAACGACTCTGGCAGGCGTTTCTTACGGTATTTTGGAGGAGGCACATTGTATTTCCCGCATTATTGGGGCTAGAGCTTGGACACGCAACAGATAGCATATGTGTGGAACGGCGAGCAGGAGACGTTCGTTTGACAGCACTCAAGGCAGAAAACTGTGTACACCATTAATGATACTACAACAATGATGATGCAGAGTAGCAGAGAGCGATGATGGTATTAAGATCGTGATTTGGATCCTATAGAATGTGACGTGGAATTGTTGACAGAATTGCCTTTTGTGGGGCAGCTGAGATAAGGTCCAGATTGCGGATTGCGGATGTCACTGTGCGGCAGTCCAATTCTGGCGGTGAGCCTCAACAAGTTTCCCTACAGTACTTCATCCTTCAAACTGTGCATAGCCTCAAGAATCTCTACCGACAACATACCCCATTCCTCTCCTATTGAACTGAAAAGAAGTGTCCAAGTGTCTTGGTTGTGTATGTGCTAATGCTGGTGCTGGTGCAAGCCGACGGCAAAGATGGTAGCGCAAGTGGCCCCCCCAACGGGGAGAGCGCGTTCATCAACGACGACATATTCCATGAGCAATGTTAGTCGATCTTTCTTCCACTCTTTTGCTCTCGTTCTGCCTCCTTCTTCTCGAAGCTGTCGCTTCATTCCAGAAGTCGGTAAGATACCATGGTGCTTGCCTCCGGAACAATCCCCGCTGCGATGATTTGTGCGCAGGACCGCTGCACGGCCGGAGATTGAACACTCGTCCCTCGAAAGGGGAAAGCATGGTGCTGGCTTCCAAGAGCCTTCATCCAACAGGATATGGCTATCAGGTTTCCAGCGTATGGAAGCATCTAAGGATTTGTGCTAGAGTACTGATTCAAGGCCTTCCTCTTATGCTCAATGCTGGCTCAACGGAAAGCCAGCACGTGTCTCGCCAATATCACGGTTTATGCTGGTACTTACAAGACACTTTGGAATGCCAATCGAGTCGCAGAGAGCCGGATTTCAGGTAGTGTCCTGCCTTCTTATATTACTTACCTCGGACAACAAGGGTTCAAGAACTTACCGGTATTGGGCTTTTCTCGCTTTGCTGAGGGTTAGCCCTTCCACTTGCGGACCAGCGGGCTTGCGGGCTAAATGTCGGCACGTGAGAATTCAATAAAAGCCATTCCTCATGCAATCAATTCTGCTCAGACTTTTCGTCATTTTCCGACTTGTACATGGAATTTGGACACTTTCGAGCCTCCACAGCGGCCATTTCGGAAGGTACCTTGCAGGAACCAGATGCCATTGGTGTACAGTCACGAAAGGAACTGCAGGGCGACAACACGGAAGGTGCTCTGCATGGGTCCTGCCATCCCCAAGTGTCATCTGCTCAATCAAGCCCTGCTTCCGTGGCCACCTGCGTCTGCATTCTACAAACATCTCTGGCCGGAGCAGACCTTGCTTGCATGGCCGTCTATTTGATCCTCGTACTTTTTCCAAATATTTATCTTCGATTTTCCTTGTGCCTGCCGCATTCTCCCTCATAATACACTGTATTGCGTGAAGCACGAGACCAGCGTCAACAAGCCATGATGGCTGCACCTTACAAGAAGACTAATAGTAAAGGGGTGCAGGTCGAAGATACTCGAATCGTGGTTGTCATGGTTGGTCTGCCCGCCAGAGGCAAAAGCCTAATAGCTCAGAAAGGTACATGACCCTCCTACCCCTAAGATTGGCCCGAGCTGAAGCTGACAGTAGACTCTTGAACCAGTCGTCAGATACCTAGGATGGCTTTCTATACGTGCGAAGACCTTCAATGTTGGCTCCTACCGCCGACAGGACACCCCACAGCCCACGGCCGACTTCTTCGATACATCCAATAAAGACGGCGAGCGTATGCGGCATGCTGCTGCGGAAGCCGCGGTGAAAGATATGCTCAAGTGGTTCAAGTCGGACGGGGGAATCGTGGCTATACTGGATGCTACAAATTCTACAAAGGCTAGAAGACGATGGGTGCGTCAACGCTGCGACGCCAATGGCATCGAGACGCTCTATGTGGAGTCGAAGTGTGATTCTGAAGAGACCATCATGGCAAATATCATGGAGGTCAAGACCACATCGCCCGACTATACAGGCCAAGATCCAGAAGCGGCTGCACTGGACTTTCGGAACCGGATACGGAATTATGAGAAGGTTTACGAGACGATCGATGAGGATGAAAAGGACTTGACATACGTGAAGCTGATCGATGTTGGAAAGCAAGTCATCATCAACCAGATTCAGGATTACCTGCAAAGCCGAGTTGTCTACTACCTGATGAACCTTCACATACGTCCTCGTTCAATCTGGCTGTCGAGGGTATGCCTCCTATCTCCTTCCCAGCACTCTATCCTTTTGCTGACAATCGTCTAGCACGGCGAATCCGAATTCAATCTTTCCGGCCAAATCGGCGGCGACGCTAATATTTCTGATCGCGGTGAACTCTACGCCCGTGCGCTTCCCGACCTTGTCACATCCTCCGTCGGTGACGACCGCCAGCTTACAATCTGGACCTCCACCCTTAAACGTACAATACAAACAGCTCGATTTCTCCACGCATCCCCAAAAGGCTACGACAAGCTCGAATGGAAAGCCTTGGACGAACTGGACTCTGGCGTCTGCGACGGCCTCACGTACCAAGAGATTGCGGACCAGTACCCCGAAGATTTCAAAGCGAGAGATGACGATAAACACAATTATCGCTACCGGGGTGGAGAGTCCTATCGCGACGTTGTCATCAGGCTTGAGCCTATCATCATGGAGCTGGAGCGCAGTGAGAACATCATCATCGTGACGCACCAGGCCGTGCTGAGGTGTATCTACGCGTATTACATGAACGTGCCGCAGGAGAAGAGTCCCTGGATGGAGGTGCCGTTGCATACGTTGATCAAGTTGACCCCGAGGGCGTATAGTACGGAGGAGCAGCGCTTTAAGGCGAACATTCCGGCCGTGAGCACATTTAGGAGCAAGGGGAGTACGGCGAAACATCAGTGACGAGTGGGTTGGCGCAGAATGGACCGCGGCTTCCGATGGTAGAAGATGGAGGAAAGGGGATGGGCATCATGATCTAACGAACGAGATGAAAGCAAAGGAGTGTGAGGGCAAACATAGAATTTCTTAGACTAGCACCTTTACATAGATGACGGCGCGCCGAAATGATGCCTTTGGTGTGTGGGCCTAGGATATCACTATTCACTTGGACCACAAGACCCGAACGAGTAGCTTTCAAATAACGGGTGAATCGCCTTCACCATGCTTCCGTTCATCTCCAATCATTGGGTATAGCTTTGTTTCCAAAGAAGAAATGCATGTGATACATCCACCCTCCCGAACCACACGCACCCAACCCAGCGACCGCGATCAGTCCCCCACCGACCCCCCCAACTCCTCCACCCGCCTCTCCATCTCCTCCACCCCTCGCAGCCGGAGCTCGAGCTCCTCCTTCTCGTCCTCGAGCCTGAGCCTCCGCGCCGCGTCCAGCGGACCGAAAAAGTAGCCGCCGTGGCCGTCGAACTGCAGGATCCAGCCGTGGTGGCGCCACAGGCTCCGCCGGTGCGACACCGTCATCAGCGTCACCCCGAGCGCCTTGGCCGTGTCGTACATGGCCCTTTCCACCTCCAGCGTCACCGAGGACGTGCATTCGTCCAGGATCGCGTACTGGGGCGCGTGGTAGAAGAGGCGGGCCATGGCGACGCGCTGCTGCAGGCCGATGGAGAGGGTCGACGTCCATTCGTCTTCGGCGTCCCAGCCGCCGGGCCGGTCGTCGATTATGTGCCCTATGTCGACGGCTTCGAGCCACTTGGTCAGGTCCGAGTCCGTGACGCCCTTGGCGCGCATCTGCCGTGTCGAGTCCGGGTAGATGATCTGCTGCCGGAGGGTCCCGCGGGAGAGGTAGGGGCGTTGCGGGATGTAGAAGATGGAGGAGTGGGGCGGCTTGCGCACGGTGCCGCCGTAGACGGGCCAGAGCCCGCCGAGGATCCGGAAGAGGGAGGACTTGCCGCAGCCGTTGGGGCCGACGATCAAGAGGTGCGCGCCGGGGCGGACGGAGAAGGAGAGGGCGCGGACGAGGATGTCGCCGTTGGGGGAGACGATGGGGACCGAGGTGAATTCGATGTCGGAGCTTTCGATGGCTTCGCCTCTGCCTTTGAGCACCGCGGTGTTTTCGGAAGACTCGGCGGAGGATATGAGTCTCTTTTCGAAGTGCCCAGCTTGGATGTCGTCGATCACGGTGAGCAGAGTGGCGACGCGAGAGGTGTAGCCGGCTAGTTCGGTGATTTCTTTATAAGAGAACATGACGCGGCCCACGGCATCGGAGGAGGAGAGGAGCATGCGGCGGTTCGTAACGAAACTCTCGGTTCGATCGCCCATACCGTGTAGTGTCTGGCCTGGGATTTTGAAGAAGACGGGCACGCTGCAGAGCATGAGCCCCAAAGCGCCCCAAAAATATTTAATGACAAAGTCTTCCATCACGCCATGGTAGAGGCGGCGACGGAGTATGCGGTTGACGTGTTTGATTAGGGTGAAATACCCTTTATCCAGTGTGTCCTTTTCGGCCTCGTGCCCGTTGTAGAGCGCGATTTCTTCGCTGTAGTCGATGAGGCGCGAGTGCTGGAAGCGGAATTCGCCCTCCAGTCGTGCTTCTTCGGCCACATATTTTCCAAATGGAGGCGTCAGGGCGCGCATGACGTTGGCGGAGAGCTGGACGAGCAGACTCATGGCGAATAATCCCTCTCCACCGACTGATCTTGAGAGTGAGTAGTTGTATATTATAATATCCAGTATCGGCTTCGCTAGATTCGAATATAATTCCGCCAAACTGTTGGAGAATCTTGACACATCCACTGTGATCAGTTGATCCGCATTCTTTATCCGGTCATCCAGCGCACTGAGACTGTAAAACGTCATATTGCTTAGATACCTCTGATGTAGATACGTCGTAAGTCGACTCCGATACTGCAACGCCAGCTTGCACTGGTGATACGACAGCATCGAATTCGTAAATGTAGCCGGCACCGCAACAATCATCCACCACACTATCCCTCTAAAAAATTCTTTACCCTTCCCACGTACCAGACTGCTAACGAGTTTCCCATCCAGCTCGGCCACATAGAGACTTATCAGCGTCCGTATGACCAGGAAAAAACTATGGCTGATGACGAGCCGCAATTCTTTGCTTTTCCAGCCTGGTATCACTATTTTGAGTAACCGCCATAGGTTCCGGAAGAACTCGCTGTTCAGCTCTACTCGTTTCTTGACGCTGGCGGATGAGGATGAGGATGTGGAGCCGGAGCGCTGGGCGCGGAGGGTGGCTGCAGAGGCTGCGGCAGCTTTTTGCTCGGAGATGGCAGAGTGGACACGATTTATGAGGGCGAGGACGAGGGTTATGTAGACGGTGCGGGAGATCTTGCGGCGGTGGGTTAGGTAGAGGGTTGTTAGATTGGAGATGATCTGGGAGAGGGTTTTCTCGGAGAGGGCTGTGGGGAGGAGGAGCTTGGATTGGGCGGCCATGGTGCCATGTGTTTGGAGACCGTAAGGGTATCGCGACGACCGAGTTCAATGGAGGTCACGGCGACTGTGACGACTGTTACCGACTCAATGTTCAATGTTCGCATTGAGTTCGCGAGTTCGCGAGCCAGCCGAGGCATGAGTTCAAGCCCTAAGTCACGTGCAGATAGGTGTTTCGGATGAATTATCTGATACTGATGGTAGATGGCGCTGGTACAATGGTGTAGAGAGATTTTGTGGTTGTATTTCTATGATATTCTTGCAAGGTCTTCTGTCCAATAAGCGGCTTTATGGAAGTAACTCGCTGAATCGCTTGCAAAAATCACTAATGCGAGAGAGCCTCCCATGTAGCCCCATTTGTGACCGTACATGTACTTACTATACATGACCTCCATGAGCCCTCAGGGTGTCTGCGTCCCACTCGTAAGCCCCATCAAGCCCCCAGTCAACCCTTTCATCCTTCTCCCAAGTAAGTCATCTTCACTCGCCAAGCTTACCATCGATCTGTTTCTCCGCCGCTCGCCGTCTTGATGCCTTACTCTCTTGCCTCTGCCTCTTCTAACTGGCTTTGGTGCATGTCCATTTGCATTCAGCGAACTCATCATTAACGGTGATTCTTCGTCTCCAGAACTCTCCGTTGGAGCACGATGATGGTGGCGGCCATCCTGCCCAGCTGCATGAGTGGGCGATGAACGACGGGTCAATTGGGGACTGTCGGTGCCATCTGAAGCATCGAAGACCTCCTCGATCCAGGTTGAGCAGCGGAACAGATGCTTCCAGGCCTCAGGAAATATCCCAACAAATTGCAGGAAACCATGTGAGATGCCCGGAATCAACGTCACTTCGACATGATCTCTTTCATCAAACTCGTCTTTCATCCTCAGCAGACTCAGCTCTTTCTTTTGTACGAAAAGGTTGTGCTTGGCCTGGCGAAGACGGCCAGCGAAAATGACAGTATCGTCGACGAGAGGATCTCGCTCGCCAGTCAAAAAGAAGGTCTTGGGAAAGTGGGCAAGTAGAGCTTCAGGAGCTAACAATGGGGAGAGGAGGTAATCAGTGCTGAAGTCAGGTCGATTGTGAGGACCAACATAGAGGATAATCATGGCGCGCATCATCTCCGGCGTAAGAATCCGATCGTTGAAGTAGGAGATCATGGAGGAAACGGCAAGTCGGGTCTTCAGAACTCTGGGCTTGGACGATACCAGGCTCGCAGTGTGATGAGCCACTGTAGCTGCAGCCTCATTCTTCGTCGGAGGCTCCATTGGTGTATCAGATTTCTCACTGGCGTTGGTGGGGTTGACGTCGGCAATAGCACGCTGAGGCGACATGGTTTCTTCTGCTTCGTCGTCCGAGGGCTGTGGGGTTTCTGGCGTTAGCCTGTAGTAGTCCTCGCTCTTCCTCCGGAGGACGTCTCGGTTAGTCTTCCGCGTCCGTTGATCTTGTATGAGCGCCATTCGATCATCTGTCATCCAATTTCCTATGTTCATGTCCAGACTTGGATAGATAAGAATCAGGCCTTCTGGTACAGGCAGCGATTCTTGGCCGTGCAGTCGCTGAGGGTCTGTATCGGTTGATTGCAGTATCATGAGCACAACTCCGGTAGCGAAATTACCGCCAGCACTATCGCCCGTAAGGATGATACGTGGTGCTGTTTGCCCAGCTAATCCAATGCAGCGTCCCCGGGTCACTACGAGCGTGTGGTACACGTCGTAGCATTCATTCAGTGCATATGGGTATGGGTATTCCGGAGCCTTTCTGTAATCCAAGCTCAGTACAGGCAATCCGGTCTTTCCAGACCACGCCATCAGCTTGTCATCATGGTGCCTGGGAGTCATGGCGACATAGCCTCCTCCCGGGAAATCCAGAATGACCTTTGTATGATTCTTGAGCGAAGACAATGGACCATCAAAGTAAAGCCATGCATTGACAGGTTCCTTGTAAGAAGACTCCGCTGGTCTCGGGATACGTATGGCCCGCGGTGGATATCGGGTCAGCTTCGGCCTCATCAATCTCGTGATGAATGAAAGGTATGGTGTCGTAGTTTTGTTCCAGGAGACCCTCAGGTGATCCACCGTGAGCATGCCCCTGACTTTCCGAACCTTTTCATCCGCCTGCTCAGCAGCAATCAGGTAGTGTGCGGTGAATATGATCGAAGCCAGATCTCGTATCCACTTCCTCCGTATTTTCATAGCTGTCCAGAACCCTGCATCCAGAGCTGTCGTTATCCATGTTGCTCGGAAATACGACCTGCTATAGAGGTTTGCCAAAGGCTCGGGGCTTTCGAGCCCAAATAGCTTAGCGAAGTTGCGGCATATGTATAGGTATAGTAGGGTTATGACCACGGTCTGCCAACTAGTAAGGCGTTTGGAAAGGTAGGCGGAGAGCCTGCGGAGAATTGGAGGGCCATGGTGGTTACCTCTGGAAAGTATTAGATTTTGAGTATGGATGGCGCAGAGTGGAGGCAGCTCACCTAAGCAGATACAACGACCAAAAGGATACAACAGAAAAGACCTGAATCTTACGAAACTGGACCGAAGGGCGGCCCAGGACATGATCTGCAGGACCGAATGAGATTAGCTATATGAATCCACATCCAGCCACATAATAGTACCTATCATCCCTCTCGAGCAAGTATGCAGTCACACGGGAGACAGCCACTGCCCTCTGCCCGCCTCAGACGTAGAGAAAAGGGGGCCTTTGATACAACGTGCTATTGGTTAGTAGGATATTGGAAAGAGCGGATAACGTGGTATGCCCAGGGGAGCGGGGTGGAAGATGGCCGGCTTCGGTGACGAGAGGTGGGTCTTTCAGACCGAAAGCTTAGGAGCGATTCACCCGTAGTCGAGGACTTCCATAGAGCTGCTATCGAGGGATTTCCACAGTAGCCAACATGAAAGATACAGGGAGATAGTCATGCGAAATGGTGAAACTAGTGACAGACAATAAGGAATGCAATAATCGAAGTGTTAAGGATTTTAAATCCGAAAGCATAATGTAAGATATGGCGGAGAAAGTTGCCTCGGTTGTCGGCGGATCGGAGATTATTCTTCCGGTCAATTACTCGTAGTCTATTTCGGCAAAATACCGTAGGCATATCACTCGGGAGGGAAGATTTGCTTGGCATTGAGACTTCTTTCAAAGCTGATATTCTGCCACAACATACTATGAGGCAATGTACGTCGTGCATAGAGTGATTCTTCCTGCAAACGGTTCAAATTGTCCTCGCAAACACAGGTTGGTATCCTGGACTGCGTGACTCCCATCACAATATCTCCGCTCTTCTTCCCTTGAAGACGATCTAATTCTGCCATCCAATTACACTTTTCAGTCTTCTTTTCGAACTCGAAATGAGGAATCTACATTTCGGTGTAGACCTTTCGTATTGGGAACATCATCCTGAGTAGTGAGAGATGTTTGGGGGCCCAAAAGTGCTGTGTACAGAAAATAAGAAGCACCGCAACACCATTGTACCAGCGCCATTAGGAATCGAACCTAATACGAACTAAATACTCCCAACAACATGTACTAGTACTGACCCTATGCTCGCTGGATTTCTCATATGGCTCGACTTTGTGTGATGAATAGGGCTTCGTTCCCCAGTTGGACTCCCTCACTTGTTTTATTATTGAACTTGTGCGACCAGGAAGGGTACGCTGACCCCCAGAACTCTCCTGAAGTTCACATCACCTTCCGTACGCGTCCGAGGAATTTTATCAAGGGCGGACTGGTAGCGTGAAAGAATCGTGCATTACCACCGACCCCAAGGCCATCCAGAGTCTGCCGAGTCTTGTCGTATAGACTGCTCTTATCAACATATTCTCTTTTAAATTGCGGCAGCCGATTTGTATGGTTCGCTACTTTGGGAGCTATCTAATCATCTGCAGTTCTTTGGTCTATTCTTCTTAGCACTAGCTGAAATTTGACCAAGTTTACCTGATAGCCATTCCTGAGGCACGATCTGTGTGGTCCTCGATCGCCATGGCCAACAGTTTCAGTCTACCGATTATGACCGGTACCTTGCCTTGCTCTGATGCAGATCTAGACAATGTTATCTAACAGGAGAGTACATGGGGGTATGGTCAACTTATAGCCGTAGTGCTGCTTGGCTCTGCCATTTCTTTTTTTCTTTATAGTTATTTATGGTGAGGTTAAATGCAAAAGAGCCCATGACTAATGCGGATGCTGACCCTTGATTGTTTCTAGAAAGTGTATTCGAAAAATCAACCCGAGAAATTCACGACCCAACACTCATCGATCACTTACAAACGTTGCAAGCGCCGTTCCAGGGGTCAACCCAGTCCGACCGCGAGTTTGACCAATATCGTTGTTTTGGTAAGTTGATTTTGCTAACGTACGGCTTTTTGCTAGCTTTCGCAGGTGCTCTTTTGTATACCCTTCCTGTTTCAGGAGGCACAAACCGGCTCCAGAGTAATTTTGCGAACTACGTGGTGGCATACTGGTAACTTCTCGCATTGGATGTTGTACTTGTGGTTCTCTTCACCAACCGGCCTATGCTCATTCAAAAAAAAACCCTACCGCTGATATTTAGGCGAAAGATGTCCCGGGCTCAGCAGAGGAGACTCGTCTGTGGTGTATGAATATAGACCATAGCCGGGCTGGTGGTCTCCTCCAGTTGGATAGCCGTATTCTTCTTACCATCCCAACAGATGCTTACATGGTTCTTTGGCCAGAGGTTGCAATATCAAAAAAAGCTGTCTCAGAGACTAGCAGGCCTCCCAAACCTGGGAAATTCTGTGACGAGCCAATGAGACTCCAATGCTGACGCGCGTTAGACAATAGACAAAGCCTCGCCGTATCTCGCTCTTTCTATCCTCAACGTGCTTTAGGCGATTGCTCCCTTCTGATCTCAATGCCCAGCAATGCAGAACTCATAGCTCAAAAGAAAGAAGGACCGCTCCAAAATTGTAGGGCATTCAAATCTCCCGTGCTCTGCCACTCGCCAAATGTCTTAGGTGAAGGTGCGGTCGCTTCCAATAATCTCTATGAGAACAATTCCCCTGAGGCGGGCATTTCACTTGTCGTTCGCCCTTCAGTCGTCGAAACCCAGGGAATCTGACAGCTTGGGCGGTAGGACACATGTAAAGTATAACTCCTTTCCAAGGACTGCCCTGCATGAGTCGGGAGAAACATCTCTTTCTAAACACGAATGGTCATGCTGCCGGAAAGTATCAGTGCACTTGTCAAAGCAATGCATGTGACGCCTTCTGCGTTGTCTTCCCCTTCTCGACTGCATTCTCTCCTCGCTGTCCCTTTTGAACAGCAGAATCCTTTCATTTAGTTCTCCATTCGTGATTCAGTATGGGCGAATCTTCTAAACTTCTGTCTACTGCCAATTCGTGCTACCTGGCTCATTTGCCAGTCTCTGCTTTCTCTCTTGCCTCCTTGACTCATCCCCGTGATGATTAAAAGTGGTGAATGCATGGTGATCCACACATCAAATGTTAAAAATTAGATGGCGAATCAACCTGCTGATACCGTCTGACCGGTTCCTGTGCCAGGGAAACATCCTCAGCCAGCTTAAGATGATAACAATGGGCATCCCCACCCACGCTCTCTCCCTCTCTAATTCCACCAGGTCACCGAAAAATCTCCACCCGCCGCTCCCCTACCACACAACGACGATCCCACTACTTTCTCACTCATCATGGACCCAGTCGATCTACCTGCCTCGTCGAGCGCCTCCCATACTGGCACAGGCATGGGCCAGTCATCACCCGAATTCGTCGCCCGACACCGCACCCAACAGCAGTCTGAACACGCCACTCTCGCAGCCAACTGGTCGGCTCGGAAGACGAACGCGACACGCTCAGAGCCCAACAATCCGTCTTCCGCCCTGGTCTTAGCACAGTTCTGGCCTGAGAGACTATGGCGAAACATGAGGAGGCGATGAAGGGATTTTGGGCAGAGATGGCCGAGAAGGCCGATCCAAAGGGTCGGCTGGCTGTCTTTGGGGAGGTGGAGAGGAGGCAGGATTTCATCAAGGATATGCGATTGAGGGTTTTGAGCGTAAGGGATGAGGTGCGGCAGTATTTGGCGCTGTTGGTCAGGATGCTTGTGCATCGGGGTTGGAGGATGCTGGGTAGATGGTCAGGCCAGAGGAGGAGGAGCAGAAATCGTTACAAATGTATGAACGCGGGTTTCTAATGTTGAGGACCGTTATAGGGGAAAGAAGGGATGCCACCGTCCGAAATCACATGTATCTCCTTTTCGCTGTCCACAAGTCATAGCCGACAATAACCCAGACGAACAAAGCGGTTCACCCGTCCGCACCGTACCACCGCAGCGGTAAACACCAAGCGGGCTCTTGTCTGCTTTCCGGCAGGTTCTGCAGGAGTGGCAATCGCCGCGCCAACAAACCGGGCACTACACTTGCAGTCATCCTTTGTGAACCTCACTTCGACACTCTTTTCACATCACAAGCACTCGCACTTGTGACAGTAACACAAACCTTCCACATTCCACCACCTCGAAAGAAGGACAGGAAAAAATACAGCAACGATGTGTCTAGGCTCTCAAGACCCAAAGGACTTGCTCGTCAACATCAACAAAGGTATCCAACGCCCATCACACCCCGCCTCGAAAAAAACCCCACCGAAAAGGATCCATCCGTCACGCACTCAGCTAACCACGTCATCGTTGAAAACAGCCAAGCTCAAAGCGATCAAAGCCTCCACTCCCGAATCTTACATGTCCCACATCGCCTGGGTCTGGGTGAAGACGCAAGAACTGCTCCTGAAGGCCGAGTCCGACGCCCTCGAGGCCAAAACGCTTCCCTTGCGGAAAAAGTATTCCAAACTGTCGGCCCGCCACCCTGCGTTCAAGCCCGCCGCCGTCGCGCTCACCAAGGACTGGTTCATCACGGAGGGCGAGGCGAAAGACGAGAAGCTGGCGGGACTCATGAAGGCGTTCAAGGCGGCGGGGGGTGGGGTGGAGGATGCGGGGAAGGTGGAGCGGTTGTTGAAGATCGGGTTGGAGTGGTCGATGGCGGTCAAGATGCAGCTGGTGGCGGTGCGTGACGCGGTGGGGCAGCTGAAGAAGCTCTCTGCTGCCTAGAGGGATGAAGGGAGGCTGGGAGGTAGGGTGTGAGGGGGTGAGGGAATGGTGGTTGGGAAAAGTCCCGCTATGCGATATGCGAAATGGAGTCATAGCCGTAGGATTGTTATCCATGACTACATGCATGCGAGGCAAAACCGCTGCAAACGAGCTAGAATCAAAACCGCCCTGCTCTCTATCGTCTTTGCTTCCTTTGAGAATGGGCTGCAGATGTTCACTAAGGATCGTCACAGCAGTCCTGCTTGTACTCATCAATCTTCCATCAACAGCATCAGCAGCCCTTTTCGGAACCACTTGCGATCGCACAACCTACGGCCTCCCCGAACCCCGAGCCTGTGATCTCCTACTATTCGGCGACGCTGCCTTCAGGAGTGGCGGCATTTTCGACATTGACAGCTTGGATCACGGGTTCTTGCTGCCTTTTTTCGGTCACAGGTCGCAGTTTACTGACTGGCAGTGGAGGCACCGAGTTACTCTACCTCAGGTGTGGCGTACCCGTAGGTTGCCTTCTTTCGCATGTCAATAATATGCACGGAGTCCTTTTGTGGAGAAGGAACCGCTAAGATTGGTGCAGGGGGATGTAGTATAGCCTTATTCGTCAACAATAAGCCGAACGGAGGATTTTGCGTAGACCACGGGTGGTGGGCCGACATCGCGCAGAGGGGAAATTATGTGGCAAATACATGCCTGGTGGATCACGGTACTGGAGGTGGCTTCGGGTATGCTGGTAAGGAAAAATGACTCTGCACCATCGATTGAGTAACGATTGTCTCGAATGATAACATGAGTCGTTTAGGTGCTCTCGGAAACCTCACTATAGTCATTTTCGCCCCTGGTTCCTACTTCGATCGGGTCATCACATCTGGTATTGAGGGGTGTGAGCTTTTTGCTTTCAATGCCGGGACAAGTGTAGCGAATGAGAGTGCTGAGATGACGTTGGCGAATATGACAGAGGAGGCCCGTAGGCATATCTGTCAAATATCAAACTTGTCTCCGTCAAACGTGTCTTTTGATTTCGGGTAGGAGTTTAGCCTGGGCAGAGGTATGCAGATGGCCCAGCTCAAACCCCAGTCCTAGATAGATTGTGTCTTGAGAGAGCACTTACCTAATTCAACGTGTAGTTCTTACCGTCAGTCCAAGAGGACCTATGACATGGGAAAAAGGAGCTTTGGACCCGGGACCAAGGGTAAAGATGGGATAGCGAGTTCACGACAAGGATCGCTGTAAATTTCCCGCACGGCAGTTGCAGAATACCAAGATCAGGAAAGCCAAACACTCAAATCTGCAAATTGTCCTCCACAATGTTTCAAAGATGTCTCAGGAGCGCGGAAGTTTCGATTGTTATAAGCGCACCCACATCCGAAAAACACTCCGTAGAGTACAAGCGCATTGGCGCACCTCTACCATCAGCGCGCAAGTCGAACATCGAGCTCACTGACCTTTCTTCCATGCGGTCGTGCTGCTCTAGCAAGCTTTTGGTCGAGAATGAACTGTCTAGTCGTGTTCCATCAGCCATGTCGAGACTGTAGAAGTCGTTTCATCTTCTTGGTGAGGCCGAGAAAGGGGGATTTGGACATTAATTGAAGCAGCGAAGGTTAGAACTCTTGAGCTTTTACCCTAAAAACATTCTCAGTTTCTCTGTTTTGGTTTGATCGATTTATGTATAAGAGGTCTATCCCCTTCAGCTGGAATATGGATCCTGCACTGCAACCGAATTTCAAGTCTTCCCTTTCTTTAATCGTATAGCAGGCTGGTCCTTCCGAGCAGGTTGCATTGAACTGCAAAAGAATAAACTCTTTCATAATGCTTCCTCAACTCTGGCTCTTCACCATTTTGACGCCACTAGTGCTTGGTGTCCCCGTCCCTCGAGTATCAGTCATACCCAGCGTGAGGTCTAGTGACCGCACATCTGACATCGAAACTTCGGATGGCCCCCGGAAAATGGGAATCGACCATGCAAACAAAGCGAGTTGGCATCTTAAAGGCGATCAGAAGGAAGCCGGCAGTAAAACTGTCGTAGATGGCCAAGGAAGTCCATCGCTCGGCGGCTATACGGCTCATGGTACGGGTGTCAGCCACAGTGGTGGGTCTGTCTTGAACAGGGGACAGGATTCCAGTATCTCCGGGCAAGCTTCTGGTATCAATCCCCCAAGGTCATTGAGCACTGGGATCTCTGGTGGGACATCGGGTACACCATCGGGTGGTACTTTGGGAGAAATGTTGGAAGAAAGTTCTGATGGAAGCTCGCGTGGAACCTCATCTGACAGCGGACAATCCGAGGAACTCAAAGAGGGCGGAACGTATGAAGGTCACGGCGAGCACGGCGGTGGCATGACATGGAGCGAAATGCTCAAGCAAATTGAACCTATCGGCAGCGGCAGTACAACCGGCAGTGCGAGCAACACCGGCAGCGAGAGAACGACCACTGATAGCAAGGGTACCACTACCGGCAGCAACATTCCTAGCGCAGACACGAACGGCATCATCATCGGCAGCGAAAGCACCACCGGCAGCGATGGAACTACTATTACAACATCATGGCACAAGTAACGGCTCACTCATCGACGAAAACCGCGGCGAGGACTTCAGGCAACCCAAGGCGGAAGAGGCCGGATAATTTTGGCCCAAGTGCTGGTCATGTCCTTGGGCTATCAAGACTGTGGATGGCGAGTGATTGCTGGATCTGTGATGGGAAGAGGCTTGGTTCCAGTTCAATTTGAACGATCTTTTCATGTTTTGTGGCGACAGGACGGCTCTATATTAATCTGCTGTAGGAGGATGATTTGATTGGATGACATTATACTCTTTCGGGCATCAACACTATTCTGGACTTGGCATGAGTAGCTGATGGTGCTTGCATACTCGCGTTGACTTGGGTTTCAATTGAGAATGGTCCGGGGTCACTATCAAAACGCAGATGTTCTGCCTGGCACATACTTCCCGAAAACATAGTTCACTGTCATCCTTGTCGTGCAATTTCTCTGACATGAGATGGTACAATACCATGCCCTAGTGCAGTTTCTCCCTCACAAATGTCACACCTATAGTGTCTGATGTAAATTGGTCGTCTGGCTTGTCAAAAAGGCAGGTACTCTGTGGTGCACCGAATCAATTGTCACACAAATATTGTGAATCTAACGATGGTAAGTTCTCGATTCATGGATGCGTGAGACTTTTAATCGTGGGATGCAACTGCTCATTTTGTCCTGGTCGCTGGTAGACCCTTTCAGGAAGGGACGTCGGAAAAGGGGGGGGATCTACGAGGAGATCCTGAACGCCCACCCATAGTCATCATACAACGTATCATCGTTCGAAGCTCATCGGTATCATTCAGTGAACATGCTCGAGAAAATTCTTCCGTCGAAGAGTTGTTTTGGTTAAAGGCGAATGATAATTGGTGACGGTCCATAGGGTAATGTGGGTGTTCCGCTGTCCTCTGACTATGGCGCGAGCACATAGAACGTCCGCGCAATCTAAATGAGTTCAAGTAACACTCATCCAAGTTTTGAGGGCGTTTGAACGGCGTATGAAAATCTATGCCATGACCATCCTCAAACGTTAATGCGTTAGGGAGAGGCATGAAAAGCTGGCGAAGCGGCCCCACTAGCAATCATACACCATACCTGACACACACATATGCCCCCCCCCACCCGCCCCTCCTCCCAGCCTACAAGAAGCAATGAGAGTCTAGCTCAAAAACATTGCTCTTGTTAATCAACAAGTGCTCCCAAGATTGCAAGTCCACTCTTCGTCATCTTGAGGACTGGTATCGCCACGGCTACCACCTCTCTAGCCAGCATGCCCCGACGTGGCCTCGCGCGTAGGGATTTTGTATGTTGGAATCCTAGGTAATGAGGGCGTGCATCACAAATTCGTCGGTCACCACCATCCTCATCGCGCACTCCGACCAAATTAATATTAAAAAGGAGACAGCATTTGGGGAGGTGTGGAGTCCAGAAACACCAACACGTTTGGCGCTTGTGAACAAGCTTTCTTCACGAAACAAGCCGGTCTCCGGCGTAGGCGTTTGAGATCCGAACCAACCCCTGCCTCTCTACCTCAGCAAAGTCTACGAGTACACTTCGCTCCGATCTTCCCGTCTCGACCTGGCATGATGGCATTTATGTTTCGGAACAGTTTCAACAGCACGGAAGGGTACCTGACCGACGAGCTCGAAGCGCACCAAACGGTCATTTTCCAGAATGCACGTACCACACGCTCCATGAAGCCTTAAGCTCAGGCCAGTTTTCTAACGGAGCTCCCATGCCGCCCTTCAGGAACATCATCTATCAAGCTCAGACCGACTATTTGATTGGTCTGTGCTTGGAGGCTCATAGCAGAAGAGACCGATGAGGCATATGAGGCCTCTTTCCTCGGGCTATTTCACCATACAACGTGCCGCGGCGACCGTAAAAGACGCCACATGTATCCGGCCAGTGTTTCGTACCTATATAGTTCGGTGAATGCAGCAGAGTGGTGGAGGAATAGCAAGCTGACAAGGAAGGCACCTCTCATTGGTGCAAAAGCTCCTCGAGATTCGAGGCAACCAGGAGGTGAGTCGGTCATTCTAGAGAAGGTGAAGCAGTAGCGCAAGGCCAAAATTGCAAAAAAGCTCCACGATCGAGTGCCACTAGCCTGTCGTATTGCTGTATAAGATCTGCGTCCACTCTTTGCTTGCAGAAAAATCGGCTTTGCATTCTCTGTTGTTGTTCACTTCAAAAGTACCAGGCGTACTCGCATCAGTGAATTTCCGTCTCTTGCATTGCATCCCTGGTATTAATCCGTTTTCCATCATGCATCTTCAACTCTTCCTCCTCGCCCTGGTGGCGCCGCTCGCCCTTTCCCTTCCTCAACCCATTGGCCAGGGCGAATCGGGTAACTTGGTCGCCAGGCAGGGGCCTGGTAACTTCACTGGTGGCGGTGAGGGTGGACATCACAAAGAGAAACATCATGGCCCGCCAGGAGGTCCCCACCCAGCACGCGCCCTCATCGAACGTCAGGACTCCGGTAACTCAACGGTCCATGGCGGCAAAGGAGGACCACATGAGTTCAAGGGCAAGGAGCACCATGGCGGTCCTCCCCATCCGGAGCGCGATCTCAGCGAACGCCAAGAATCCGGTAACTCCACCGGCGGCGGCGAACACCACGGCGGCGGCAAATACCACCACGAAGGAGGCCACCCTGGTCCTAAGGTCGACAAGAGGATCGAAGAGGGCAATGGTACCACTGGTGGTATTACTGGCAAGGAGAAGTTCAAGCCGGATGGACACCATGGCGGCCCTCAGAGGCCTGGCGAGCATAAGAGGTCGATCGTCGATATGGTTCTGGACCGAAGACAGCACAACTCGACATCCTCTGGGGAAGAAGGGAATGGCAAACATGAGGGAAAGAAGGGTCATTTTGAGCACAATGGTCCCGAGTAAGAATCGCCTTGTCATGCCTCGACAACACATTGTGGACAAAGTTTGGGCTTCGACTAAGCCTTTACTCATGTCACTGTCGATGTCGTTACCATGTAGTTATATATTTCTTGTATCGGAGGATTTGCTAGAGTGGAGGGCGAGACATGGCCATGATGGTCCGCTGGAGCAGAGTTAATTGGGAGAAGAACCATCGAGAACTCATGTTCTCACTCACATTCATTGTATCTAATCCGCATCGCGAAGACGTCAGGTACATAGGTGCCAATGAGACCTCACATGGGCCTTCTGATTTTCGTGCTATCGTTGTAATCTCTTCACCGAGAGTCTGACGTACCGAGTGCCCACTCATGGACCCCACTGATGCCCAACATGTAAGCCGCAGTAGCGAGGCATCAACCCAACATCGCGGCAAGTCAACACCGGAACTGCGACTGAAAACCAAGACACAGCGCTGCTTCGAACAAAGACCGAAAAGTCTTGCGCTACGCATTCCACGGATCAATCTTCGCTGTTCAGTAAATATATCTGCTTCAGTCTAGGCGTGCATCACCCACCAAATTCTCTCTCTCTCTCTCTCTCTCTTTCTCAAGCCTCCTCACCTACCCACAACCATACGCGCCGTCTACCCGCCGTCCACAACCCTCGTGTTGAACCCGCATTGCTTCGAACATTTTCCGCCCTTTGGCGGCCGATAGATAGCAAAGATCTCACCGTGTCAGTCCCATTCCGGTTTCTGGTTCAAGCGCATGGGCGAGCGTACAGCATCGCTTGCCGGTACTTGTAATATTTGATCGGGATCTCTCTTCATAGGCACGTCAGGCTCGGAGAGGAAGTTGTTGGGGATCTGCGCAAGGAGGGAGGGAGGGAGGCTACGGTGTCATTTTTGGACTGGTCCTGGGGGCTTGTCCTTTGGTCGTTCGTGCATTGCGTGAGTGGGGCAGACTTGGTCGCTTCTTTTGAGGGTAGGATGGAGAGGCTGGAGTGGCAATTATTAAACTCTGCGGGACCCGCGCCCAATATTTCTAGTCCTGCAAGGAGAGCTCCACGTGAATCTGGAGCCACATTTCAAGTACCGCCTCATGCCGACCCAAATCGTGGGCTTCAACGATCAGAATCAGTAATGTTTCTGTGAGATTGACCAATCGAAGAGGACTCAATGCTCACCCATAGTATGTTGGTATGTTGTTCAATCGGTTGTATGTCCCACGTGGCGCCGCGGTGGTGGGTGGGGCCACTGCTGTACTCGTCGTAGCTGGGGTTGTATTTGTCGTGGTCGAAGGAGTAAGCATCGTACCAGCAGCCGTGGGAACATCGTCGTGCTCTGACTTGCTCTGGGCACGCCATGTAAGCAAAACGACGTAATAATCAAGCGTATCCCCAGGTCCCAACTCTTCCGACTCTGCGTCACTCCGCGGCGTAGACCTAAAAGGCGAAAAGCTCGCCGTGCTCCCCTGTCGAAGCTGCAATCCTGCTGGTACAGTGACAGCGTTGAGGCCCTTCGAGTGTTTCGACCCCGTCCAAACTGACTTCTCAGTGCTTCCTTCGTCCATGACGAGCGCATTGCCGTCTCCCGATGGAAACTTCCAGGACCGTGCTTTTTCAATGATGGTATCGAGCTCCGTCCTTTTCGCTTCAATCGTCTCCAACTCCATCTCCAATATCTTCAATCCCTTTAGATTCGCAAATCTGCTTCCCCAACTCCCACTCTCGTATGGTTGGTCGTCAGACACCCAGTCACCGACTCTGGCCCGGCCTTTCCTCTTCGGATCCAATGCCAACGGACTATTCTCTCCGAGGAGATTGTACCACCAATCCGTATGTCTGATCGTGATCCTGATTTTCCTTGGTCCGCCCTCTGGCCAACTGGTCGTGAAAGCCAGCCATTGATTCTTCCAGTCCTCGAGCCAGAACTGCTGCGTAAATAGGTGGACGAATTGGACGACGTTCCGTTGCGAGAGCTTCATATGTCGATCATGGAGCAGATAATTTGTCGAGCCAGGCGGTATCCTCGGTTTTTCCACGCCCCATATGACATGCTCGTTGTGTACCACGGGCAGGAGATCCGTCTCGAGGTATACCCGTCGGCACGTTAACAACAAAGCGACTGCAATTGCTCGCGCATGCGTGTAGCCGGGTCGATTCCAGAAGCTGTGCCTCGAATACGGGCGCGCAAGGTCTGGGTAGGCGAGGAGGGCATAATAGAATATGTGGTTTCGAATCTCGGCTGGCAGTGTAGAGAAGAGAGGGGAGGCGATTTGAGGATTAATATATGGACGGCTAGTTATCTTGGCGATGGCGGTGGGTTTTGAGGCATTCTTGAGGGCGCGCTTGCGTTGGATATAGTTGAAGGGGGTGGATGGTGCCATTGCGAACTGTTGAGTAGCTGAGAGTAGTGGTTGTGAGGATTTGGAGGCTTGAGAAGGGTCTGCATTTTAAGAGATACTTCAGTCTAGGGACGTGGAGCAAGGTTTTGAGATGAAAAGTACTTGAGATTCAAGCGCGCATCATCGAAGCGCTTCAAGGTGGGGAAGCGCTGCAGATCTCAAGCACGGGTCTTCGAAATGCCGGCGCTAAAGTACAAATGGCCTTAGAAAGTCTTGGCACGAAATTTTGCTGAAATTTCAGAAACGATTAGCGAAGGAAACGGATATGAAGGGGAGTGTGAAGTGCAACCGCAGGAAGAAAGAAGACCGGGTCCACAGAGCGATGGGTAGATGACGATGATGTCAAATGTTTTCTATGAGGTCACCGCTTTCTCAATGCACACAACAGTCCTGGCGAGGTATCGATTCGGTGTTATCAGACAGGAGGCCGGAGTTGTCTTCGCACAGGTCATGCGATGCAATCAGGCGTTCTGACGGCTCTTATGGACGAGATGCAGCAGTGGAGGGAGGCGGAGATGAAGGTATGAGGCCGTCGGAGTGGGGGCTAATCGAAGGCTGTGGGGCTCATGTTGGTCCCCCTTTCACTCCGCCTCACCCTCGCTTCACCCGGTGCGGGTGATGAAGTGGTGTCGCTCACTCTCTAGAAAGGGAGCGGCATTTGGTGAGGTAGTGCATAGTTCATCCTCGGTGTTCCCCCTTGCTATCCCGTTGCTCCTCTAAAGCGGCCCTGCTCTCTTTCCAAATCGGAAACCGCAATCGCGAATCCAAGGTTCGGGGTGTATACAATCTACAATATGCGTTTGTGTCTGTATATGCGCGCGTGCTCTCGCTTATACATCGGGTTGCGGGCTACTAAACCAAGCCGGGGAGGGATTATGGGAGAGCTTTTCTCCCCGCTGTCGCTCCAAGCAAATGAAGACTTAAGACCTTTTTATATTCGGCATATAATGCACAGGCGACTATATCGATAGATATGTATGAGTAGGCGGGTGAATACGCAAGTCCGAGGTATGGGTCCTCAAACACTGACAGCGACAATAAGATACATAGAAGATAGTGTGCTCGCTCTCCTTAACAACATCAAGTTCTTCTCCAATATATTAGCGACGCTAACCGCTGGTTAAGTTAGGCCGATCAGAGCGAAATATGTTAGGGGCGCGACGACTGATTTGACTAGACCCTCCATACTGACTGGCATGTCTAGATGCTTCATTCCAGGTATCATCCTCCTCTCTGCGTCACTGAAGTAATTACATCTCTCCAACTTCGTCCAATACCCCTTGTTCAGCGTTTATGACTGCCAGCGCATCTTGGCTTTTCATCACCTCTGGATGCTCTGGGCCTAGTGTCCTCTTTCTCATCTCTAGGACTTGCAGTTGTAGCTGCTCGGCCTCGGCCCACCGTCTTTGATGACTGTACGAGACCACTAATTCGGCCTGGGTGTTCACTGTGTCAGGGTGCTCTGGGCCTAGTGCGTTTTGCCTCAATTCTATGACTCGAAGCGCCAACTTTTCAGCTTCTTTCCATCGCTTTTGGCCTTGATATATTGTTGCTAGGTTCGCCATGGATGTTAAAGTGCCTGGGTGAAATTCGCCTAGATTCCTCTTCTTTGTCTCGTGACTCCAGCTTCTCTGCCTTTGCCCAACTACGGTAGCAGACAAAAATACGCGATACTTGACTTTGGAGCAAGGTGACGATGCCATGGCTTTTGCCTAAAGTACTCGCAACATCCGAGATTTCGTTTCCGTATTCTTCCTCAATCGTTTTCAGCTTTGAGCTACATCAACTCGTTGTAGGTAACGACTTCTGTCCATCTTGCCAAAAAGAGTCTCGCGAAAGCCGCGATAGTTCTCACTCTGTTGAAGCTCGTCTAGCCAATGCCTGAAGAAAGGTTGAACAGATTGATGACATCGCTGTAGAAGCTCTTGCGATTTTGTTTGATTCCTTTTGACACCAAACCCGATGTGATAGCAGAGAGCGGCCTGAATCAGCAGTTCCTGGGATTCGGAGTCAACGTGCGACCTCTTCTCAAGTTGAGAGGCTCTGTTGAAGAAACCATTTGCGATGTACAGACGAACTCTATAATCCATCAAATAGAGTTGATGAATGGAGGGTATTATCTGTCTTCAATTGAAACGAAGCTTGAGTGAGGCTGGACTCACCCTTACTTGAAAATTCCCCGCCCACCAATCAGTTTGATCCGAAAATTGAGCAGCATGGATTTCGCTGAGATTTCTAATATATGTCAGCCCCCTTCGCAGTGAAACTGATTGACAATGTACAATTGTGAGCCAAGAATGTCTCGCAAATGGAGGAAGTCTGAACACCGATCAGGTACATTGTTTGTCAGGGTTTTTTCAAAAAACAGTTGTAACTTCAGTCTTTGTGCGGGTTGGACATGCTCTAATATTCGATATGCCAGTGACAACGCATCATTTGATGCTAGATTCAAATCACTTTGGAATCTGCGGACGGAGTCGTCCTCTGTACTACAGCTCAGCAGCCATAGTACTACCATGCCGAAGGAATAGGAATCCATTTTGGTTGCCTGTGCTGGTGTGAAGCCACGGTGGTGCCACTCTGGAGCATACCACGGGTCTGATCTCGGCATGTTGATCAAATCGGTCACGCCGGTATATTGGGTTGAATATCCGAAGTCCGTAGCCTTAGCAGTGTATCTAGGCGATTTGTGATCCACCAATGAGCTATTTTGAGGGTTTGCATCCCCGTCAATGATATCATCTGGGCCATACCAAGGCTCGGATTTGGGTATCTCAAGCACGTCGGTCGAGTCCGCGTATCCTGTGCCGATTCCTAGACTTTTAGCCTTGGCGGGATGTTCAACCAAACCCTTGTCGAACACCAAGATGTTCTGAGGTTTAATATCACCATGAATAATTTCTGGCAATATGGTATCAGCCACTGTCTCAGTATGCTGCTAGTGCCGGTGCTTACTGTTTATGTGCATTATAGCAATTGCGCTTGCGACTTCAGTACACAGCCAAAGTCTATCATTCAGACCCAGCTCTTGTCCTGGCCCATGTGTCATGAATTGGTATAAGTCTCCGTGTTTAGCTTTTTCGAACACAAGAATGGGCATTATACCACCTTTCCCAGAATTGATCGTCTCCTCCCTAGAGAGCACTTGATCGTCCGGAGGGTACACCTCCCAGCATATCCCCTCAAGCCTAGCGATGCTAGGATAATCCCAAATCGATGGGTGGCCCAATACAGCTACCTCAGCAGCCAAGGATGGAAGTAGTCGAGTCTCTAATTCCATCAGATCATACGCATTTCCGAATTTTCCGCGTTTGAAAGCGAAGCTTGTCTGTCGACTGAACGAAGCCTCTCGGATTTCAGCCGTTCTACTCTGGCCAAGACAGTCCAGTGTCGGTTCCCAATGTATAGGGAGCAGGTCTATACCGCGGGATTGAGCGACACCAAGGAAAGCGAGTATATCACAGCGATCCAACGGCGTTTGTGGACCGGCCGACTCAATCTCAGATCCGGACCTTGTGTATTGGAATGTTGACATCGTAAGAAGCCCTGCAGCTTCACATGTACTATCCACAAAGCATCAAATTCGATGTTGCGGCTCTTGAATGCGGGGGATGGAGATTACTATGGTACCAGGATAGTGTGGGTAGCACGCGGGTGACAGAAATACCTGCACACCTTGAAATTAGAAATTTGACCACAATGAAGAACCCTAGCAGAAAGGTTTTTAGATAACACTAATATATTATTCCGCAAAGTCTAATCCATAAGGAGGGTATTCGTCGAGTTATTCCAGCTGACAGGTTTCTTGGTGTGTGCAGGTATTTCTGTCACCTGCGCGTGGGTAGCAAGAGATGATTGGGATTCTCCGGCTGAGGCCGGCTAATAGGTGCTAAGCTACTATATCATATCTTCTTTCTATATGTATAGTTCGATAGACGTATTGTTCTATCTATCTTACTTATACCAATATTATCTCTATGCTAATTCTAATATTATAATCCATCTCCGTGTATCCCTCGGCGAAGAGAATTAACGGGCTATTAACTCCGCTCGAAAATAGTATTCGAGCTTGCCTGGAATATGGAAAGAAATTGCACGAATGCTGATGTGGCAGGTAGTACAATTGGAGCGGATTTAGGAGGTGGATATGGAACATTGGTATCAGATTCGCTTCAAGGGTATCATCCATATCCATGACGCTCCCACATGCCCCTTACGCTTCTCACTATGCTAAACATTGCTGTAGACCATGTAACTTTATAGGTGACTTCCCATCCTGCCCTCGTATTCCCTCTCCGCCATCCCATTCGCCTCCCTCACAGGCCTAGCCGGCGCTCTCGTCCCCACAAACCCCCGCCTATTTCTCCCGGTCCTCCCCCTCCCTAACCAATTGAGTTTCAACGCCTTCGCCAAGTCTTCCATCTTAGCCTGACTATCATCGCCGCTCCGCACACTTGCTAGTACACTCACACATTGCAGCATGCGTCCAACTGTCTCTGTGACTTGTGAACTGTCTGGTGGACCTTGACGACGGGGGAGTGGAGAGCCGAAAGATGGGAGCTCCGGGGCGGAGAGGTTGGATGTTGCTCTGCTCCTACCTCCATCCCCAAGGAGCGTGGATCCTTGGGAGTTGAAGCTTGCGACCCCAGGGTCCAGACTAGCTGCTGTGCCCGGTCGACCGCCTACGACGCCATCGAAGCTGTCAACGACAGGGCTGACGCCTACGTTGATACTGTCAAGGCTGAGGCGGGAGAAGGTAGCCTTGAGCGCTTCATAGTGCGCCAAGATGACATTGTCTCGGTAAGATAAGAGTACGATTCGTCGGACATCGAATTCATTGCCGAAGGCGGAGTCCGTGGAGTCAGGGTTGGCGCCCCAGAAATCGGCGGCTTCTTGGGACGTCATAAGAGTTCCGTGGCCTTTGAACTCGAGGTCGAGGGGAAGAAAGACGGCTTGCATGTAAGGAAGGAGCTTGCCGAAGACGAAAAGCCACATATCCACCAGATGGGGTACTAAACGGTGGTCAGGGACATTTCGCAGAGTCTGATCTAGAGATGTGAAGCCCTTCTGGAATAGTTCGCGGAGATCCTCAATGACGATCGGCGCACTTCGCTTGATGATGCACCTTTGGATGTGGGTAGTAACTAAGCCATTGAGATCCTCAACGGGAACAAGCAGCTCGTCGCCGTCAAAGACAGTCAGTAGATTAGCTTTCAGGAAATCCCATGCGTCTTCAGAGCGCATGTTGTTCAACCCGAAACCCTGCAAAGCCGAAGAAGCAGACGAGCTAGCAGTATGAGAGCTGGAAGAAGGAATTCCAAAGAGCGAAGGAGCAAGACCGGTACCACCACTTAACGCTCCTCCGGTTGCCCAGTCCACTCGGTCAATATCAGCCCTCTTTGGCGCGAAGGGCGGAGCATACCCAGACACAGCTTTATCTTCTTTCTTCTTCTCACGCAATGCACGGCCTCCATGTCGAAGATCCAGCCCGCTGAATGATGATGATGCTGGGCTTGCCGGAGCTGGCGCGAAGTTGTACAAGGACGCCGGAGCACTGGGATCGATAGGCTTAGAGTTGCTGGATGCTGAAGACAATGGAAGGGCATGATCGTCGCCAATCTTATCTTTGATCTTGTTCTTCTGACGGGACAGAAAGTGATGTTTGTGTGCCTTCTCCTTCTCATATGTCGTTTGGCGATCCAGAGGTACCAGCGTAGAGGTTGACGCATTATTCGTAGAATACATAGACGACGCACCCGATGCTAAAGAGTCCGCCAAGCTCGTGACAGAGGGATTGACCATCTTCGAAAGCCCACTTGGGCGCTCACCCTTGTTCGGCGAAGGCACAGGCCTCTCCACCTCTTTGCTTGCCGCACTCTTCGGCTTCGAGAAAAGCTTCATCTTCGACCTCTCCGTTTTGAGTTTATGCTCCTTCTCTGGAAACTCAAAGTGCGTAAGTCCAGGCGACGTTTTCGAGCTATGAGGGAGAGCAGCGTTCGCAGCAGTGACCGCGGCCGCTGAGTGTCCACCCACAGCTCCATTGTAGTTCCTTAGTCCTGGAGTTTGTGGGCCGTTGGGTTTCCTTGATGGTTCTGTTGCAGTCTGAATTGGCGGAGGCTTTCGTCGTCCAGTGATTGTACCTGGAGGACTCTGGTTGGGTGTCGGTATGGTCTGCGAGCGATTCCTGCTATGTTGGGACGACGCTTGGTGCTGCATAGCAGCTTGGGCCGCTATCTGCGAAGCGGAAAGAGTCCCCCCCATAGCGGACTGCTCTGAAAGTGTGGCTGTAGGTAGCGACGGCTCAAAGAAGCCCTGCGAATGCTGCCGCCTATGCCCTGGCGCCTGAGGTGTAGCTCGCAACGGTAGCTCGCTAGAGAATTGTCGTGCTGGTGCGGGTCTGGAGAAGTTGTTGACTGAGGTCGTACTAGAATTCGGATTTGGTGGGGGAAACACGTAAGGGCGAGTGAATTGCGGTTGAGGTGATTGGGTGTTTCGAGACTGCGCGGTTACTTGTGAGGAGCTGGAGGAGTCGCTTTCGGACGCATTACTGCTTTGCGGCCGATTTTGATACGGGCCTGGCGATGCTGGTGCTCGAGGTGAGAAAGCACCGGGGCGCCTGTAGGTTGAGGAATTCATGTTGTGGTGATTTTCTGTCTTTGATGTATGGGCGCCGGGACCGAGCTTCAGCGATTGGATCTGAGCGTTTGTGCTACTTCAGCCGAAGCTGTGATAGCCTGCTTCTGCGCCAAATCCATTGTCGGCCTTGATAGAAAACCTCGACCGTTGGGAAGAGGTTAGGGAGGTGGAGAGGGTGAAGTCGATCAGTGGGGGCCGCTGGAAGCTTTCACTAGCTCATCCTCCGCAGCAGCTCCCTCCTCACTGCCTTCAACATCGCATTTTTGAAGCTCGACAACCATTGCAAGATTACTCAGCTACCATGGCTCCAGCCTCAGACTCAATGAACGATGGCTCTGGTACATCCCTTAAAGCAGACTACGCAACTCCCACCACTACCAAGACCTTCTCTTATCCCCTGCCCCCCGCTTCAAACACATCAACTAAAGAGAAGACATTTCACCTATCGGAGCTACGAAAATCCGTCGTGAAACTACAGGAAGAGGTTAATGGTTTCCTGACTACGAAAATGGAAGAGGATAAGGCTCTGGCAGCGAGTGCTGGGATGAAAGCAGATGATCAGGCCGAGGAAGAGAATTACGGGGAGGAGAAGGTGGAAGACGGCAGCTGAAGTGTGATGGGTCACTTGAGATGTACCATGAATCACTGAGCGTGAAGGATTGTGGACAAGATAATGCGATTGGGGTATCTATGAATCATACGTGGCGGCGATACTGCTATGGTTGGATGCCAAAATGATTTGCCGGAGCTCGGACACTCTTGTTGCCAAGATGAAAGCCACATCCTTCTAGGGGGTCATCCTTATCATCGAGTCGAACAGCCATAATGAACCACGGTGTTGCTACAGGAACCAGCGATTAGCAGAATAATTTGGAGAAAAGCTTGAAAGAACCAGACGTACTCAGGCATGACCTTAATAACACTGCCACCAAATCTCTTATAACAAATACCACACACCCGGTTCTCGGTGATAACAACCCTCCTGTTCCGTCCATCATTGCCTCCACGCACACCATCACCAAGCCGCAGCTTAGCTTCTTCGCTGAAGGCCAGCGTATTTCGCATGCCCGCCGCGATTCTTCCTTCATTGACAAGAGTGTTCGCCGTGCGTATCCTTCCCTGAAAGTACGACTCGAGCTCTTTGATAGGCAAAATCTCAGGGATTAGGTTCAGGGTCGAGGAAGCTGGCATGCGGGCCCCGTGCTTTGCTAGGATATTAAGCGCTGGGCCCCATTGGGGCTTGTGGGGTGGCGGAGGTGAAAGGTAGAGGGACAAAAGGGTGTGGTAGATCGATGGAGGAGCATCGCTGGGATTGATGTCTGTTGCTCGGCCATGAGGCGTAGGTACTGGTGCTGTGGCCGTTTCTGTCAGAAAGATTTGGTTGCAATATTCTTCTGCCTTGTCTGCGTCTTTCAGGTGAAACACATATATGTCCAAAGCTTGCTTGTGGTGGCCCATTTTGCTGAGGATGATGGCTCGTGCTTCGAAGAGATTCGGGTCATCTTTTGGCAGTTTTTGGAGAGCTTTGTACGGCTGAGGGTCCTTGCTCGTCTCTAAGAAGTCAAGCGTCTTCTTTTTCCATGCCGCTCGATCACCGTCGCTAGCAAAGTCATTCGACTTCAGACGGTCGATGTAGACGTCGGAAAGTCTTTGGTGAAAGTCTGGTGTAGTATCGTTGAGCTCATGGATAATATACTCCAGATACGTTCTGGCCAATTTTTTATCAATGCTTTGCAAGAATTCGAGTACTTTCGGTCGCTGCAAAGTTTCCGCATTCTCAGTATCAGCCATAAAGATCTCCATGCCAAGGCTGGGGTCTTTTCTCAGAGGCCATTCTGCGAATTGTAGTATGAGGTCAATCATCTCTGGTGGAAGACTCTGTAAGTAGGCCACCGTTCTCTGAGGACCATGGAGCTGTGGAGCGTCTTCGCTTTCTTCCTCTGCCTCTCCAAATTTCTTGAGTAATTCCAAGGCCGGACGGTGAAGCTTCTTGCCGTAGAAGAAATCGACCAAATCGTTGTAGCGATGGGCTTCGATGAGCCTTTCATTGACCACATCGGGATCACAGAAGTTGTCGATGCGAAACAGCGGTCCGGCAAACGATGGGCTGACGAACATATAGGCGCGAAACAGCGTAGTGTCGACAATCTTGGCGGTCTGAAGCAGTCGTTCTTTGTCCTCGAATGCATCGAGCGTAGTCGTCCCTACAAGAGAGGCAATTTCCCTGACTTCTTTCTGAGGCATGTTGTCAAGCACGTCGAATTTTACATTTCCATCCGGATCTAATATCTTCTTGAATTTCGTCCTGGCCGACACCAAAAAGCCTCGCAGCTCTTCAGTAGCAGTCTTGAGGTCTTTGCCTTCAAGCGACTTGTCACCGCCTTGCCTTTCGCTGCCTTCATTCGAATCCTTAGCGCTGCTCTCACTTGATGGCATGTTGGGAGGGATCTCCTCGGACGAGGTTTTGATTTCCGATGCACCATCTGTGCTCGCTTCGAAATGATCCTCATTCAGATTGTCCTTGTGTAAAGGAGACAGTGGCGATGCATCTCCAGCAATGAAGGGAGGATACATGCGGATAACCCTCTCCGGAGGCGCAGAAACCTCAGTGAAGAGGTCGATCGAGTCTCGGTATCTTCGTTGGTCAAAGAGCTGTTGAGCTTTGATGATCTTGATATCTCGGACACGACCTTGTTTGTCTTTGAGCAAGGCATCTTCCAGCATAGCGAGTAGGCTGAGTGCCTCATCAAGTCTGCCTCGCTCAACCAGTGCATCGATCTGAGCGTCATAGTCCAGAGCCTTCATCCTCCAGATGCAGCGGTCGCTGGAAACGAGGAAACCTTTGCCAGCATGGGCCAAGCTGACGCTCGGTTGTGGGACGTGCAGCTGATGTGCGGATGGCAAGGATATCGTTTGCAGGAGGCTCAGTGTTTCTGGATTCCTCACCTCTAGGGTACCTTTGGTTGCCTGGAGGGCTAGCAAATACGGATATGAGTAGCCAACAGCTTCTGGAGCAACAGACCAGGGTATCTGCCGTCTTCCGAGAGAATTGGCGTCTGTATCAATGAACATCGTATTGATATCCTTGGCCAATAGCATCTCCCCTGCGCCCAGCTGAGTTGCAAGAGGGGGCGGGGAGGTCATTCCCAAGTATCCCATACTTGCAACTCCAGCGCCGCTGAAGCGCCCCCCATCTTGTCCTGGTGCTCCCCCTATACTTCCCGGCCCAATTATGTCCGTGACTGCAGAGCTCTCCACATCGACTAGGACATAGCTCGAATTGAGCCCTGCGATAAGTTTTGTCCCAGTCGCCCATTTGAAGGCCCTAATAGTGTTGACGAGCGTGATTTCTGATGTCTCGGGTGCAAGTTCACTATCATGCCACGACCATAGTATGAGCCGCCTCTTTACCGCAACAGCTAATCTGGAAACAATCGATGGCACGCCCGTAGATTCATCCCTGACAACATTCGACGTCACCGCAAATGTACTCGCGCCCTTCGCCTTCACCAAGGTCTCTTGTAGTTCGTAGCTCTGTAGGTCGTGGATGTGGACTTGGCTGTTCGAGAGGGAGACGAGGATATTGGCTTCTTTGACCACCGCTAGCTGCTCCACCTTGTATTTTGAAAACTTCTCAAGCTCTCGCATCAAGTCCGCAGGCTTAGGGCCTGACTGGGATATGGGCCTGTCTCCGTCTGTGGGGCTTTCATTTCGCTCGCCGGCCTCGTCGATGGGATCATTGACGCGGTAGATACGGAGGCTGCCTGTGTTGAGACCGACAAGGAGACGGTCACCTAACAGACGATCAACAAGTCATCCCTAACTCGTTCCTAGAAGAGCAGAATTACCATAGGCAAGGACCGACTCAATCTTGGACTTGTCTCTCGGCTTGAGCTCGACGATTGGTCGAGCAGTAAATGCCGACAACATTGTTTCTGCTTTGCATTACACTCGGCGTCACCTTCTCATACGAATGGAGTATACGACAGTCTCATATTCAGCCATATTGGCATCACCAGCTCCACTGCAAGTACGATTGCATTTACTGGAGCTTGCTCCAAGGGTTTGTGCTGGGGTTGCGGAGAAAGAGGCAATATTCCGCGCCGGGTAGCAAGTGTGAATTGAGAAATCTTGGCCCAGAAAGCAGCAAGATGCATTTCGAAAGCAGTTTGAAGTATTTAAATTTGGATGCCCGGCGTCTATACCGCATATCTCATCGCTATGTGTAGCGCCAAAAGCTCTGCCGCCCGGTGAGTTCAAGAACGAAATGGCACTAGCCCTGAAGTCATCCAACAGCTCTTCCCAATGTCATCTTTCATATCCACCCAACACGTCCAAAATTTCCTGGAAATAGATCAGCTTTCTGCCATTCTTCTAGCTGCTGAAGCCGAACGACTATTTCAGCTGGGGAATGTTTTCCTAAGCGGGTCCCGTCGAGACTGGCGAAGACAGTCGGTGGATCGGATGGGTCCAGTACAGCATCGAGGCATTGACGGCAGTCGCAGATTTCACCATGTACGCCCACTCCTGAGTCCTGTTCATAAAATTCTCTGTAAGTTATTTCGCAAGTTCTAGAGCCCAAAGTGTCCGTGTGGTGGCACTACCCAAACCATCACTCGCTAGGCGCAATCACGGATAACGTTGCGTGCTATCAAGTTCCATAGGTGAGCTCTCCCTTTGTGAAGGAAGCTCCACCGCAAAATTTGCCGGATGTGATTGTTGAGAAAAGAGCGGTGCAACACCTGGGTACGAAGTGCTCGTCTTCGCGTCTGGCCTCTGGCTGTAATCCGAATAGCTCGAATTAGACGGGTTGGCGACTTGAGGGTTGCTCGCATACGAGTATCGATCGTGAGATCCACCGCTCACCACGCTCTGATCATCGGAGCAGGTTCCGCTTCCTGAACGCATTGACCTCCTGCCTTGATATGGCATTCCGGCTGCAGGAGTACCGCCAGAATGGTAGTCCGGGGGGTAAGAATCTTGAAACGTCTGCTCAGCGAGCCCGGTGTTGTGTGTTTCCGCATCGATGATGTGGGCTTTCTCCACGAGCCTTCGAACCAATGTCGAATGTGCCTTCTTCGTCGTCTTCTTCACGAAGCCGCCCATTACAACGTTGACTTTCATTTCGACATCTTCTCGTAGCCACAGCCCTGTTTTGGGCACACCCAAGCCGATCTCGACGGCTTGTCTTGGCTCTCCTGGTAATGATCCACCTAGCGTCCATCTGCCTTTCATATTTAGCCCCATTGGAGCGTAGATGTGAGACTGTAGACCATCAGGCAGATCGTGGAAACAGGCGTTAAATGTGACGCTGCCAGAATAGAGACCGCCTGGTAGATAGTTGACTTTGTCAGTGACGGAATACCATTGGCAATGGTACTCCTCTGGAGTGGCTTCTGATGGAGGCTTGATAGGATGACGTTCCGTCACGAGGGGATTCAAATCGATCATTGCGACATGATTGTGAAGCGTCTCCAGGACTGTTTCTCGAGTGATACCGGCCGGGAGAGCGGTCACGGTGGTAAAATGGGATTTTTTAGACATGATTTGAACAGGAAGATAACAGCAAGTTTTGGTATCGCTATCTATGCAGACGCCGAGTTTTAATGGAGCAGTATTTGCCCCAAATATTTGGCGCACGCAGCTATATGACAGAGAATCGAAGACTTAGAAACATAATCTATTTTGTGCTAGGTCTTACTGCTTCAAGGTAGTATTTTTGGACATGCTATGGACGATAGTATAAGCTCTGACAGATCAAACGAGAGGTTGCTTGTCAGAATTGGCCAAGTGCTTATTTAAGGCGGGGTCGCTGTGCATACATAGCCCAGAAACCTCCTTATAGGTACCTTACCAAGGCGGCATCAGATACTTGCAGTGCAAACATGCACACCAAAGGCGGCAGCAAGCAATGACAGTGCCAAATCCACACCAAGGCAGCTGCAAATATTCGCAATGCTAAGTTCACACCAAGGCGGCACCGAGGCGGCACCAAGGCGGCACCAGGGCGGCCAAGGCGGCATTCATCAAGACGGAGCTCTCACCACCAGAACAGACCTCACCAAAACGAAGCTCAACATTATACTACACTCAGATAGTCGTCGAAGAACACGCTTCTGGGCAGAAGAGTGTGGTTGTTCCTCGGCCTGAATTTTGCCGAGGACCGTTTACGAATCCTTCAGACTGGTTCCGACCACTGTGGGAACCGGTCAGGACCAATAGTCCAGAGATTGGCCATCTTGGGCTGTGATTAGCTTTGGTTTGAAATTCCAAGGGGCACGTCACTCCTGTTGCTACTTTCTCTCCTTGTCTTTCGTCTTGCATGTATATCAGACGTACTGATCCTAGATACATACATTCAGCTCAGCGAAAGCCAACAATGTCGCCTTAGTGCTTGACAAGGACTCCTGTGGTCTGCAGTCTGCTAATTGCTCTAACTAAGTAAGAGACAGGCCTTTACTTGACCTAAGTCTGTAGGTGGGTCGTCCTTCTCCCACAGACGATTGTCCGGGGGCGTTTGCGGCGGTGGGTGGTTGGTGCTGTTGCTGGTGGCTTTGTTTCAATAAGCACGGATCGGATGCAGAGTTCGCTGTGGGTAGTCGGCGGGCTTGAATTGGCCATTGCGGGGGCCTGGGGGTTCGGCCGGCTACTGGGTTGGAGGACGGATGAGGTGGGTGATGACCGTGTTGGGATGTTATCGTTGCGTCTGGTTCTTGTTATAGAGACAAGTGGTGTTCATCGAGCCCAGTCACTGGCTATGATTCCCCTTCCAAGCTTTTCATGAGCAAGGGGGGTTTTTTTAGATCCCAGGTAGGTCGATTGAGGGGACTTTGATGTGCTGGCTATGATGTTGACGGAGTGTGTCTTGCCAGCCTCACGTTGACTAATGCCTCCAATCCTGCCACTATCGCAGTCACACTAACTGTACGAAAATGTCACTGCTCGTCAGTGGGACGAATAACAATCCCAACACTGACGCATCAAATTCTTGACGTAGCAGCGCTGATGGACTCCACAACGCCGCAAGGATCAATGCATCGAGGGTCCTAGGATCCTAGCATGGCCTTTCAGCTCGCATCGCAAAAAGCTCTCCATGGATGTTGATGCTCGGAAAGCCGCCGGTTTCTGATCCTGATCGATGCGGGTCTAGTTTCGGCATCGCCTACTCGTATGCAGAGCTTGGTTTCCGGGGACCGCGGTCTTTTACTCCCGGATACATTCGGTATATCGATCTGGGGACAAAAGATTCCCGCTGCCGCTGGATGGGATGTCTTTGTATCGGAGAAGAAGATGGCGATAGAAGCGTTCATGGAAATGCCAACTGCGTTTTGCAAAGAGACCCGCAAGAGATCCGCGGGAGACTCCTCACACGCTTAGCAGTCAAGCAAGGCCCAAGTTTTCAACTGATCATATTTTAAATCGGTACGAGGGGTACTCAGCCGCAAGACCCAATCCACCTAAGAGCTACAAATCCGCCCAGACCATTGCACTGCACCCTTTGCGCGCACAACCCAGGGACAATAACGTGTGGTGAAGTTTGCATAGAGAGGGAGAGAGAGAATTCGTGCGCTCTCATGGCCCACACGCTCAGCCACTTCCTTCCTCCCTTCCTTCCTCCCCCTTCAAGCACCGAAGACCCAAAACCACCTCCCCGTCCCCCGCTCCGCCGGCCGCGATAGCAAATACCGCCTCAACCTCCTCGCATCCTTGGCGCTCCGATACCGCGGACTCGCAAGCGCGTACTGGTACAGATCCGCCACGCCCATGTCTTTTGTGGAGTTTTTGCTACCGGGGGTAGTCATCGTGGTATTGTCATCATCGTCAGCAGCAGCAGCAGCGGAACCCACTCTGCCTCGCTGGGCTGGTGGGGCCAATGTGAGCGAGAAGGAGAAATCGCGGTGGAGGAAGTCCGGGCAGGATTGGGTGGCGGATGTGCAGAGGTTTATGCAGAGGAGGAGGGAGAGAGCGATGATGATGAGGGAGAGGAAGATGTATGTTCCGGAACGGTGGTGGGGAGAGGGCATGGTTATGGTCGGTGGGTGCATTCCGTCCGTCCGCCTGCTCAACGAACGAGAGGGTTGGAAAAACTTCACAATCATCGCCCGCGGATGCAGGTGCGATGGTATGCTCTATCTATAAATACCCGCCACGGTCCCCGCATGTGGCTTCCGTCCCTGTGCTCAAACGTTCGCATTTGTGGATCCTGGGATGCGATACGCGCATCGTAGTCCAAGCCTTTTTTTTTGCAGAAGAAGAAGAAGCGCGGGACAAGCATTCATTCATTCAATTCTTCTGGGCCGAGAGTAAGCGCAAAGCGTGCGGACCGCGTCGCGACACGGCTATAGTAACGGGCGGTCTTGCACTTGAGCATGGAAAGAGAGAGGCGGTTGAGTGGGTTCGGCTTGAGCGCTGAGCATCCGGGGGGGGTAATACAGGCCTTTGGACAGTAAAAGCATGGGGCATTTTGCCGTCGGTCCTGCTGGCATAACGTGATATAGGCATAAAGGGCGAGGTCCCATATATCGGCCAGAGGTTCTGTTACTTTGGATGGATAGATAGATAGATAGATAGATTGCTGTTGTGGTGAATAGTCATGTGTTCGCTTGGAGACAGATGGGCTAGACGTGTGGTATGGGGTAACTTGCGACGGTGTGGGACATTGTGCTCATATGAGGAGCGCGGTAGCTATTCAAAAAGGGGGGTGAGAAGCTTTCCAGAGTGCGAATGTTTGAAGGCAGACAGAGGGGTAAGGGATCGGGATTGATTAAGCCAGGAGTTGTACAAGGAAGGCGCAGAGGGCGGATTGATAAACAATGGTCCAAGTCTTCAACTTGCATGTATTTCTTGCACATGTTAGGAGTGTTGCGATAGTACCTTCATCAGGTCAGATGTGACCAAAATTGCCAATATAATCATGCTGCTACCATTCCAACTTTGCTCGCGCCCAAAGATTTGCCTAATCCAAGACGTAAAGCCGGCCCGTTACCCTTTCCAGTGGTCATCCTCAACCGCTTCCTCCTCGCTTCACCGCCTCTCTCCTCGCCTTGTGAAGCCTTCTCGTCCACCCAGGCAATCTTTTCGATACGATAGCTCAAACCATCGTGGTCATTACCCCATGGTCGAGACCTGATACCATGGCTTACGTGCGAGGTGTAATTTTCGAGGGTCGGTAGGATGAGTATTGTCAGATGGAGGTCTTTTCTAGCCGGCGGAAGCAATGGCGAGGAGGGCAGAGTGGTATATTCCGTCTGCTTAGTATCTGTTGTGCCATTGACAGTATTCAATTCAAGCATGGAAACGTCGATAGAGTCGCCCCAGTCACCTCGTATCCAGCCGGCATGGACTGCAGCAGCCAAAGGATCGGTATCATCTGAATATACGTCGGTACCCCAGACAGCGCGGCGGAGGCAGACCTGCTCCCGTTCCTCTTTGGACAGGTAGAACCGGGGAATACGGATTGTCATGGTGCAGTTTTCCTTGCCGTCGCAGCGCGGGATGGTAAAAGGCGAGGATGTGTACATGAGTTTGGAATCGAGAGACACCATTGAAGTGGGGGGTTCAATGGTTGGAGAGTAGAGGATCGAGCCAAGGTGTTGTCTTGGGAGGTTGCGGACCTTGTCGAGTATTTCATCGTTTTTGATAGTCGCGGAGGGCATGCGAGGAGCAGTCTTATGTTGTATAGTGGGCACTTTCGAGTGGTTGTGGTAGTGGATGGTTCCATCAGGATGATGGTGGTGATGGTGGTGATGGTGATGAGAAACTGGGGTTGCTGAGTTGCCGGGATCGCGCATTGTCGAGCCATTTAGTCCGTCTTGGCGGTGATGATGATGGCTGGAAGGGTTAGCTGAATACTCGGAGCTGATCATAGAGAAGACTCACTGATGACCGTGTTCATGATCATGGTGATGGTGATGATGAGCACTTTTCCTCTTGATGCCCCTTGTTCCCGATGGGCCAGTTGTGCTCCGCCCATCGGCGACCTCGATCTCCTTTGAATCATCGTCCTTAACTTTCTTACTGGCTCTCTTACCTATCTTCGAGCCATTACGAGCTCTCGCAAATTCAACCAGCTCACCGCGGCCATTGAAAGGTGGCCTACGCTCAGGTTCTGTACTCGGCTTGGGGCTCGGCGGAGGAAATGGAGTCGATGCGCCGCTGTTCATGCCTGTGCTACTGACTCCAGTCCCAAGACCAGCAAACATCCTTGAGAACTCATTCTTGATGGTCGGATCGGTGGACGGTCCACGCTTCTGGACCTGTGCCCCTTGAACAGCTTGAGGAATGGGCGAGGTACGGCCCAGACGCTTGTTCTCGATCATAGAAAGCATACTTCTATGATTTTGGCCAGCGTCTTCTCCAACCCTGGTTTGGCGGCCAGTTCCATCAGTGCTAGCAGGGCCATCTGTAGCTGGAGTGGAGAGCATAACATTATGTGGATACGCTTGCGATTGTCGCTCATCAACGGTATCCGGAAATCGAGGTCGTGAGGCTGATGGAGAGTAACTCGTGGTTTGCTGATTCAATCTTTGACGCTCTTCACGCAGACGCCGGAGAGAATCCTCTGAATATGGCCCTTTGGGAGTACTTGATTTAGACTGTGTGTCACTGACGAGGCGATTGGCATACGATTCTACTTCCGGCTGAGGAGCGCTGGCGCTTGGTTCTGAGAAGACGGAAGACTGAGTCAAGAAAGGATAATTCAGTCCACTGATGCGCTCGTCCTTGGTACTACCGTGAGTCGCAGATTGAGCTTCCTGTTCCAAGCGTCGTTGTCGCTCGAGCTGCTCTTGCCGACTAAGATAGTCGAAGGACGAGACGCGATCACGATTTGCATATCGCAATGCCTCATCTCTTGCTTTGTTGTCTTCCTCCTGTTTCGCTTGTGCTTGTCTGTGTGCTTCCAACTCTGCCATTGCTCTATCACTCTCGAAGGGTAATATGCTATAGCCATTCGGCTGACTATTTGGCCTGTTTTGAAGTCGCCCCGTGATCGGATTTCTGTTTTGTTGTCTCCACTCTTGCATGATACCGTTTTCGGAAGTGGGGGAGTATTTTGAGGTCGCTGTTGCAGACAGTGGCCCCTGTCTAGCGCCATCTGGTGAAGTCGCTTTGACTGTGGCGTAGGATCGCTGGGGGGTTCCTCCTGAATAGGCGCGAAACGGGCGATTTCCGGGGTCTTGAGAGACGTGGTGTTTGTCTGGGGAGCCTCGATGCAGAAAAACATTGCTGTTGCTTGATCTTGTTGGCGACGGAGTAGGCGCAGCTTGTTGAGCCGAGGAATACGACAATGGGGGAGAAGTGCCGTTCATGAGCGGAGCCACGGCAGGTTCTCGAGTTGACCGTCCAGGATCGGTACCAAGCATGGATGAGATTGACATGCTGCTGCCCGGACGATTTGTAGTGGATAAAGCCGGTAGTTCTCGCCCCCCTGAGAAAGGAGGAGGCGGAGGGGGGACTCGCGACATTGATGCCTGCGCATTGTATTGTGGTGAAGGTGGAAGCATGGGGCGTCCACTGAACGGTGGAGGGGGAGGCGGAGGGGGAGGATTATCGTGTGCTATACAATATGTCATGACGGATCAGCAAACAGGCGATGGAAAACCAGAAATGGTTGACAAAGAAGGAGGTACAAAGATAAAGGGGCCTCGTGCGCGGTCTATCAAGGAACAACTTATGCGCCACGACATGCACTTACCTCCATACATTCTGGGCGAGCTAGTCCGGTGCTCTGGCTGACGAACAGCGTCCCTTTGAGTGGAGGGATCTTGTAGAGACGAAGCGAAGGTTGCTGAAGGCGGTGGAGGGGGCAAGCTCGATCCTGGGTAATCTGGCGTTAGCAAAGCTGTCCCTCGGTATCTTAGAGTTTAGCTCCCGCGCTTTATGCAGCAGGGGCCGGCGCTCGGATCCGAGCTGTGGGGAAAAACAAAACAATGCCATAGCTGTCCAGAACACCATGTCGAGTTCAGACAGATATGTAAAAGAGCATAGAACTTTAGCAGATAGAAAGAATGGAGGCGTACAAGACGTATCTAAGAAAAAGGTCATCGAGATTTCCAACACTATAGATAGAACGCATCCCGCCACAAGGAGAGGCACTGCGGGCGCAAGCTGGAGATATGCCCGTCATGCAGTCCATGCAGCGGGATTAATGAGATCAGAAGCTTGATCCAAGACGCACAGACATCCTAACATCGATAACAAAACGGCGGCACTTTTGATCCCACTGAGCGCAAAGCGGTACTTGAGGAGTAAGAGACATTGGTACCCAGAAATATTAGGGACGCCGACCAGTTCGGCGTTCAGTCTGCAGCAGAGTAGAAAAAGAAATTCAAGCGCATCAGCGTGAGAGAAAAGTTGAGGCTTACCCTCGCTAGCATGATGCCTATATCTATCCGCCCTCCCATCTCCTACCCGTGGCACCCACGACCCACTATGATTATTCTCCTGTGGTCTATCTCGTATCTCCATCGCCATACCCAACGCGTCACGTGGCAAGCCTGCAGCGTACGAGCCGATAGTAAATGGTCCTTGTGACAGCGACTTTGGCGGCTCTGGTCGAGATTCGTCGCGCTCATTTCTGCGCGGAAGGAAGGGATCGTTGTTCAGACTTGGCTGCAGGCGGTGTGCAGGCGCTTGTAGAGTGTAGGGAGGAGGAGGTATGGGAGCTTGTCGTGGATCGCGTGCGCTCGACTGGGACAGAGGTCGAGCGAAAGGATTTTGTAGGTTGTTTCGAGCATCCATCTTTCCCTTTCACAGTTCCAATGGTGGGGGCGGGTTTAATATTGTCGCTTGAGATTTTATTGGGTATGATGTATTTGTAACGATATTCCCAGGAGTGGTTGGCTACAGCATATCTCTCATTCTTCGAGTCAGAAGGAGCAAATTGTGGTGGTGGGTGTGTCGTGTTGTGTTGTGAAGAGGAAGGGGAAAGGAGGTGCAGTACGGTAGGTTGGCAAAGCAGCAATAATGATGATAAGTAAAGTAAAGTAAAGTTAAAGATGTCTAGCTATTCTTATAATTGATTAAAGTACTTTAGGTAATTTTTAAGTTTACTTTTAATTACTTTTAGTCTTCAAGCGCCAAATCGAATGGAGCGTGACGGCTTCCGTAAAGGTTAAAATCTTACCCCTGCTGCATCGTCACTTCCCGCCCAATCCCTGCATATGCAGTTTATGCAGATTATGCACATTCAATTAATTCATTCATTCCATTCCATTCCATTCATCATCTCTTCTCATCAAGTGAATCGCATCAACATTTTCGCGCAAACAAATATTTCCAACCTCTTGCGTGCCAGAGGAAAAGGTGTACGGAAGAGAAGACTTTCGGTCGAGCCGAGCACTGCTCATTCGCAGAATCCTACCTTACCTTACCTATGACGATTAATGGCGCGTGCCCCATGAATCCAGCACCCATCCCCCAGGAGATGGGCGGCTTTACCGAGGACGGTTTCATCCATCAGGAATGGTAACATGTTACCTCTGCCTGGATCCCCAGCATCTTCTTGGGCCATGTACAGAGCCCGACTCGCAGCTATTTTTAGGGGGGCGGAACCCCGAGTCTGTTCAGCATTCTGGCTCTTTGGTAAATCCAGCTCCAACGTTCCCTCAAGGGTAGAAAGGCATATGAAATCTGACATTCGTGCCCTAGGTCTCATCAACAATGTCCTCTATGTCATTATCCTCTCCGCCGCCCTCGATCTCGTCGGTCCGTCGGTACCCAAGGCGGTTGTCCTCCTGTGCGATGTCATACCCTCCTTCCTCATGAAGCTATGCGCGCCCTACTTCATCCACGCAATACCATACCCCATTCGAGTCCTCCTCTTTTCCGTGTTTTCGGCCGTTGGCATGCTTCTGATAGCGCTTACACCACCATACACGGATGGAGGAACCATAACAACAAAGATGGCCGGGGTCGTGCTGGCTTCGATGAGCAGTGGTGGAGGCGAACTGAGCTTCATAAGTCTGACGCACTTCTACGGCCCCTTCAGTCTCGCCTCTTGGGGGAGCGGTACCGGTGGTGCTGGGCTCATTGGTGCTGGGTCATATGCCTTAGCCACCACAACATTGGGCCTAAGTAGCAAGCATACAATCTTTGCGTCGGCCTTTCTCCCGCTCATCATGCTCGTCAGCTTCTTCATTATCCTTCCGAGGGAGCCATTGATCCGGCAAGCAGCCACAGTTTCGAATAGATCGGAACCTTCACATGCCACTGGAGATGAAGACGACGAAGGTTCGGATCCTCGCGAGACTCAGGAAGATGAGGGGTTGCTCCCACAACCGTCAAATTTGACCGGCGCAAACTCGTTTAGAATGTCCAAAAACCAGTCATGGGGAGCAGCATTTCTCCAAAATTTGCGGCGCTCGCGCTCTTTGTTCTTTCCGTAGTACGGTCCCCCTTCCCTTCAACGTTCTGATTCCGTCACTGACATCCCACAGTATGCTGCCGCTCCTCCTGGTCTACATCGCCGAATATACCATAAATCAAGGGGTTGCACCCACCCTTCTATTCCCTCTGAAAGACAGTCCGTTCAGACACTACCGTGCCTTCTATCCAACCTACAACGCTATATACCGTACGTACAGTTCGGAGCTGATTCTTCCTATTCCGTAATGAACTTTGAGTCGCAAGACATGTTTCGGGAGCAAGAAGACCTTTCTACTCCCCAGACCTGTCTTGAAACTCCATTTCCCGCCTCGAATAAACAATGCTGACTCGGAAATCTGCGTAGAATCCGGCGTCTTCATCTCTCGTTCCTCAACCCCTTTCCTTCGCATACACGATCTCTACCTACCATCCCTACTGCAGTGCCTAAACCTAGCGATTTTAATACTGCAAGCATTGTTCGGCTTCATACCCACTGTTTGGATTGTTTTCGCAATCGTGTTCTGGGAGGGTCTGCTTGGTGGCGCGGTTTATGTAAACACGTTTGCTGAGATCAGCGATCGAGTCGCTAAAGACGAGCGGGAGTTCTCGTTAGGTGCAGTCACGGTTAGTGATAGCGGTGGGGTTTGTATCGCGGGCTTCATCGGCATGGCTTTGGAGGTCGGGTTGTGCAGATGGCAGGTTAGCCACGGAAAGGATTGGTGTCAGCAACTTTGACATATGTGAGGGTATTTTGCAATATATACACAATCGAATCTATCCAATCATCATATCGTCATCGTTGAAACCCGTGATCTTCATCGCTCTTTAGGCGCCATTTCTTGCTGTCCTTTCGTTCCCTCCACCTGTTCTTTCGAGCTCAACGCAGCCTCCATCGCCTGCTCTAACTTTGCCAGCCCCTCTTCAATCTCCTCGTCACTGATGATCAGCGGCGGCACAAACCTTAGCGTATTGGTTCCGCAAGTGATGATCAGCAAACCCCTCTCCCTCGCCGCCGTCACAATAGGCGTCGGATCCTGCGTCAGCTGCAAGCCTAGAATCAACCCTCGGCCTCTGACCTCTTTGATAACCTCTGGAAAGCGCTTTCGTAACCTCTCAAACCCCTTCCGGAAAATCTTCTCCTTTTCCATAACGCCCTGCTGCAGCTCTGGCTCTGACAATCTAGAGAAGATATAATGCGCCAACCGACAAGCCAACGGGTTCCCACCGAACGTCGTGCCGTGGTCACCGGTCACCACGCACTCTGCCACTTTCTCCGTGACCATTGTTGCCCCTATTGGGAATCCGTTCCCCAGTGCTTTTGCTGTAGTGAGGATATCAGGATGTGCAGACTCGGGCAGGTTCTGATGTGCCCATAATTGCCCTGTACGCGAGAGACCACATTGGATCTCGTCGTAGATCAGTACGGCGCCTACTTCGTTGCAGCGATCGCGTAGTGCTTGGAGAAACGAGGACGTGGCCACGTTGACCCCGCCTTCGCCTTGGATGGGCTCGACGATTACCCCGCAGGTCTTTTCGGTAACGAGGACTTTGATGCCGGCTTCGTCGTTGTAGGTGCCGTAGACGAAGCCTGGGATCATTGGGCCAAAGGGTTTCTGGTACTTTGGGTTGGGGGTTGCGGACAAGCTACCCATTGTTCGCCCGTGGAAGGAGTTGTTAAAGCTGACGATCTCATGCTGAGAGCCGGAGGGCTGCCGTACCTTTCCCACTTTCCGGGCGAATTTTATAGCAGCTTCATTGGCCTCGGAGCCAGAGTTGCAAATGAAGACTTTGGACGCTTCGGACATGGAGCCCGAAGCGCGTGTCTTTTGAACCATGACTTGGGAGAGGGCACCGGTCCAGGGGTTGTGGTAGAGGTTTGACGTGTGAATGAGCGTCCGTGCTTGCTGTCCGATCAATTTGGCCATCTCGGGATCGCAGTGGCCTAATGCATTAACAGCTATCCCGGCGGTGAAGTCGAGGTACTTTCGGTTCTCAATGTCCCAGAGATAGCAGCCTTCGCCTTTGACCATCATGGGTGGAGGGCGGACGTAGGTCGCTACCATGTATTGGGTATGCTCGCTGACGATTGCGGCAGTTTGGGAATCGCCGGGCGGGTCGGGGTTTGGGAGGGAGGCTTCTTTCTGTACGGTTATCAGCTTGTTAGTTCTCCGTGATCTGTGGAATATGAAGCTCACGGAGTAGTCATGTTTCGTTTCTTCCGCCTGACTCTCAGTCGGGACGGCCATGGCGGAGGCATTGCGTCTCGAGAGAACTGGCTCGTGTATAGAGACCCGAGTGACGCCATTGCAGGCTGCTCCTGTTCTTCGAACGGCCAGACGCAATGCCATGACAGAACGAGGTGCATGAATCAAAATATGGGCGGGGCAAAAGAGAGGATGAAAAAAATGAGTCTGAACGAGGTCATAGGGCTGAGAGGGGATTTGATGTTATCGATAACAGGCGAGCTAGCAGTCTTGGCGCGCTAAGCGTCATTATGCAGAGAATAATTCATCGCCCCTCAAATCTTCTTCCTTGTCTTGCCACAAACCAATTTGTACTTTGTTTTCCTATTCGTACACGACATATTGAAACAAAATCTTGGAACAGAACGCAATGCAGTCTGCTCGTCCACTTGCTTTTCGGTCCCAGCTCACTCGGCGTCTCTTCTCATCCGGCCCCCATCTTCGCGCCGCCGCTCCTTTCGCCTCAGGTCCAGCACCCCCCCGCCTACCCAAAGAGGATCAGGAGCTGTACGAGCAACTACAACGCTCTTCGACGGGAGCATTCAGCACACCGAAGCCAACAGTCGTCATCAATCAATCCCCAGCTGCCACTTCAGATCCTCCCAAACGATCGAGGCCGCAGATAAATCAGTCGCCGCATACCGAACAAGCTGCAGAGCCCTCGACGGAGCAGAAGCTTGAGAACATCAATGCGAAGGTAGAGGCAAGGGGTAATGGGGAAGAGCTGCACCCGGATGTGAGAAGAGGCGTTCTGCCCGAGTTCGAGGGGGAGAGGAATCCAAAAACTGGTGAAACAGGAGGACCGAAGAACGAGCCACTGAGGTGGGGTGGAGGGGTAGATTGGAGTTATAATGGCAGAGTCACAGACTTCTGAGTCAGAACTGTTGTGCCGGTCACGGCGTTTGGCATCATGGTTCTATAGGTTCAGCGAGTTTACTGAGCAGAGAGTCGCGTTGGGCATACGGGAGCGTTTGTTTGGCAAAGCTTTTGTTCTACGATCATCAGCTTTGATATAGTACCTCACGCCGTTCAGCAGGCCAAAGCCTGAAAAACGTTTCACAGTGTTAGCTTCGGTATCATAACTGTATCAGTGCGATTTGCCATAGAATGAACCGTCAATGGCTCGTCGTAGAAAAGTGGCGAAAACTGATGGTGCATTTGCGGACGGATAAATTTTGATATGAGTCATTCTTACTCGGATTCAACAATCAACAACGAATTGCTCCCATTTTACCGTTGCTCATAGATTCTGCATTTCCTACCCAACGCCATGGAGCACATCAAAGAGGTATTCGCGCAATGCAAGAGGGAAAAGCGCTCCGCACTGGTCACATACGTGACCGCAGGTTATCCCACTGCAGATGAAACGGTAGACATACTACTGGGAATGGAGGCAGGCGGCGCTGGTAGGTACCAGCACGCAGGAAGGATGACCAACTGCTAAGCCTACTGCAGACCTCATCGAACTCGGTCTCCCTTTCACAGACCCAATTGCAGATGGTCCTACAATACAAAAGTCAAATACTCAGGCATTGAAGAATGGCATTACGGTCGAGTCGACGCTGGAGACAGTACGGAAAGCGAGAAGAAAGGGTTTACGGGCACCGGTTTTGTTCATGGGCTATTACAATCCTTTACTGAGCTATGGAGAGGAGCGATTACTGAAGGATGCGAAAGAGGCCGGGGTCAATGGCTTTATCGTGGTCGACTTGCCACCAGAGGAGGCTGTCAGGTTTAGGAACTTCTGCACCGAGGGAGGGTGAGTCCTGAGTTCCATTGCTTGAAACAGGGCCGTACTCATATGGGTGACTTTTAGTCTATCATACATACCGCTCATTGCACCAGCAACCTCGGAAGAGCGCATGAAGCTACTATGCAAGATTGCAGACTCCTTCATATACGTCGTCTCACGGATGGGTGTGACTGGTGCAACAGGCAAACTTAGCACAGGCATTGAAGAGCTTGTTGATCGTGTTCACAGATACTCGAATAATGTACCAGCGGCCGTTGGATTCGGTGTCAGCACAAGACAGCACTTCCTGGACGTGGGAGCAGTAGCTGAGGGTGTGGTTATAGGGAGTCAGATTGTTACGACATTAGCCAATGCTCCTGCCGGGCAGGGTGCTCAAAAGGTGGAGGAATACTGTTCTGAGATCACTGGTCGAAAAGTCGGGAAGCATACGGTTACGAATGGAGTCAAAAGGACAATGGAGAAGGAAAAACCATACGCCAATGGAAACCAGAAGATGGAAAATGGCCACGGGGACAACGAGGAGCCAGTACATGTAGACGAGGTTATCAAGCCAGGACAAAACGGTAGCGGACCCGGCTTGGCAACCCAACTCGAAGCCCTCAACACAGATGGCGGCGATAATGCAGCGATACCATCACGATTTGGCGAGTTTGGTGGCCAGTATGTGCCCGAGTCGCTGATGGACTGCCTAGCGGAACTCGAGGAAGGCTTCAACAAAGCCAGAGATGACCCTAAATTCTGGGAAGAATATCGCTCATACTATCCATACATTGGCCGACCTGGCCAGCTCCACCTCGCCGAGAGACTGACAGCCCATGCGGGCGGTGCAAATATCTGGCTCAAACGAGAAGATCTGAACCATACTGGAAGTCACAAGATCAATAACGCACTAGGCCAGATCCTGGTTGCCAAAAGACTCGGCAAGACCGAAATCATTGCGGAGACAGGAGCTGGTCAACATGGAGTTGCGACGGCAACTGTATGTGCTAAGTTCGGCATGAAATGCACCATCTTTATGGGTGCAGAAGATGTCCGCAGGCAGGCACTGAATGTGTTTCGCATAAAATTACTCGGCGCCAAGGTCGTGGCGGTCGAAGCTGGGGCCATGACGCTCCGCGATGCAGTCAATGAAGCAATGCGAGCGTGGGTTGTCGATCTATCAACGACTCACTACATCATCGGCTCGGCCATTGGACCTCACCCTTTCCCTACCATCGTCCGCACGTTCCAATCGGTCATCGGTGACGAGACAAAAGAACAGATGCAGAAACTGAAAGGGAAGCTTCCAGACGCCGTTGTCGCATGTGTAGGCGGTGGAAGTAATGCAGCGGGCATGTTCTACCCCTTCGCAAATGACCAGAGTGTCAAGCTTCTCGGCGTCGAAGCCGGAGGAGACGGGCTGGACACGGAGAGGCATAGCGCTACCTTGACGGGAGGCAGCAAGGGTGTCTTACATGGCGTGCGAACCTACGTCCTACAAAACAAACACGGCCAAATCTCAGAGACCCATTCCGTCTCCGCTGGCCTCGACTACCCCGGCGTCGGTCCCGAATTGAGTTCCTGGAAAGACAACGAACGGGCGAAATTCATCGCCGCTACTGACGCCGAGGCTTTTGTAGGATTCAAACTCTTGTCGGAGCTTGAAGGCATCATCCCGGCTCTGGAAACCGCACATGCGATCTGGGGTGGTGTGCAATTGGCGAAGGAGATGGGCAAGGGGAAGGATATCGTGATTTGTTTGAGTGGGAGGGGCGATAAGGACGTGCAGAGTGTGGCGGATGAATTGCCGAAGATTGGGCCCGTCATTGGCTGGGATTTGAGATGTAAGTGTTTCTCTTCTCCCCTCCTCCCAACGTCGCTCGTGGGATCCTGGAGCATGGCTAACGTGTGCCAGTTTGAGCGTGAGTGGCCGTCCTTGTGACCGTAGGGGTTAGTGACTGCATCGTTTCACCTTCACAAAAAAGCAGAGCGAGGGCGACGGCGATATGGGACGCCTTTTTCATCTTAGACAAAATAGAACAGCGCTACAGTCCAACCATGACACACATTCCCAACATCTTCTGCACCTTAAAGAACCTGCCTCGATCCCTGGAGGCACACCAAAGCGCCACTTGGCTTCGGGTCTAACATCACGAATTCGGGCAACGGAGCAGCGCGATCTGTACTTATGGCAGTAACACACAGGAAGAAAAGACCAGTGAACCTTCCTGTCCCGTCCCGTCTACCACGCCCAACACGCCCAACTCGCTTGAAAAAAAAAACGTAGAGTCCGATGGATTGGGGAATGCGGCGCCAAGGGCCGTGATGACCGCGCGCGGCAATGGGTCCCGTGAAGATTGTTCACGCCGCCCACTTCGCGGAGAAGGGGGGATTTGTCCATTCACGGACCGTTGGCAGGGTGGGTGGGGAAGGCGAGGGAGGGAGGCATGTGGGCTGTTGATGTGCTTGCTCACTGCGGGATCGTGTGGACTTTTGCTGTGTTTGTGTTGGAGAGATAAAAGGGTACTTCGGTTCGTTCTTTTGTGTCTATACGATTCTGCGTAGGTAAAATGTTTGCCGTTGGTATGTTGTATACGGATGAGTGTTTGGTGTAACAATCCACCCTCCCCCCTCCAGGCGAGGTTTGAGACCCGCACGACTTCGTTTTCTTTTCCGTCCCTTTTCCGTGCTGTGTGGTGGCTTCTTGTATGGGTGTGGTAGCTGCGGCTCAAGCCTCAGATTGGACAGTGCTGTCACAAGTCCGCGTTACCGTGTGCAAAGAGTGTACGTCCGATTCCCTGATTCCCTCCCTCCCTCCCTCCTTCCATCTCGGGTCCCCTTGCCTCTCAACGCGCGTTCAATGCCAAGAACGCATTGCGGATCTGCCTCTCGAGCCAACCGTCCGGCGCCACGATCCTGAAATCGGCCGGCATCCCGTGCGCGAACGGTATCAGGCGGCGCACCAGGTAGACCCCCAGATACAGCCCGCCGGGACCGTAGGCCTCGGTGAAGTCGAGGGTCAGGTGCCGGAGGTTGAGCATGGCGACGCGGTCGAACTTGTCCTGCCAGGTGTGGACGAGCTGGCGTTGCGTGTCGTCGCTGCGTTGCGCTTGGGTGGCCACGGGGCCGGAATGGCGGGGGTCGATGGGCGGGGCTGCGGCGCTCTGGTCGGCGAGGGTTTGCCGCCCGGATCGAGCGGGCGCGTCGGCGTTGCTGAAGCTGAGCTCCGCGCGTCGGATCTGGAGGGCGGCTTTGTTGGGGGTCTGGAGGGAGAACTCGGTGGTGGTCTCGTTGTAAGGTTTTTCCGTCATGAACCGCATCGTCTTGTTGAGAGGGCCTTTGCTGATGACCCAGGTGTTCTTGGTCCAGTACTGTTCGTGGAATCGGCGATGGAATGCGGTGTCCAAGGCTAGGAAGATGTTCGTGATGGGAGGGTCCTTGTGCGGATGGACCCTTCGGGGCCCAAAGGCTTCGTCGAAAACCATGTCCATGATCATTTGGCAGACTTCTGCGGGTACGCGCAGCATCTGTTCTTGGAATTCGTTGCGCGCTGCAGCAGCGAGGCAGGCATCGTCTCCAGAACCAGCGTTTGATTGCTGGCCCAACGGCCTGTATCCAAGGCCGACAGCCGCTCCGGTTGTTCTGTTCGGAAGGTGGAGCTGGGAAGTCGCTACTGCTCCTAACGTTTTGTGTTTGGATTTGGAAGTTGCCCTAGCTGTCCGGTTCGTATGTTCGATGGCGAGGACTTCCGGTGGGTTTATTCTTGAGTCGTGGCTTAACACGTTGTGTTCAAGTCTTGAATGAGCCCCTGGTAAGTTCGTGTCCTCGGGGCAGGTGGATCCACGGCTGAGCTCGCAAAGGCGTCCTGCCGGGCGGTCGTTGAGTGTGGCTGTGAGCACTTGTTCTCGTTTTGGTTCCAAGCACGTCCGGTTCTCTGCTCTAGAACCTCGATTCGAGCTGTCAAAGGCCAAAGCCATTTGCCCATTGTTTTCAAGGGAGTCAATGGAATTGTGGGGGGGGAGAGGCGAAGTCTGCTCCAGAGCAAGTCGATGGACATTGTCATGTATTTCCTTTGAACTTGCCCCACACGGCTGAGACGATGACATTGAGACTAGCGGCCAACGCTGGGTACGAGTTCTTGGAAGGTCCAGAGCCCGAATTTGCTGTCACTGCGTGAGTGTTCCAAGGGGCTATTTGATGCAAAAATTGAATTGCTTGTTGAGATCGCTGTTACTACACTGGGCCGGCATCAAGCCGGAGCGCGAAGGCTCTGACAACGTTCTGCTTTCCGTGCTGCCCATCAGTAGAGCAGATTTCTTTATATTCAATGTCTGAATCTGTGCGTTGTAGCGGTTTGAGTAGTCGAGGGGACTGCCAACCAGGCAAATCACGTCTTATATGAAGGAGTCAAGGATTGTGGAATAATGGGCGTATTACCCTTTGATCCGCGAGCTGAACTCTAAGAACTCGTTAGTGCAAGATTCTCAAGCCATGGTGCGTTCAACATACTCTGAAGAGCATAGCCTTGTACAACATCAAGCGGAATCTATTCGAGAAACCTGTTCCAAACCTTTTCCACCGAGAGAGACTGACCCTTAACCAATCCTGCGTGTTTCGAGAGTTTTTGGATAGTTTCGACGCCTCTGCGGGCTGTTTCTGCATTGTGGGGACAGTCGTAGTGGCAGCGAATCGTCTCATCAAATCAAAAGCTCGTGTTGTAGGAGAAGAGACTCACGTCGAGGTTGTAGACTTTAGACACCCTGCTGATCGGTAGCACTCTGCTCGGCTAATTGAATCGGCGAGGTCGTGGGCCTCGCACGAAGTTGGCAATAAAAAGGCTTTAAGTTTGGAGTTCGCCAACAGGGCGGAGGAGGTTGCTGAGGCTGCAGCCAGTTCCAGATCCTGGGGACGACATTTCCAAGGCTGCAAGGCTCGGTGATCGGTGAAAGTAAGCCTGCCCGATTGGCCAAATAATTTCGTGGAGCTCGGAGAGCATATGCCCGACGAACGGCAGGAGCTGGTCAACCGATACTGCGGAAGCTACTGACCCAGCGATTTTGTTTTTCTTGACGAAATAGGACAAGGCTGCTGCTATCGAAGGGTTTGCTGCAGCTGTGAAGTCGATCCTATGCAGTGATGACCAATTTTCCATCCCGCATTCACTTTGATCCTACTGCTTGACCGTAGATGGGAAAACCACTGGCAGAGCGTTGGGAGACCTCACCGCTGCTTGTATCTCTTCGTGCCTAGCCTGGGCGTGGTTTGGCGTAGATGAAAGCGTCTAGTAATCGGCCAATTGGCCAGCCACAAAAACATGGACTAATTCTGGATGCACGAGACCGTTCTTCAGATCTGATAGGTAGGGGAAGAACTCCTGAAAGTAGGTACTGAGTCCGGGAGGCCTCGACTTCGAATATATGAATCATCATCTACATGAACCGCACGGAATGCCTACTTTTTTTCATACATCTTGCTGATGTCATGCATCTTACCTTGAATAGGATAGGTTCTTGAGAAAGAAGAAATCATTTCTTGAAATAGCATTGGATGCAGGGAAGTAGAAGCTAGTAGAAGCCAGGACTGCATGTTGACTTGCCTGACAGCAGTTGCTTTGGTGCTAAGCGAGATGACGAGATACATGTGTTTTGCTTTACTGCCCAATATGATTAGACTTTCTGCATTGCCCTCTGGATCGTTGGCGAGGCGTGGTAAATAAGTGTAGGTAGAACCCTTCTGAAAACATGGCCACCCTGCGCTTTGGCTATTAGCGTATGCACAAAACGTTACAATCGTTGGCACTGAGGATTCCCAGTAGTGGTCTAGTAGAAAGCGTGTCGATACCTGTGGGAAGAATCCTTCGGAGACTCTCGGAGAGCTCTCAGAGAGTCCCCCAAGGATCAGACTGATTCTCAGGGGGAGCCCCTCTGAAACCCCCCTAATCCTCCGGGGGCTCTCCGAGGGCTTCTGCCCGAGAGGCTCTTCTCGCAAGCTCGATAGATAGTTTAAATCTTAATTCTTAGTATATCTTTACAAATACTTCATCAAATTTCGTATACGCTATATTATTCAAAAGTGTATAATTAACTCTATAACTCTATAGACTTACTTTATTATTATATCTTAGATAAGAGAAAAGAAATTAAAAAATATCGATTTAAAGATTTTGAAGTTCTTTTCCAGCTTCCTATTTGAGACATACCCGCGTTTAGCTTGAAAATCAAGGAATAAGATAAGATTTAGCTTTAAAACAGCGAAGTCCGAGGATCTGATTAGTCAACCTTAAATCTGTAGGTGTCGAACATTTTATGATTTCAGTCTTACTAAGACAAACCGGGAGCCCGCGCGAAAATCTCAAGTCTGCATACCTTATTGCGCATATGCAATTTGCAGCCCGGGAGCTGCACTCGCTATCGGATATATGCATCCGATATCGGGTATATTCCGTCACCAAATTTTTTTAAAGTTCATAACCGGCACCTTCACGCCAAAGTGTGCAACGACTTTTGTCACCAACCCTCGGGGGTATTCGGACATGATTTCATTTCGGGAAGACTTCTTGCCGGTAGCTCCCGTGGTTGAGTACAAATTAGCACTACGCTAGCACGCGGGTTCCAGAATTCGTCGTACACCCTAGTCCAAATTAGGCGCTAGGGTGTACGACGAGTTCTGGAACCCGCGTGGCTAGTCCCTACGGTACGCCAAGGCATCCCTCCAGAGCTACCACCCAATTGGACCTAGCGTGGCTTGGCACCACACATATCTGCCCTGCAGGCACGTAGAAGAATCAACATCTTTACACCACACCATGAATTCATGACTCAGTCATCCATTTCCTTGACAATTGGCCTACTTAGTTTCATGAGGAAACGCACAATACTAGGAAATGCGGAATCTTAAATCCGATAAGTCCGATCCAACACTCAAATGCCTACTTCTCACCAAAATTCTATGGCAACTCCGCATAATAAGGATCAATAACTCTGGTTCTTTCTTGCTATCAAGGCTTCTACATCGAGGAACCCAAATCATTATTTTTTAGGCCTTATCGGTCTACCAACGCGTAAAAATCGTACCTCTTCCACCTTACTAGGTATATTACTGCGAAAATACTACAGTAAAGACTACGACGGAGCCCTCAGTAAAGCGAACGATAATAATCTTAGTGGGCCTGACGTAGGAGGTGCAGTAGCCATTTGAATAAGTGGTAATGGTAGCTATGATAGTGGTAGCCAGCTATGTCGGATTTATCGGATTTAAAAATTCCGCATTTCCTGTATTGTGCGTTTCCTCATGAAACTAAGTACGGACTTGGACCGTTTTAGCTCTAGAACGATTTTAAGGCGATGATATATCTTCGAAAATGTCGTTAGATCTGAAAGTCCGCATAAAGACGTATAAGCTATTCTTGAGGGTGTAGGGATGATGAACGCTCCGTTCAGATTGTCGGGATGTGAGATAAGTTCGTCGATAGATGCATCCGTTCTTATGGAAGCATCTCAGACACCGGTCGGATTATCTAGAAGTTGTTAGCCGTTGATGCTAGACGAGCTCACCTTTACGTATCAGCTATAGCGTCTTACAACTTCAATGAAGTAGTATAGACGATAAGAGGCCTTGTTTATAATCGGAAGAACTGACAAGTGGTAGGTAGGCGCTTTTTGTATGCTCCATTGTGCCTTCCATGATCTCCAGAGCACATCGATAACCCGTTGAATCTGTTGTCATGACGAGAACCGTAATGCGCCTGTATTGCACGCGATGACCTTAGCATTTCGTCGGGTTGCCCGATAAAGCGTTGCCTGGGGGAAGATGTGCAGTTGCTACCGACTTATAGATGCGTAATTGCATTTGAGACAAGCTTGAACCGGGCTAGCTCCACATCGTGAGAATCGACTTGATTAGGTGCTCAATACACAGTCTATGTCCGAACGCATAGAGGTTTGGTAGAACTCAACGTTGCTTTCAAATGTGTCCCAAACCTTGGTTTTCGGTCCGCAGTCCACGACTCTTTTTCACTGTGTCTACCAGCTGCAAAATATAAATCAGAAGGCTTTGAGGGATGAAGCCATATTTGTACGGCAAATTTTGGCTTCTTTTCTCCTTCGTTTCGGACAAGACACCAAGGGTGAAACCTAAAAATGCTTAACAAATTGTGTTCTTTCCTGGTCAACTCGAATAATACTATGAAGGATCAAACCATCAATGTTTGGCAAAGGGGGCCTACAGGCGAGAAATCTATGACTGCGACCCCTGTTTACTAGAATTATCTGCCAACCCACTTGATCTTCAGGCGGTTGTCAAAGTCTGCAGACACGCATCGACATAGACGGGTGCTTGGAAGCCGTAGAGTCTACCGAAAGATGACTTGACGCTTGAGCCATTTATTGGACGCACCTATTACATGCACTCTCGCCGCGATTAACGCCGGGCGAAAATTTTGTTTTCACCGCACATAAATCAAGATAAGATTGATACGTAGAAGATCAAATTCTCGTCCATACAAATAACAGCCCATTGTATTTCAAAGGTGCGGTACAAAATTCGACCAGTTCAAGCTATCAAAAGCAGACAGCGGAAGGGCTCTCAGAGCAAAGAACCCTTCGACGATGATATAGCCACGTGCTAGGCCATAGATCACAAAAATTGGCGAGTGAATCAAGACTGCTAGCCATCGAGGCAGCAGGCTGGCCACGCCCAAGATCGTTGTCGCATCGCGATTGTTGAACAACCATCTCGCAAGCCTAGCCGCCATTACAGTCCCAAAAGCGACGGCGAAAAGATGAAATATTAGAAGACCGAAAAGAGTCAAGCTCGAGACGCGCCAAAGGATCTGCTCCGCCCTAGTTGGAAAGCTAAAATTCCACCCGGCGAGATGAATACCAAAGTATGCAGTGGTGAAGATGTTCCCATAAGCTATGTCTGTAACTCTGATGCCGCGTGGAGGAGTGGTTGTGCTATTGCCAAACGCCTTTATTGGTAGCTCGTCTGCATGGTTTCCCCAATTGAAACAAATCCGGACGCCGAACCAGAAAGGCGCGATGAGGCTTGTTCGACTGATGGGAGGCTTTACGAAATCTAAAGGTGTTTGTGTATAGGGCTTGGGTCGGTCACCTGCTTCGGCGAGAATCTTCGCAACGGTAGTATTGCATGCTAACAGAGATGGTGTCTCAACATCTCGTGGCTTGTGTCTGAAGAAGAAGAATGTGTTGATGGAGCAGAAAATGAAAGCTAGACATGAGAGCTCGAAAGTCGAGAGCGCGAGATGCTGCACCCATCGGCTGACGGCCTGGATCAAGAACCATATGATTTGGACGAGTGTAAGGATGCGGGCGAAAGTGTCCGCTTTATTCCTGTCCCAGATGGCTTTTGCTTTTATCTCTGGGTATTCGATGTGGTTGTGCTCTACCAGGTATAAGAGTTGATGACTGTCCACAGGAAATGCTGGAATTCCAGGACACTTGAGATGGACAACCCCCATATCGGCGAGGAATGCATGACGCATCGCCCATGGTGAGCGTTGGAGTCGCGAAAGGTCGTTCTGTGTCCGAGTGGTCTCTTTGGAAGATAAGACGCGGTGAAAGGCAGCTTCCCATTCTTTCTTCAGTCGGGCAAAATCCTCGACAGCTCGACAAACTTATCGCCATTGCTCTGCAGCTATACCTGTGAGGGCTTCGGGGAAGAAAATGGTAAACAGCACCCATTTCGCTGGGACATCTCCCAGGACCCTTCATGTCCAGCCGGTACATTTAAGAAAGGCACGGCCTAAGTGCACAAGATTATAGTAGCTAGACAGCTCTCGAGTGCGTCAGGCATTCCCCGACCGTTGGGTTGAGGGATCCACCCACGAGACAGATGGGGAGCCACCGTAGCCGTCGAATTGTTTGACAAGAGCCAGGTCAAAGGTTCTAGGCGAGGCTGCACGATATGATCGTACTGATGTACATGTGCGTTTCAGGGAAAAGTAGGCACAAGAGACTAGAACCGCGCCAACGCAAAGATGTTCGAACACTGAGGCGTACTGAACGAGGCTTCGTAGAGGACACAAAACAGACAAAGGCGAAAGCCTTTGAGAAATGCAATTTAGGTGATTTTCTGAGCCTCGTTACCAAAAGCCAGCAATGCTCGCTTGTTGGGGACTAGTTGATGCAATGTAACCCAAGGGCAGCTTGCTATAGCAGCAATACAATTGGCAACACATGATAGCTTGGCAACCTATACCATCTGAGAGGCTTTCCAGTATCAAGCATCGAAGGAGTATCTGGATCTAGATCGTTGCCAAACCTGAGCATAATCGTCCCTTTTCTGTTGAGGGTCGAAGTGAGTCACGGGCACCCGAGCGGGGATTCGCAGAGTCCCCTTCAGTCCCCACACCCATACAAGTATTTTAACGGGTACCACGAGGGTATGCAGAAGAGCTATGCCCGAAATGTCTTCATGAACTCGGAGGGGAGGATCGGAACCGTCGGGTCGCACTGAGAGACGCGCATATTGTGGTCCCCACAGCCCAGCGCGTAGCGAGCATTATGATTTGGTTCTTGGACAAGGAATCCTCATGACTGTTTCATGATGATTCAGAAGGGGAGATTCTAGAAGATCTCATATTTTTAGTGCCTAGTATTGTGTCCGAGGTTCCCAGAGTAATTGAAGACAAGTTTTGTGGGTATATCAGATCACCTATTTGTACCAAATCGGTCTCCCTCCCCAATCGATCTCCATGCTGATGTTCTGGCCTGGAGATATGCACCGCTATCAATAGCCTTTTTGATACCGTAGAGACCACTGAAAGGCCATGTGCTGAGAAGGGAGGAGCCTAGAGGCGCAATCATTGCCACTTTCTCGGCGTTGATATTGACTTTCACTTTCTCGTAGACGCTTGGCAAGGAGGTCGCATTGTACTTTTCGCGCAAGGCATCATACCACTTCCGATCGTACATCTGCCAGAACTCATCTTCGGTATAATACGTTTGCGCATAAAGCCACTTCATCCCGCCCAACTCGCGGAGCTTCCGCTCGAGGTCACGATTAGCTTGCACGAAGTCATCCGGTTGAGGTGGACCGAGTCCCCAGAGGCCAATATTAAGCATAGGCTTCAGGGTGTGACCGTCTGCTTCCATCTCATTCACATGAGGATGCATGGTTGGCAATTTGGTCTGGCGCAGAGGGCAAAGCCAGAGGGGATAGATACCGAACGCCTTGTCCGTATAGTCGACGAACTGCTCGGCCGTTGAAAATGGCAACGCTAAGTCCTGGATTATGCATTTCTTGGATTGTCCACTGGCATGTAAAGCCGTGTACATCATGCGTGTGTGCACAAAATCATCAAGCCACCAGCGTGTATAGTCGTTAAAGGGCATTTTGAAGTAATCGAAGGCGAGAGCTCCAACCCAGAAGCCTCCACGGTCGTAGCGAAAAAGATATTCAGCCATTGGAATCATCTCTGTGGTTGGACCACTCGTCTTTGTGATTGCGTCTTGTACATGGAGGTAGAACCAGGGATCCTTGGCGTCACTGAAGCGTTGAACCCGGACGTTCTGATTGGGAACATCGGTCATCCGGCCAGTAATGACGGCGCCCTGGGTTTTCGAGTACAAGATACCATCCACATAGTCAAGCTCAGGATCCATTGTGACCTTTCCAATCTTCTCTATAGCTTCAGCCACACTTGATACGGGATGGTACACTGTTTCGACGTATTTTTTGGCTTGGCGGAGTTGCAGTTCGACCAAAGTTATGACGCCCAAACTACCAACGGCGCCAGCTGCACCATGAAAGAGATCGGGCTTCTCATATTTTGAGCATCTAACAACTTCCCCATCCGCAAGCACCATCTCGACATTATTGATCGTTCGGTTGAAGAATCCATGCTTGAAAGAACTGCTCTCCCCTGATGTCCCAGCATAACCACCCCCTGCTGTGATGCCAGGGAACTCCATAACCACAGGCGGCACCAGTCCATGTTTGATTGTCTCCTCCACTAGTCTGTCTATCGGCACGTTTGGCTCGACTAAGGCAGTCTGCTTTTCGGTATTGATTTCGAGGACGTGGGAGAGGGAGCTCGTGTCGATGATGTTTTTGTGTGTAACAGTAGACTGCCGTGTACTGTTTGTAGAGCCATGGAAGATGCGGAACTTCTGCTTCCGATCATAGAACTCTCTCACGCTGGCTGAGATGCGTTCAACGGCCCTGTCGTGGCTGTATACAAACGCGCCTGCTTTCGCTGTGGAGAGACCTCGAATACTCTTGCGACACTGTAGGAAGGGAGAACCCCTCGGTTGCACTGGGAACGTAACCCAAATTGGTCGCCCGTTGGAAACCCATGCAGGTGTGTGAGGCCTCATGTATATTGAGCTTCATGAATGTTTGCAGCGTCCTTCCACCACAAGAGGAGCTGTGTTCGGCAAACCTTCCCCAGAAGAACGAGGCAAAGTGTCAGCAAATCCTCAGAACTTCGGCCAAAGTAGCATCGACCAGGAAGTTTCGAAGCTGTTTAACGCTCTCCGGGACAATTTCTATTTGAACGACGATCCGGGCCGACGCCCCGAATTGACACAAGGACAAGAGGGTACAGCGCTTCAGACTGCCACTCCAGGACGCCTTGGCTGCAAGCTGTCTGCAGTCGACTCGGGGCATCATCCTGGAAGCATGTGTTGATCCTGATCAGAATTGCTCTTGTTGGTCCTACTCTTGTCAATACCTGAGGGAGTTAACGCTTCGATCGCTACTTTTCCTGGCACTTTGCCTGCTTTTGACGATCAACGTCGCACCCTACGACCTTCTCTGAGACGGCACACCTCGAAGCGCAACACAATCTACGGACACTGTCTGTCAAGAGTCGGCGTAAGGACAAGCAAGAGGAAGGGTCTGGAGAAGCTAGGCCAGTGGACATTGGACCTGAAGAATACAAGATGAGACTACATGTCACAGTGGAAGAAGAGCGATGAGAGATGGAGCTGGCTGGATCAGGCGCTGGTGACGGTAGGCGCTCGCAAAATGGAGAATTAGGTGATACATGACGCGAGTGTGACACTTGGAAAGGGCCATCCTTGCGCGGAGAAGATGAAGAGCACTGCGAGACTGGACACAGACGCTTTCAAGCATCGAGGAGGCGGCTGCCGATTTCTGATTGCTATTGTATGCCATCCGACCAGACTATCCACTGTACACCCTTGTTTTGGGTTATGAAGTTTCTTGATCGCCTCCCAGGGTTTCACCTCTGTGATTGTGAAGCATATGCTTACTTTTAGGCCAGGCTTGCTGTACATGGGGAGCATATGCCCGACACATGCGTAGTTTTAACCCTGGCCGAAATCTTTAGAGATCACTTTTACGCCTGTTGAGTGGCTTGTGCTCAGCATGTGCTCACCCTTGCCGGACCTGTCTCACTCTACCGAGCTGGAACATGGGATGAAAGGTACCAGCGCAATGGGATGTAGGGCCCGTCCCCCCATTTGACCATCGACAATAGGACCATACATCAATATCCTCGAGACAGCGGCCTCCCCACTACCATTTCGCTACTCATAGCACTGAATGCTACCTGCATATCTCCTAGTCCTCTTTCTGATTCGTTGCCAATGCAAGGGTAACTTGTTATCAATAAACATAGCACCCACCAACGTTGCAGAATATCACGTATCATGCAACCTGCATGCACAATAACAGCAGCCCGAAGAGCAAGCTGAGGTTGAGCTGCACCTCTCGAAGCAAGACGGCATAGCTTGGGGTATCAACTTTAATTTCAAGGAAATGTTGCAGAAAGAAAATCTGACATATAAAAGGAAGCCCCCGAATGCACGTAACCGTCTTCCCGATACAAGGGAGACCCGTTTAGGACTTCTCAAGTACACAAAGATGTGCGGGGTCATGTCCAATGCGAAGTTCGGAGCGACTGCTCGAATAGCGAGAGAATCTGCTTTGGACGAAGAGATTCAATCCGTCTGCCGGGAGCTTTGATTAATTGTGCTTGGCATTTGGCCCCTTTTAGCGAATAGCACCTTTACACCTGACTTGCCACATGGTCAAGTGATAACGTCTGGCTGAGTGCTTTGGCACAACCTCCTCAAGAGGTCTCGATAGGACTTGAATAATAACAACTTCATAATTTAACATCAAGTCCGCCTTCTCGTCATGTCTTCCACACCCTATGATATCCCCGCCTTGGTAAAGAAGATCAACACGACAAGCAAAGACTTGGGCAAAGACACTGGAGGGGCACGATGACAGTGCTTAGATGCCGCTCGCTCGCTGGTCTTTGCCTCGGAAACGCCCGTCGAGTCGACCCTTAGGAATGTCTGGGCTGAGGTTTGACCGTCTCCACCTAACTAAATTCTCTTATGCCGATCTTCGGATGGGACACAGCAATGGCATCATGCTGCAATACGTGCTGCTACCGACTTAGATGTTCCGAAAGACTAGACGAGAGACATGGGGATGCTAAGAGCATCTCTGAACTTGCGAAAATGACGCACGCGGACCCGGTTCTTATGAATGGGTCGTAATATTTCTCGAGTCTCGGGATAGTCTGCAGCTTAGTAAATGCCGAAAACCTTTCTAGGACGGTTTTTGAAGGATCTAGCAGCGATGGGTAGTATCTACGATAGAGGTCCCAACGAATTCGTCCCAACTTCATCTTCGAAAGCTCTCCAAGAGCCAATGCATCGAGACGCCTATCCTACTGTATTCGTGTCCACATTTGTGTCTGACTCTACTATCAACTCAGGAGCCGACCTCTGTGTCAGGCTTGATCTAAGCGATCCCAATTTCTTTGCGTTTCCAGAACCCCTCTACAACAGCCAGTACAAGAACCTTGACAACCCTGTCGATGGCGCGATTCGACTTGGCCATGGCCCAAAAGATCACCTCTTCGAATGGTTGTCTCAACGTCCGGAACTTTTATCGCAATTCCAAAATCATATGGCTCGCTACTACACTGGAAGGCGGAGTTGGATGTATCCCAACTTCTACCTCGTCGAAAAGAATCTTGTCGAGGGCGCTCAAACAGAGTATGATGCGGTTTTTCTAGTCGATGTAGGTGGCGGAAAGGGCCAAGGCTTGCAGGAATTGTATCGAAAGCATCCTAGGGGTACTCGAGGAGGTTAAAGGCGTGATTGAAGAAGCAGAAGCATTTGGTCTCGACGAGAAAACCGTACCCATGAACCACGACTTCTTCGCAAAACAGCCTATCATAGTATGTTTGCCCAAACAACGGAACGTCATCTGCTAACATCGCTAGGTGCACGAGCCTATTATATGCATTCTTGTCTGCACGACTGGCCCAATTCTAAAGCCCACGAGCTTTCAAGCCCTCCCTTGATCTCATAAGACCTGCGCACTCCTAAAGAGCCCATATTCTGTCCGAGACACAAATTGCTCGCTTGAATCACCTCGCACAGCATCCTCCTGTGATACACATTAGCGACAGCCACTCTGCACTATTCCTTCACTTTATCTCACATCTTGTCTCGCTTTGATCGGGTCTGATTGTTGTCAAAAGCGTGAAGCAACACAGTGCCACGATGAGTATCGCTCTTCACTCCCAGCCTGCCCCTGAATGCTGGGTGTCATTTAAAAGCTTCGAAGCGATACTGAGAATTGCGACTATGAGTATCCCTCCTCGCTTGGCAACCCTGGCACGTACCTTGTCTTTCACTATATCTACAACACCTTCACAACAACCTCGCAGCTTCCATATTTGCGGGTTCTTTGCTTCTCGAACCCCGACACCATCTACACGTTACGTTCCTCATCCTCTAGCCTTGACCGGCGGTCTATCTAGATCCGACGACGAGTTTCAGCTCAGCAAGCGCGGTCTGTTACACACACATCCAACGCGAAAGGCAGCTTCGAAATGGCGACTTGGTTTAGTTTCGAGGGGACAGATCAAGGTATGCACAACATGAATTCCCCAAATCAAAGGCTGATAAGCAACCAGTCGACCTGACTCTCGTCAATTGGGGTCACCCGGCCTTACCACCCCTCACCTTCGAGGATTTATGGTACCCTCTCAACACTGGGTCCTACGAATGCGGTTACCTTCGTCCGCTTGTGACGGGCTTCCTCTTCCAGCCTACCTTCTCTCTCTTTTCATTGTGCAATAACGGAAAAGCTCCTTCTTACACAAATGATAATCTGTATGAGTACCCAAAGAAGGATGAACAATCACCAGGGTCTCCTATCTTGCTCAAGCTGGTTTGAAGACTAGATAGACTGTACTTCGCCACTTCATTGGCCCAACCAAATCCGTCTCCCCTAAGCTTCGAGGATAGATGGTATGCCATAGAGGTTCGAAGGCGCGCTATATTCCTCGAGAACGTCGCCCAGAATACTGACTTGAGCGCTAAAAGGGTCAACGCAGGCTTGAGCCGGCTCGATTACATCACAACGCTCAAGTTAGTCGGCAAGATGCGCATCTGTTCTATGGCAGTGTTCAGCGACTATATCAAAATTCTTTCGATCGGATAGGCGACTGCCGTTGGAGATCGCACTCTATTTTTTGTTGCCAGCAATGTAGAGACTATCACGACCATCGAGAGGGAAAGCAAAGCGGTACCCCTTCGAGCCTACGACGAGCCAGTGAGCATGACCTATACCTACGGACCGGACATCCCACGCTAGAAATGTGAGGCAGACAGCTTAGCCTTCCCACCTCTTCCTGAAGATGCGCTCGAGCCGGCAGATTCACAAATGCGCCGACTCGTGCACACCTTACCTCCCAAGCTATTAGCCAGAACGTTGCAGGATTCCCTCCACATAGTATTCGAGCCGCGCAAAATCCACCTCGCTGTCGATCACCTCAATTTGCATCTCTTCAAGTCGTTAGATCGAGCAATGTACGCAAAGCGACGGAGTGAGTTTCGGCCTGGGAGTGTCTCGGTTATCGGGTAAGGCAACTATAGAATGAGGATGGACTACCTGCCCCGGATGCCATTGCCATTGATGAAGTCTATCAGGAAGACAGAAATGGAGGTTCCAAAGCAGGACTACAAGTATCCGTTACTAGAACACTACATCGCTCTTCCCAACGATACTTCACCCGGCATAGACCGTCTCGATTCTCTTCCAGCTTACATGGGGATGTGAGACAAAACCAGATATAGGCTCTTGAAGAACCTGGCTTGCAAAAGTTGACGCGGTGAGGCCACTTCAACTCAATGACCTGGTTCTCGGTTCAAATGACGCGTACGGATCTGACGGTGAGTTCCTTGGTGGGTACTTTGCAGGTACCGCGAATACTTTTTCCGCCGGTGCTCCTGCGCATGTTCATGTGTTGGGGACGGGCGATGAGCGAGAGATGCCGGACCGCTGTCAAGTGCCGTCAAGTCATTGACTGAATAGGTCGGATCAGGCGAGGCTGGTGAGACTCTGTGAGATGGACTAGCAAACATTGGTGGGTGGATGTAGGACGAATTGCGAGGTCAATTATAGAGCTGTCAACTCATTCTCAGGCGATGGGCCGGGAGAGTGGGAGCGTGAGCTTTTAGGCGGAGTGGTGTTGTGTCTGTTGGGAGCCTTTCCTCTGTTTATATGAAAAGGGGTTACGAGTCACTTATCGTAGAAATCGTTTCAAACATGGCCGACCTGTCATTGAACTTTCAGAAACTATGTTGCCAATGAAGCAGAGCTGGAGATACTCGTTCGAAGATCTGAGCAGATCGAATTTGTCTTGACACTTCCCATTCCCAACAAGTAAAACTTCAACACCGAACTCAGATCGTGGAGCCACAGCATCCTAAGAATTGGTTCACCAGATGAACTGGATTTTGAAAAGTTGACCTAGTAAACGTTATGAGTCGGTCGCCCGCTGCTGATCGCCAAAGTTTTGCCAAGTCACTAGACAAACGAGATTCTATCCACCTGGTTAAGGTCGTGCCGCGGTCTATATTCAACCCTCTGATTTGAGAAAAACTGCACATTCATGGGCGAGACTTACCAATTTTTGTAATTTGGTCTACCTCTTGTTTTATCCATTCATGTAACACTTCCTCCGATTGGCGGACCCACATGGCGGCCACTAACCCCATGGGATTACCTCGCTTTTGTCGTTATTACCTTGGCGTTATTGTACGATGGGCCTTGGAAAACCGTCAACCATCCAAGTTCATATCACTGACCTACAGAAACAAAAGTCGGGGAGTGCTGACTTCCATACTTTGATGCTGCACCTTCACTCTCTTCTCCCAATATCTACCGTCGAACTTACCACTCCCCTTGGATCAAGCTTGCAACTTTCTGAGCTCATACCGACGATGGTCCCAGGGAAGTCTTGTGCACCTCGTCTACTGCGACACAAGCTAATCTAGCACCCAGATTTCGGCCCTGGGCATCTGCCTACCAGTGCTTCCCAAGGTGTCGAAAGCACATACGTCCTCGCTCTCTGGGGCATGTTGACCGACGACAGACGTGCCCTCCTCGAACACACCCTCCGCGGCCTCCCTCTCACGCACTTCTCGCGTCTAGAAAAGGTGCTCCAAGACCTCGACACTTGTTTCAGCAAGTGTAGTCTTTGGAATCGAATGGGAAGACACTGGGTCCTTCGCGACCTTTCGACTTGCTCACGCGAACGTTTGAAGGCCTACTTGATGATCCTTTCCACCCCAGGGTGTAATTACGCGAACCCAAAAGCAGAGGATAGGTACCTCTTACGCGCCATTGGGGACGAAGACGTGGATGACACAGATTGGAAGCCCAACTATGCTCATCTCCAAGACGTTGCAGCCGAAGAGGCTCGTGAAAAGCTTGCTCGCGCCCGTGAACAGGCAGAATGGATAAACTTGCAACATGCCGTGCAAAGCCTACCCCTGGACCTCAACCTTCTTATCCGAGACACCATGCTCGAAGAGATCTTTGGACCAGGGAAAGAGATCGTATTTCCATACGAAGGACCAACATATGTGCAGCACTTCCGGGCCCTCGATCGACAGTTATATCATAAATACAGCTGCATCTACTACTGCCAGAATACGTGGGTGTTCGGAGAAGGGTATGTAAGCTGGCTGATCGAACATGGCAAATTGGCCATACCGAGAGTCCTCTCAAAGATCAGGAACGTTACCATGAAGTGGACGTGGAGGGACGTAGTGAATAATGGTCCCGCTCGACCGGATATTCAGAAACATATTGATTGGGAGATGAAGATGGCGGGCGCAGAAGGGTTCGACAACATTAAAGTTATGCAACGGTTCCGATGGACTTGCACGAAGGTTACGACCGAGCTCCAGCACATCTGGTTGGAGAAGTTGCGCGAAATAGGCTCCATGCAACTGGATCACCTTGTCATCGATGCAAGAGAGGCTTTTGCTCCTGATGGCGAGTTCTTGGGATTGAAGGCCGCGCGACGCTGGACGAAGTCTATGCATCTACCGTACTATCTGGAGATCTGGGCGCCTGTTCATAATGAGGATCTGGCTGAGCAGATCTTTCAGATCATCACAAGGCGGTCTTCGTAAGCAGAGGACTTGATGGCAGCCACTGCAATGTGTGCGCGGAAAAGGCTACCCAATAAATATTAGGGTATACGGGGCCAGATTAGCTAGCAGTACTCTTCGGACGACCGGGATTCGATCTTATGAAGACACGAGGGTCAGGACGATGTGAATGAAGAACGAGCCGGAATGTTGATAGCTCGTATCCAAGTCGAAATCTGCATGTCAAGTAGTATTTGTCAGTGCCTTTCTTGTACAATATAGAATGCTTCTTGAAGCGCTCCGGGTTATTCTCAGCGTCTTATAGAAGCCCATAATATCCCCCAGAAAAATTTGGGTTAGTCTTTACTCTTCATCAGACGGCGAGATCTGTCACTTCAGGTTGGCTCTGGACCGAGTCCCAAGGAAGTTTCTCAGTGGGACATGCGGGGTTTTGCGGTATCCACGTTGAACGAGCACTTTCCGTATCCTTTTCCGAATAGGCGTGTGAAGGCCCCCTGCGAGACCTGCAACATCGATTGCGAACCCCACAGCCCCTATCATGATATAGGTTGACGGAAAAAACAGCTTTCTGGGTTTCTGAAGCCCTTCAATGCTTTGCGCCGAAGCTGGGGCGCTTCTGCGACGTTCGCTGTGCTTTGCTGAGATTGACAAGTGGGCGGAAACGCAGTACAATGCCGATCTTACAACTGTCGGAAGACAACAGCAGCTCATTAACATAGCTTCTCTAATTCAGGTTAAGCTGCCCCCGGCTGTCAATGTGGCAGATGCTGAGGGAGGAAGCGGGATGGTGGTTGACTAAAGGGTTCACTGGTAGCGCCGTAGATCGCGACATGATAATTGGTGAAAGGTCGCCAACGTCGCCGCCCGCGAATTCATGGTCCAATAGGCTAAGTACAAGAGCTATGGTATGCGCAGCGAGCAGATTCGTACGACTGATCATGAAAGGTGGAGATTGCAAAAGAGGACCTGCATCCATCTGAAAAGGTGAGGCTCTGCGGATCGGCACGCCGCTGTCGGATCCCTGCTGCCACATACTCCTCCCCGGCAAGAGATACCTTTATAAGATGACTACCTGACAGCATGACAGCCTCCGCCTCTTCCGCAACCCAAGCCGAGCAAGCCCACCAACGACCCCCGGACCCCCAGCGCACCGCCGAAGCCCGCGCCGCCTTCACGGCCCACCTGACCTCCATCGGCAACACCCACGTCTCCGCCCTCGAAGGCCGCGTTTCCGACATCCACCGCAACTCCGCCGCCGTCGCCAAGCAGGACGATGACGTCTCCCGGCAGACGAGGAAGCTCGCCGCCGTGTCCGGGAAGCACCGAAAGGTCGCCGATGATGCGGCGGAGAAGCTGAAGGAGCTGGGCGACATTCAGAATTGGGCGGAGGTGTTGGAGCGCGATCTCCTGGTGTTGGAGGAGACGATGCAGATGGGTGAGGCGGGGGAGGACGGGTGGGAGACTGAGGAAGAGGGGGGTGTGGGTGGGGGCGGTCTGGGAAGGGAGACAGTGGTGCAAGGGCGCGGGCAATGATTGAATGCTTCAGAGGGCTATGGTCCACCGTCATGAAGGGGCTTGGGAATGGTCCTTCAAGAGTCGGCCTTGCGACTGGTTGGAAGTGTCTGGTGCTTGGACTCGGGGTTGGTCTTCCGACGACGAATCAAGGATGACGATTCGCGGGAACCGTGGCAGTCGGGCGTCTGAGCGGTTGGCTAAAAGAGAGATAACTGTCATACCAAAGGAGGGTGGGAGACGGGGAGCCTCTACTATCTTGATGAACTGTATTGCAAAATGTCACGGTTTTTGCGGGCCGCTAGCTGTTGAAATCTACTCCGTTTCCTACAATTCCGCCTCAGCTTACTCAATTCAGCCTCTCAGGTTATGCTTTCGAAAGGCTAATGTTAGCTTCGTACCAAGTTCAGAAGACGTCAATCCTATGTCGTCCCCCTGGTGCCGCTCTCGAAGTTTGCCACCTCCTCACTACAAGTGGGAAGACGCCGTCGAGCAACTGAACATTCTCTATTCTTTTGCGTTTCTGGACCCCTGTTCCGGGCCGTCTCGGACCATCCCCCCAAAAAAGTAAATAATTCATCCCCCCCCCCCCCTTTTTTTTTGGGTGTCCGTGCTCCAGCTCGTGAACCTGCCCATTTAGCACCAGCGACACCGCTCGGCAGGGTTACACGCTCGATGACTGTAACCGTACGCGCTGGTTCTCTTCCTGCCTCCTTGTCGGTGTAAGACGATGATCATCGTGATGTCGAATTGAATGCAGTCCAACAGAGATATGCTTCGCTCACATTGAGGAGTCTCCTTTCCGTATCTACTGCGCCATCCTCTATCTGCCAAGGCCGTTCTCGAAGACTCGAGGTAGTGAAGCTGGTTTTGCTCCCTCGGTCAAGCATCTTGGCATCACGGTCACATACTGGGCCACTTTTTGTCTCCTTTTACGACTCGATAGTCTACACGAGCTGCTGATATGGAGATCACACGATTTACTAGCTTGGATGAATGCTATAGTGTATTCTTGCTCCTTTGCAAAGGTGCCCTATCAGGGCCATAGAACGCTAATGAGCCAAAGCGGAGCGCGTGTTCGAATTCCATGACATCAAAGACTTCCTTGTGTGGGCAGTGAACAATGATCAGCTTTCTGTCTCTCGTTCGCGGATATATTATGATATATTCAGATCTTCTTTTACGTGCTTACATGTACACAGTCAATGCTGAGGACTTTTCTCCACGTATGAAAAGATTTCAGACGCAATTTTACGGATCTCGGATTCGTACTAGTATTCCATACATGTTCCTTTTTGGCAGCCCGGGAAGGCTGTGACTGAGACGTGTGTCTTCGATGTGGATGCTTCGAATGGAAACCTGACTCTGTGTACCTTGCGGGCAACTTTCGTGACTTTGGAGACTGTTGTGGCTAGTGAGAAGAGCTCGGTGAGGGCGCTGGCACTTGATGACGTGATGTACGAGGTCAGTCAAAGCGGACGCATCTCCCCTGCTTTGGGCTTCACCGCGCGAAACCGTGAAGGCCGCAGAGAAGCGTTTCGTTGCGATGTAAGAATTGTTTTTCAAGCATGTGAAATTCTGTTGCAGTCCGTAGCGAAGGCTGTAAACAAGGCACGTCATCATCGTGACCGATACCAAGTTCGCTACAGGCCTCTTGCGCTGAAAGAAATATATCTCGAGCTTTTGTGTCGTCACTTGGTTTTGAAGTCAATGGATACAGATAGGAAATGATCCTCACGGAGGCCCCGTGTATCCCCAGTCCTATCAAAGTACGAAGGCCAAAGCTTTCATTTTCCACAACCGAGATACAACCTAGAAATACAACACAAAACCATTGCACCATCGTACCAGCGTCATTGTTTTAGGAGTCAAGAACTGGCTCGCGCCATCCCAGGCATCTCGTATTGCCTGCCGCCGGTTTACCGTATCAGAACAATTTGCTCATACTGGTTTTTTTTACTGTATCTTCTCATCACTCCGAGCTGTGGTAGCCGTGGCTTACTTCGCGTAGCTTTTGCGATACATCAAATGGTGATGCTTGACGACGTCGTAAAGCACCGCGGAGATGTCCTCACGCTCGATCTGGTCTGTCATTAGCTCCTTTCGATAGTGGAGCGCCGACTGAAGATTAACAGGAACTGACTCCTGTAGCACGCGGAGTTCGGGTTGGAATTGGCCGCTTGGGCTTTGTGATGAGTAGGTAGAGGGGAAGTAGAAGGTGAGGCTGATATTATTATCACTATTTTTCCTCCGTGCTAAAATCTTGATTGCCAAGAGATTATGATCTTTGATTGATTGGTTGATCTAATCTGATTAAGTTTACACTGCTTTACAGTAGTCTCAACGTGTAATTCTGACGGCAATGTTTCGGCGTTGCCGAAATATTCTTTTTTTTGTCGCCCCATCTTCTCTCACTACTGACAGTTACAGTTACAGTTACATCTCATCGTTGCACCATTTCAGATATGGGGTCGATGGGCTATCGATGGATGGCATTCATCTTCCCACCAGGATCAACGTGTCACATCTGGATCCCCATCTCTCTTTCTTCAGGGTTTGGTGGACGTAATCCGCCTTTTCAGCTTCTCTCGTGGATTAGATGCTCATGGCGCCCAAGCACATCCGTGACCGGCTCGTTTCAAGAACGAAACATGATGGGCACAACGCATAGTGATTGGCCAGCTGTTTTAAATTTGAGGCAGAATCCGTGCCGGCATCTCGATTCTCGATTCAGCTCCCGGAAACCGCTGTCCACTATTTACTTATTTCTGTCCAGTCAACTCGTTGGCCATCATTATGTCCATTTCAATTCTCATCTGGACAAATTTTAGTTGGTCGTATCATAACTGCCGTCGAATCTTCACACGTGCGAGACATGCAACTTTGAAAATCGAGGCGTGCGAATACTTTACCTACTTGACTTTTTCATGCCGAGTTCGAACGATTCTCCTCTGCATCTCAGCTGGGAGCCTGGGGCTGAGCCTCAATTCGTTAACCCCTCGCTTATTCACTAGGCCAGCCCTATGAGACCCTAATTAAAGTGGAGTGTGGAAGAAGTTATTGGTGCGACTTCCTGCTGAGATGCGGCGTGCATTGAAACTAATTCCCAAAACGACGGCGTCTTTGTCGTACTAAATACGTTTGATCGCTGGTTGGCTGCTGTTTTAGACATCTCACTCGAATTTCATCTTGGAGATCCACCAAGGTTGGCTGCGCCGTACACCGCCGTCTCGCCCTGTAATTAAAAAACTGTTAAGGATTCGAGTCTTATGCTTAAAGACGCGGGCGCGCTCCCGCCTTTTTGGTTGGTGTTCGGCTTTTGGGAACGTCTATTGATTGTGTGTACTTTTCACAACTTCAGCATTGTCTGTTGATCGTGCATACGACGTGCTTCTGGAAGTCATTCTGCTCGTTGACGTCTTGGATCGCATTCAAAGGTGTAGATTTGTGTTTTTATGCTTCTTATGAGATGCGCGTCCAGGCATAATCGAGACGAGCATTTGATTCAAGATCTCTGATCCATCCACTACGCCCGTTAAAATCTAAGCCGGTTCATGGTCATCCGGTTCCCCATCTCCCCCCCAATTCAAAGACTCCAACACCAAGTGGAGGCATGCGATTACCCACCCAACTACCGTTTGGCATCATATGCATCCTCTTTACCCACTGCGCCCGAGTCACAGCAGTGTGCCCGACGCTACCATGCGACGAAATTGCTCCTGTGTACGCAGTCGACAATGCACCGCTGGTGAGTGGTCCACTCACGAGCGCTCCAGCTGGGAAAGATCCGGCCGTCAATGTTCCAATTTCCTCGACAACACCCACTGCAGCGAATTCACCGGCTTTAAGAGTTCCTGTTGTATCGAGTACACCACCTGCTGCAATCCCCTCGACCTCGAGTACACCGAGTCCGGTACTTCCACCAACAACAACATCCTCAACTGCGCCCACTTCAATCCCCAGTCTTATCCCTTCGGCTGCAACACCAACATCAACACCTTCAGCTGGGCCCACAGTAGTTTCTAGTCCATGGCCTTCTACCGGAGTACCTACCGTGACACCTCCCTCAATCATGGCAGCATCATCCAACGCGACTTCTCCAGTAACTCAGTCCACTGCGGCATCGTACATCAGCTCTGCGGCGTCGAGTTCATCGGCCTCAGCAACCGTACCGGCATCAATCACACAATGTGGCAATTGTCGAGTGCTGGCGAATCAAGTCCAGGTTTACTATTGGCCTACTGCATCAGTGAAAAACAATTGCGCGCGAGGGGCTTCCATCAACCCATTCCAGACCGGCGTTCCTTACGCATCTAATGCGTCGAGGATCCCAGCTCTTGCAACTCAGGTGACAAATGGCCCAACCGCTGTCCTTGAAGGGCATACATTGTAGGCCAACATTCTGATGGATGTCGATCCTTTCGTACTGATAACCGCTCTAGTACTTTCCCATCGCTGTACGTATCCGTTATTGGTGGGATCTCAGTATCAGATTCTTGCGGTCTTCTGGGAAGCGTGCACACCAATCCTGCACCTGTAGCCGTTCAAGCCATCACCACCGCTTCGTATGCCAACTGGCCGTCAACCTGCCGGCCCCAGGGCCTGAATGCGGAAGCCGTCATTGATACTTTGGCTCTCTCGGACCTTGCATGTCCCACTTGGGGGCTTTCCAATCCATTCACTACCTCCTGCGATGGAAGCACTTACCTGACAGCAACTTATGGCGAGCCGTACAACCCGGTCATCTTGGTGCCAACAGAACTTATGTCGATCGACCCCGCTTGGGGAGCTTGTACTACTAACACGGCCGACGCGCTTCTAACATTGCCATGCGGCATCTATGATCCGCCAAAGACCTTGCAAACGGCGACTGCCCTGGTTCCCGGTGGCGATTTGAACGATCCTCCTACATCTGAGGCGACGTCGGTATCTCAAGCGGCAGATACATTGCAGCAAGCTCATGCGCTTGCACCAAGTGTCACACCGGTGAATGACCCTCCCACGCAAACGGCGCTGAAGGCTGAGCCGGCCGATACTGGGTCGCCAAGTTTACCAAAACCTACGACAGTGCCAAGCAGTGCCGGTAGTGATCCCTCAGAAGATCCAAGCAAAGACGTGTCTGATCCAAACGGAGCTTCGGATCCAGCAGACATTCTCAAACTGGATCCGCTGGCTTCTAGCACTAAGCAAACGGATGATCCAGGCCAAAGTAGCTCCGTTCAGCCAGGTGCTCCAGCGCCGGCTCCAGATCCTCAAACATCAGCTATGAGTAGTCCTGGCCCAAATGCCTCAGACGACCATGCAAACTCGGATCTGAATAGTTCTGAATCTGATAGTTCTGATGGTCCGAGTCAAAACGGTTCTCACCAAAAAGAAGCTTCAGCTCCAGCCTCAGAGTCTCAAGTATCAGATCCGAACGATCAGCCGGCAGTACCACAAGCACCTACGACTATCAATCTGGGCGGTGAAGCGCCATCCACCCAAGGCTTAGGAGCTTTCATCAACGGTGCCCTCGGAGGAGGAAGCGCACCTGCTCCCTCCTCTGCTCCATCTCCAGCATTCACTCCTCACGCCATTACCGCTCTCGGCCAGACGCTCAGCATCACCGATCCATCCGCCGTAGCAATTGCCGGCAAAACCCTATCAGTCGGCGGACCGGCCCACACATCCGACGGAAAATACTACTCCCTGGCGCCCTCCGGGAACCTAATTGCTGGCACCCTAGCCCCGATTCCCGGACCTTCGTCGCCACCAGTGCTCTCTGTTGCTGGCTCGAAATACACCGCAAATGCGGCCTCTCAATTCGTCGTAGCAGGCCAGACGTTGACGCCAGGAGGGCAAATCACTGTAGCCAGCACACCGATATCGCTCCACCCCTCCGCCGACGTCGCCGTCGTTGGAGGTAGCACCCAGGTTCTCACCACCCCCGCACCAAGTCCAGACCCTGCGGTATTGACATTTGCGGGCTCCACGTACACGGCCGACGCAGCTTCGCAATTCGTCGTAGCTGGCCAAACCCTATCCCCAGGCGGTCAGATAAGAGTTGCCAGCACACTGATATCTCTAGCACCCTCAGCCAGCGTCGCAGTCGTCGGCACCAGCACCCAATCCTTAGCAACCGCTCCCGCCCCACTCGCCGCCGAAGCGCCCGTCCTGAAATGGGACGGCTCAGCGTACACAGCGGACGCCTCGTCCGATTTCGTCATCGCGTCTCAGACCCTCACGCCCGGCGGCATCATCACCCTTCTCGGCACGCCGATCCGGTTGGCGCCGGGCGCCGCGGACGCCCTCATCGGCACGAGCACGCAGTCGCTCGCTCCGGCGGACGTGTTCACGCTCGCCGGGCAGCTCCTCACGGCGAACCCGTCCGGGTTCGCCATCGCGGGGACTACGGTCCTGCCGGGCGGCAGCGGCGTTACCGTCTCGGGGACGCCGGTCCGTTTGGAGTCCGGGGGTACGTTGCTCGTGGGGAACGGTAGTCTCGTGCTGCCTACGCCGGGACCCGGTGCTGGGGTGGGGGTGTTTGAGGGCGGGCAGGGGAAGCGGGCATCGCCGCGGACGGCGTGGTTCGTTGCCTATACCATTCTTGGGACATTTCTGGGAGCGTTCTTTTTCGGGTGAGGGACGGCTGGAGCCGGGTTTTGGGGCTTGGGCGATATGGGTTCGTCGTGAGGGTTACATAGTGGGTTCATGGGTAGATAGATAATGTTTGATGCATATATTATAGATAGACTAATTACTCTGTATTGATCAGAACTTAATCATTGCGAAGCGGAAGAAAGAACGGATGTTTACATATTGCATGGCACTAGACTACAAGCTGATTGATGATTGAGGTATTGGAGCAATCGAACTACGCGATACTTCGGGACGAGGAAATGAGACGTACATATGATTCCATTTCTCGTCAGATACTCCAGTAACGAAGCATTTTTCGTCGTGCGAACGAACATCCAAAAGAATCATTGCCCGTACGACCTCAGCCGTTTCATCAATCCTCAGTGAGCGAGCCGGCCCCGATCCCCCAGCGAGCGAGCGTCCGCCAACGCCCAACAAGATTCCTTCATCCCCAAGAAACGTTATTCCAAGTGTGAAAACAATCATAGAGTGTCCAAAATTCGGATGCATCTCTAGCAGGGAAGCCTCCACCAACATTCAATATTTTCACCCTTCCTCAGCGTGCCAAGTCCTTGGTAACATTCGTCAACTCAATGCTACCTCACTCCTATACATCGATCCAAGATCAAGTGTTAGGCTTGTCGGCATGTCTGAAACCCTACGAACCGTTTCCGTTCGCAAGTAGTGTTCGCTTGAGGTGGAGCTGTGTAAGTCTCACGCACCCTCAAGTGACGATTGCCATCTGATGCCGCAATAGGGTTGCGCTAGTCCACTTGTTTTCAGGACTTTATATCCTTTGAACAATCATCCACCCGCAACCTCCGAGACTTTTGGTCGAGCTCGGGGTACCGGGCAGCTTTGTTCGTTAACCCGAGTGGCTCACAGGCTGCGTCACAGGCCTCGGAGGCCAGCGGGGTATCTTCGACACTCTCTTCCAACAGCAATGACACGGAGCCTGGACCATCGTCGGGCCATTCAGCTGGTTGCAGAGGTCGAACATCCCGATTGGTTAGAAAAGAGCTTATGAGGTCGTTTCAGTCAACAGGTTTCGTCACAGCCTCTGCTGGTGTATGTGTATCGGGATCGTGTACTTGCCTCCCCCGTTGGAACTCACGGAACCCCTGACGGACTTGCTCAGTTCCAACTTGTCACAACCCTCTCTTTGCCAAGTGGTGCCGTGTCTGGCAAGTATGATCGTGACGGCAAGAGGACCTTTCGCCCCCTCCTTCCAACAATTGAGTGCGAGTGATAATCTGTCTTTCGACTGATCCCACTTTACTTTCCCTCCACTTGAAAAGAAAAAAGGCCCCCGACATGGCACTTCGAATTCCAGCCCTTGGTTTGTCATAAGGTAGGGGAACCTCTTCTTTTTCAGGGACGCGTGGACCTTGATGTCCCCCGACTGGGCAAAACAGGTCGGCCAGGGAGCCAGCAGTCCATGACTGACTCTTGACGAAGTCCAGGCGAAGACTGCCTCATCGTCCGACTTCCGGATAATTTCCAGCTGAAGTCTCACGAAAGCTTTTTTCCCCTCTCCGTAAAGCAGCGGCATGTTGACGTCAAACAAACCCAGCATACAGTGCGCCATGTCCCCCAATCTGCTGGTCGCTCTGCTCGACGCCCAGCTCATCTTTGTTGCCACACATGCCGAGGACTGCGATTCCATGTGATCGACGCTGATTCCTGTCACGGCTGATATTTCCTTAGACAGATCTCTCTTGGTTCCAAAAGACTTCCACTCACGATCAAAGAACATCACCTTGTGAGGAGCGAGCAGTTCCTGAAGGGTCCATCCACGAGTAAACCACACGCTTGCCTGGAATGCTAGCTTAGACGCTTCTCTGTTTTCAATGTCCCAGGTGACGTCCGAGAGGTATGCATAGCACTCCGCCGCACCTTCATACCAACGATACATGGAATTGATCGCCTCAGAGAGCTCAGCGCTGCTCTTCTTGTCGATGCAACAGGTGTCGATCCAAACCCATTGGAAACCTTGGCTGTCGGCGACAACGCAGCACTCTATGACCTTGTCATAGCCTTGACCATCTTGCTTCGTGCCCTTTCGGAACTCCTGAAAGGTCACCTCGTCATCGCCCCATCTGTGCGATAAAATAGCGTACTTTGGGATTTGGCTATCGAAAAACTGCTCGAATTGGAGTGATTTCGTGTTGAGCAGACGCATATTAGATGAGTTGGGATTTTTAGTCGTAGAGAGGCCGTAGGTGTGAGGACCCGGTTGTGGAAAATGCAAGATCGGAGGTACTTTAAGTGACCGAGGCCGTAAACCGGTTGTCCAAGATGTGCGGTGAATTTCGAGGAATGGAAGTCGATTTGGAAGTAAATGTAGTAATCACGCTGTGTGTGAGGCAGAGCGCTGCTGCCTTGGAGTTTAGGCGAACCCCGCGGCTGCGGAAGGGGGGGGCGATGAGATGAAGAAGGTGCAGGCTCCTTTTAGAACCAGGCTTTTTCAGCTGAGTTGTCAACACTAAGAAACATACCAAGACTTTATTATAGCTTCATCTTTTCATTTGAAACCTATATTAACAATAGCAGTGTTATTTAAATAACTTTGCGGAGAGATTTTTATACTACAGTACGAATTTGGGTGTGTAGTTTTATGAAAGATCTCCGGTGCCAAGCATTCCAGATGTTTTTGAATACGCTAAATCTAAGCGAAATATAGCAGCTCCTTCCAACGCCTCACGACCAGCAACAGCCGCCTCACCTTCACATGTCTTCTAAGCCATCCGCGCTTCCTACCGTTTCCGCTGTATGTTGACCTAATATGAAGACATCTAATTGCCCGTTACCGACGTAAACCTCATCCTCTTGTTCACCCACAATGATGTAAATATCGAATAGAAAATTTAAGTGAGGATAGAACAGTCTGAAACTGTTGGCGCCGAGCAACACATCGACCACTGTTCCATACGTCAAGTACTGTTCTTGATCTGGATCTATTGCGAGTTTCCAAATCAGCCATTGTCGAGACGCCCAATTGCAGTCAGATGAGAGGAGGAAGATTTTGCAAACACCTACCTCGTTTCCACGGCACAATTCCGAGGATAATCGTCCCGCTTTCCCAACCCCTTTTGATCATCTTTGTGGACCGTTTCGCCCGGTCGCTGCATTCCCTTATGGCTTCTTGGAAGCACTCGCCTACTTCGGTCTCGTTGCGGTCGGGATTGAGCTTCCAGTACTGGAATTTTAGCTTCACGGGAGGGTCCGAAAAGGGCACCTCGTAGTACATGCCGTGTCCTGGTGGCTTCAGGCCAGGTGGGAAGCTAAGTTGGTATGAGTGGTGCACTTCTGGATCTGGGAGAGTCTTACGCTGGGCCAACGGATATGCGCGTGCTACCATCAGGTATTGTAATGTTGGGGAGAGCAGCGAAGGAAGCGGTTGTGTTTATGAGGCCGAGCTGCGCTGATGATTGCGAATTGAAAGGTGGCGCTGCATTTGTTGATGCACACAACGCGAGTAGCAGTGCAAGATATATACTGTTAGTCTCCTTCATTGTAGAAGGGTACGAAGACCGTCAAGTGAGATGCGTAAATCTGGCAACGAGATCCTATTTTCTACAGACGCTAACTGTTTGCCGAAAGCGGATGGATGCGAGTATCAGGTGCAAGCGCTGAGGCTGTGCGAAGAGCGGTCGCAAATCACTCTTGCGACAAATAGAGCCGTAAAGCGCATACAAATACTGTTGTAGTCCCGTGTCTTCGCTTCGCTGACGTTTAATCGACTCTAGGAAGACGGTCGATATACAAGTTGGATCATGACTCACCTACCCCTTTGAAGCTTGATTATCCGCTCGTCATTGTCATGAGAGCGAGGAAGGACTTGGGTAGAGCAGACCATATAAGAGCACAGTGGAGCCTGGGTGGATAGAATGAGGAGAAAGGGCGGATGGATGTTGAAGTGTATGCGATATAATGAGGGAGCAAGGCTGCTGGGATGGGCATACTGGCCGAAATTTCTTGAAGGTCTCCAGTGTTCGCTGCGGTCGGAGAAAGTACACATTACATAATCATCTATTTCACTTCACTCTTTACCGTCCGGAAGGAACATCTGTTTCATGATCCTCATAAGCAGTCTCTGCTCAGCATAATAATCATTTCTTCATCGCCTTGACGTCCCAATAGATATCACACTTGAGCAATCATGGGCGCCTGGGGATATGGCCTCTTCCAGTCGGACAACGAGCTCAACACCATAGAAGAGATCAACGAAGAAGCGGGCAAGCTTGCCAATGATCCCGCGTTCAACTTTGAATTTCCTGAAAATCATGACGAGGTCGTCGCCAAGCTCAACGCTGGCCTTTTCCATCAGCTTCTTGCGAAGTTCCTAGCCAAGAAGTAAGTGCTTTACGATATCATTACTCTTGCGACCCGAGATCCAATGGAGGAGAGCATGCTGACATCTGCTTGAACCAGTTGGAAGCACGGCATCATCTACCTCGGCGCCCTATCCATGCAGCTCGGCGTCAAGATCGGCGACGAAGACATGCGGGTCCTCCGGGATACCCTGCCTCGCACCAAGATATACGACGAGGCGAGGGCGCAGATGCAGAAAGGGCTCGATGGCTACAAGAACGACGGCGAGGCTTGGGACTTTGAGAGTCTGGGGTTGGAGGACACCATCCAGGCCCGGGGGGAAAATATGTTCCCTAGTTGTGAGTGGTAGAATACCGGGGGTGCGTTGATGGGATCGGGGACTGACGGCGGGTTAGCGCATGGTGCTATGGGGATGAATGTCTTGCAGGATCCTGATAAGGTGCCGACGCCGATGCCGAAGGATGGGGATGTGGAGGTCGATGAGGAGGAGGAGGGGAGGAAGAAGGAGATGGGGCCTACGGGGAAGGATGCTTTGGGCAATAAGGCGAGATTGAAGGCTTGGTTGTCTTCTTAGACATGAGCTCCACGCTTTGAGAAGGGGTATCACCGGAAGGTCCTAAGCTTGCATAGCATGGCATTTGGTGCATAGGTACGTCAGATCGGGCGTTACATCGCATCAGTGGCTCCGGCAGAAGTGAGAGCTAACTCTGGCGATTCAGCTGGCCTGAGAGGATCTGCGTGCCCAGATGCTAGATCACAAGGCTTTTGCTGGTAACATCTGCTCTGGAACACCTGAGTTGGAACTACGCGGAGGCTCATTCAAGCACGATAAGCCAATTTGGGGTGTCCCCTTCATATAGACTCATAGCAAACGTATACAGACTCTGGGGGGTCGCCAAATAGGTCCAAATGATCTGAAGAGCGAAATGACCTTCTCGCTTTCTGGAAAAACATTACCCGGAATCCCTGCATCTCATGCTCAGAGAACATCAGCCCAAACATCATTTTTCATGATATACTCCTTCCACGTAGTCAACGGGCACGGAACGCCGAGCTGTACTTCATGATTAGCACCGCCTCACGATATCTATCTCATCTGACTGAACCCACATCTTGAGCGTGCACCACACCCTCTTCACCACCCGTGTAACCAAATTCATCCATAAACAAGAACATCTCCCCCCACTCTTTGCCCAGGCCTGGCACGGGAATGTGCTTCTCATAGGTTTGGATCGGGATCTCGTCGTAACCACCGAACGGAACTTTATTGACCTCGCACCACACTTTGGCATAGTCGCTCCAGGAAAGCATGCTGCCTGCCGCTAAGACATTCTTCCCCGGAGGCGATTGAAGCGCTGCGTGGACTACGTAGCCGGTGTCTTTCTCGGTGTCGAAGTGGGGTAACGGTGTTCTGCCGGAGCCGACGATGGAGAAACGGTAGGTGCCGTCGGCTTGCTGTATGATGTTAGTAACTTCATAGTTCGAACACGGTGGCGGCCGCGAACTTTTGTGGGCTTGTTGTATTTCCAGTTGTTCATATATACTCCGATCTGCACGATCGACATCTTCGCCGCCAGCTTCGGGTACTTTTCTTGAATATACTCCACGGCGTTCGCCTTGGCGTCAAAATGGTAAACCCAGGTGTACTTCCCTTTGCTCAACTTCTTGACATTGCACACAGACGACATGATCAACCGATCTAAAGCTTCCACAGTAGCAGCCGCATCAGCGACATTTTTGCCCTGCTGCAACTCGACGTCGTAGCAATACTCGTTGATCGATTGTCCTGGCTTGAGTTTCTCTTGAGTTGCAGGATTATAGAACTGATTCCAGAAATCAGTGTTGGAGAAAATGGCATTGGCGCCTTTGAATGCTGCTACGAGCGACTCTGTATCGTTGAGGTCGGCTTTGACAACTTCGACGCCTTTGGCGGTCCAGGACTCGGCTTTGGATGGGTCGCGGGATATGCCACGGACTTTCCAGCCGGCTTCTTTGGCGTAGAGCTCTGCGACGGAGCCACCCTGTGAGATCAGCAAGCTAGCGCGAGAGGTGATGAGTATATAGTAAGATACGTACCTGCTGGCCTGTGATGCCAATGACGACTAGGAGCTTGGACATCGTGAGCTGATCTGGCAGAGGTTTTTTGGTCGAGGTGAACGACGACCAGTTCGGTATTGTGAGGCGATTAAGGATTGTTTGTGAATATTCAAGCACGGAATCGAAGTGTTTTGAGCATGAAATCTTCAAGTATCATGTATAAGTAAGCAGCTCATTGGATCCTTCGGCTTTCGGCACGACTTGAGGCCGAAGGCCCGAACAGTACCAAGAAAAGAGAAGATGGACAGTGTCTCCGCTCAAGAAGTCAGAGAGCGCTGAGTCATATACCAGGAAAGCGTTGCGGCGGAAGAGGATTTTGCGTGCTTCGAGCGCTATACTCAGAGTTCAGGCTTTGATAATTGAGTAGTGCGTAGGCGGGATGGAGGTCGAAGTCTCGGGTAGCCCTCTCATAGCGGTCAAGGTGGATATGGTTTGCTATGGGTTCGTGGTTGATCAATGCAACATTGTAAATCTGGTCCCTTAGTGGGTGCGGTAGTGATGTGAAGTGGACCATGTCCTTGCCGTCATTGGTTTCCAAAGGCAAAGGTATTGCAGTATTCTTTTGTGCTATGTTCAGTGTCGACGAATGACCACAGTTGGAGATTGTACTCAACGGTATGATGGCCTGTTGCAATTGTGCATGCATGCAGAAACAAGTGTCAGTGTGTTAAGGTTCTGTTGAGTGATAGCAGATGTTGTGGTATTTTGTATATAAGCTCGGTTCTTAATCAATCAAAAGTACCAATTAAGCTGGCTTGAGCAAACTTGCTCTTCACCAAACCGCGACAAGGACTCAATGAAAGGGAACCATATAATCGTATCAAGTCTCAACTCCCCCTCACTTCTAATTCTCCGTTGAAGTACAGTCTCTTACGGTACCTTCGTTAACATCTACAAGTCTATGCTTACGCTTTCTTTCGCACCTTCGGAAGCTTTCTTTGTTTATCCCCATTGGCTCTCCTGGTAAGGTAGTCATAACTGCACTCCACACAGCTACAAGCAGCCCAGCAGCAGTCAGCACTGTTGTCGACAAGCGTTAGAGGAACCTTGAAACACGCTAAATAGATAAGATAAAAGAAGCGCCAAGACTCAGCGACCTAGTTCGGCCCACACCGCAAGTTTGCCACTACAACTTGAGATGCTGCGGCTCTTCGTTCTTCTCATCATTCGCTGGCGATGTGACGGTGAGGTGTCATTGCCTCTGTTCTTATCTTCAGCTTAACTTTGCTTTACCTTGAAACATGCACGTAAAAATACTACTGCAACGAGCCGTGCATGATCGGGAAAGGCACAGCCCCGCAAGAAGGTGTGCCGCAAAATTGTGAAGGAACGAGGCTGAAGGTTCAACTTATGTCACTGGTAATCCTCCCACCCTTTTCAAAAATGCTCAACATCCTCGTTCCACTGTAACTTACTTACGCTGTCACCTGTGACCTTGGCAGCACACTGTCCAATCTCGATGGCACCCCTCACCCCAAATGCCTCTGACGATTCGCCCATCGAATCTCCACCTCCGTCCTCAGATCACCATAGAACCAAGTCTGCAAGCGAGAAACAACGCGACGAGGCTCGACTTACATTCAATAAGACCATTGAGGGGCACTATCGTCATGGGAAGACGGGGTACAGACAGGTCGGAGCTCTGTTCTTGACATGGAAGGACGACGACATGCAGTGCAGAGAGACAGAAGTGGGTACACTAGACGCTGGTCTACACAGTGATTACAGGCTTACATCTGGCAATTAGGTGGATAAATTAAGGCAGCTGTTCGCCAAGGAATTCAATTTCAAGACGGTGTACTTCGAGGTCCCCTCGCAACGCTGGGAGACCGCCCTGCATAAGGCAGTGGCCGATTTTTGCTACGAGTACGATAGTCCTGAAGACCTTGCAATAGTATACTATGGTGGACACGCGTATGAAGGCAGGGAAACGAAGCATTTCAAATTGGCAGCGTAAGCAAACCCCGAAGGGTGCCTAAGCGGATCCTACGATATCACCAGGGCAGCTGGAACGTTGCCAGTAATGCTGAAGACACCGGGTTTAAGACTTCGATGCTGATCAATCTATTTTTCAGGAAATGGGATAATAAGGATGGAAACGGCGATCCCACTGCGTTCTTCCCGGACGTTCTTACTTGCTTGCGACTACCTGCGTGCGACCAGCTTCTGATCCTCGACTGTTGTTTCGCTGCCAAAGCCTTCGCTCGGGAGCATATTGGGAAGCGCAAGTTCGAGCTCTTGACCTCAGCCGCTCACGACGCGAGGAGTCCAGCACCCCAGTCGGAACACTCATTCACAAGGACGTTGACTATTGCCTTAAGGTCTCTACTCAAAGAAAATCCGAAGGGCTTTTGCACATCACACTTGTACCGCGAGGTGTATCATACTGTCTCACCACACCCGGCAACTACCAAGCCGCTTCTCTTTGATCAATCGCGCCACAACTTCGGCAAGATCTGGCTAATGCCGCAGGTGCTCAGCGAGCGACCACCAAAGACTGAAGAAGAGGGGAGGTTTCTAAAGCTGACGTTCCGTCTGAACGAAAACCCAGACCTCGCTGTTATGAATGAACTTGCCTTGAACCTACAATTCCTACCTTACGTCGATCAAATCAAATTTGACGACCTCTATGCTCCTAGGGAACAGATCACCAACTTCATGAAAGCGGTCGTCCAGGCTCAAAAAATCAAGCCCCTAATCAAAAAGATGCAAGCGAGACGCAAGCTCCAGAAGGTTGCAGAATTGAAGACCGGAGACAACAGGGTCGGGGCATCTAAAAGTCTTCTAAAGCTGCATCTCGAGCAGAACAATCACCCGGTCTATGACTGGAGTCGTGCGGAACGTGTGCCTGGCCACAATCCAAAAGACTCCGAAGAGTCTCGAGACAAAAGGAAAAAGACAAGGACGTGGCCGCCAGCTCACGGGAAGTCCTCTATGAGTGGTTCTTCATCTGGTGATACACTCTCGGCCGAGTACAAAGTCGAGGTTCCTGGGACCTTAATCGCCACATTTGTCCCTCAACGTGCGAACACAATGGATGCTCTAGCGCATGAGAAGCCGAATGGTACGTTCTGTTCTGCCTTTTATCACCCTCAATTGGGTGGTTCCAATACTTACTGTAGAAGCAGCGACCGCCGCCTCTACGGACACAGATCAAGCTCAGGAGAGAGATGGCCGCAAACGCCAACGAAGCACGTCGCTCGATCGAGACATTCCACCAGCGAAGAGAGCTCACAAGGTCGACTGACGAGCCGATACGTACGGCGTACAATGCCATGGACTGAATCCCTTGCACAAAGTAGGCTTTGGGCGTTTTTGGGGTTTAGAAAAGCCGACCTTCGAAAAGGAGTCATACTGAACTGAAGATGTTGTATCGTGTACTTCAACGTGCTTTCCTTCTCTTGCTTGCGCATGGGGAATTCTTCTGCGTATTGCACTTCTACGCTAGCTTGATCCTTGACATAGAACGCCAGAACGATAATTACTGTTTGTGGACTGTTTCGTGGTAGACCCTATGATGCCTTGAGGAAGAGCAACAATCGGCGGGTGGGATGATGAGCCATTAGAATAGAATAGTTGCAATCGTCGAAGTGGATTAGGGCGAAGTCCGGCCCCGGCGAAAGGTGCCGGACATTCCGAAGCTTTTGGCTGCTGGGCGCAGAGCATGCGCTGGTTGCAGCTGCAGGGCGATGTCACACAGCTGATAAACCCCTCTGGAAGGCAAAAGCAGGCAAATCCGCCAGCCTTATTGTCAATCGGGGCCTAGGAGCCATGGCGACATTACAAGAGGATGTCAGCCTGGGATGTTTCAAGGCCTTATAAAAACATACCAACAGCCAATTGATCTCATTATATCAGAGAAACATCCGCAGTAGCAGAGCGGATACATCCCTAAGCCCTATAAAGTCTCACCAGCAGCCCGTTGACCCCGATTCCAACTAGAACGCCCGTTTTTGCGCCATGAGCGACAACGACCAGGTATGCTATCTAATTGACTAAGGCTTTTTGGTGAGCTCCCTGCAATATACTAAGAGGTTTCGAAGGCTGGAGAGTCGTCCAAGGCCGCGATCCCACCACACAATGACGGCCCAAGCGAACGCAGCAAGTACGAGAAGAACTGGGAGCTAGACACCAAAGTCAGCCCCCGCACTTCCTGTGATGAGATCCTGCCGACTGACTATGCGCCGTTGTAGCATGTCGAGCTCTACAAAGAGAAAGATAAAGTGTACGTCAGAGGAGCTCGTGGGGTGGACCCCAAGCCTTACAAGATCTACAAGGTCCTTGGCGAGGCGCAGTACAACCTCTCGCGAGACGGCAAATGCGACGGAAAGGTGTATAGGCAGGAGGACATACAGACAATACCTTGACGCCTGCACAAAGCAAAGCAAGGCACGAATCATATATACGGATGTTTGGGATTGTAGCCAGTTGACCGGTTCTAAATATACTTCAATTTGAAACTTCTGTTCGCCGCTCTCTATGTGTCAGAAGACATGGCACCCTTGGATGCTGCTTTCATCTGAAATTTGCACGGATTTGGGGATGAAGCTGATAAAACTGGCGATCGATGTACAAAAGCAGCTCAAGCAAGGTGTCTCCGCAGGCAGAAACCTTTGCTTTTGGTGGTGATAATGTCAGAGGTGCAGGGGATTTGCACGATTACATTAGAGTACAATCGCCGCATTACTTATTTTCTGGCCACAGCCCGGAGCTGAGCCGCACATCCAATGGTGCCGCGAGCCAATGGCGGGCCACCCAGCGAAATTCGCGCACAATTCCGGCCTTCGCCTTCGTTTCGGGCGGTCATCCTGCACCCTAATGCAACCTAAAGGGTAGGGGCGAAGGGGGCTTAGACATCTCACACACCCCATAAGGGCCACCACAAGGCAGATTGTAGGGTAGCATCCTTTGCTATGAAGATGATAAGAGCCGACCTAATGATGCTCATTTTTGTCTGACAAGCTTGCGCTATCCTTATTGCTGCACCATTCTCAAAAGCGACCTCATGACACCGCGGCTCCACCATGCCCAATGCCTCCGGTCCCGGGACCCCACCTTCAACAGCACCAACGACTCCTACCTCTCCCACCGGCACAAATGATTTTATCGACTGCGAAAAGGGCAGCGTTGATGAAGAAAAAGATGAAGAAGAAGTCGTTGAAGAGTTGAATGAGAAGGATTCCCCAAATATACCGTCAAAGCACCGAGCGGAAGATGGACGGCCCAAACTCGTTCAGCGGAGTGAGGATCTCAACCATACATACTTGACCAGCTTCTAAAAATCTAATAGTCGACGATCATCCCTGCGGCTACCCCCAACTCGCTGCGTTCGTCAACAGCGATGAAAATTTCCTGATAGCTAGAAAGTACGGTTTCCTCCGAAGCAGGGTACTCTTATACCGTCAAGACGAACTCTCCGTTCTGGAAAGGGATCTCATCAAACTAGACGCCGATGATGAAAAAAATAGAGGATTTGCGCTGACGTCGAGAAAACGCGATGAAGAAACTGATAACGACCCCATTTATTCACGCAAAGTATTAATTCAAAAGATTGACGACAAGCTCAAGGAATATGGTCAGCATAATCTCATTGAGGATGAGTTGAACTTAGATGAGCTCACAGTCGTCTTCAGATGGGCTCGTGAGCAGAATCAAGACATACCTGTCTCTCAGAGCCCCAACGTCACGAAATGCCAAAACGTTCATCGACTGGATCGAAGATCATAAGCCTCTCTCGCCAGAGGAGTCGACATTTATTCAGCACAAGGATGATTTTGTAGCTCTCTCCGATGGTCAAGAATGCGGCTGGCTCGATGGTATGGTCGAGGACGGCCTCAGTTGGTGTCTTCCCGTCAAATTGATGAAGGTACGATTTATCCCTATCCAGTCATCCCGCAACTGGCATCGCATTGTAATAAGCACTCTGACACTCAGTCTCTAGAAGTTCTTCACATCCGAAGAGCAGACCAAAAAAACCGACGATGATCATCTTCACCTATACAGTAGACGCCGCATCGATATAGTAGTACGCCTTGTTCTTGTCCTGACCACTGTCGGTTTACTAGTGGGACCATCCGCGGTTTTGTACTTTGTCAACGGACAGAGTGCATTAAAGATCTGTCTTATAATGGTGTTCACACTGCTCTTTGCTGCGGCGCTCAGTGTGTGCACAAAGGCGAAGAGGCACGAGATGTTAGCTGCTACTGCGACGTGAGTTGACCCCTTTAGACTCATCGTCGTTTCTACTTGCACTTTCAACAAATGCGATAGATGGCATGTAAAAGCCTGATTTTATGCCAAGTCCTTCGTGGGGGATGCGTTTCTTTCGCCAACCCCCACTTGCCTCCAACCCATAATCCATAAATAATTTAACGGGTTCTCAACTCCCGCGTCATATTCATTGTATTCAGGTACTACAGCAACAGAAGAAATATTTGGTTGTCTTTGTATCTTCTCTAGTCCTTTTTCACACTCATCCACGTCGAAAAGTCGAGTCCTGACAAGTGCACCATAGCTATGCTGCTGTCCTCGTGGTTTTCCTCGGGAATTTCAACTCAAGTACTTTGACGAGCTGAGACCTTGCTCGAAACGTCCAAACCCCGCTTAAAAGAAGGCATCATTCCAAACATAATTCTCAATCTGGTTGGCTGAATCGCGTAGTGGACAGACACTACGTGCATTGAAGCCAAAAGAAGAGGGAGGCTCGGGAATGAAATTATTTCGGGCCACTATTGTTTGATACTCTTTGGCAGAAGTCTGGGCCCAATGGGTCTAGCAGTGACGGCTTTCAAAAGCCATTACTTGAAGTGGGTCTATCGGCATATACGATTTACATACTTTAAGAATTATGATCTATGGATTACGAAACCCCAACTTCATGAGCCATTCCCGCCTGGATGTCCCGAAGATGTCATGCCAAAGCCTTTTCCTCTGCTAACTACTGTCTACACACTGCCCACTGACGGGCCTCTCCCTAGCGTACTGGCGCCCGCTGTACGAAAATAGCCTCCGTGAATGACACGCCGCGCGTACGGCCTACCGCCCATGGTCACGGCAGGGACCCACACCTCCGCCCCCTTTTCACACCAGCGCCGCGCCGCAGTACGCCGTTCGGTCCGACATTACGGTCAAGCGCGGCCGTGTTTCCTATCTTGTGACCCTTTGCCGCTACGATCGTGGCGGTCTCATGCACCCCTTCGCGGAGGCAAAGACTCGTTTTCACGCCCATGTGTTGTCGATGCCGGATCCGTAGCCTGTTGTTGGCTGCGCAAAGGTTCTTCGAAAGGGAATTTGGCTACCGGTACGGTCCTGGGATTTGCTTCGCTGTACGGAATCGTTCCGAGCTTAGTCGCGAGGTCAGGTGCGTGGGTGGCTCCGATGGGCTCGTGTTGCTGCGCACGGATCGCGAGCTTACTTCCCGCAACGGATGCGTGGTTCGATCCGGTGGCTCGCGTTGCTGCGAATGAGGCTGACGGGAATCCGGCGGCGGCGGCTATCGGTTTCATCCGTCACATGCTTTTTTGGCGAGTCGGACTGTAGCCACCGGACTAGGTAGACCGAGCTTGAAGGGGGTGGGGGGAGTCGGAGGGGGGAGGGGATTGTTTCGCACGCAAACCTCAAGGTTTCAGGTGTAAATTTGAAGCTTCTGAGACCCTTGTAGGGGAAATGGACACTCGTGAGGATCCCATGGCTCCGGAAGCTTACGTCCTATCGCCTCGGAAGCGCTCAGTGCACGTACACTGGTCCGCTGTCCGTGAAGCGGCATTCGCAGGCCTGCGCCTGCGTTGCACGTCGTTGATGGTTTATGTTTGTCCACGGACAACTCATCTGGCCAATTGCCCGTCAGATGGGTGCAACGGTACCATGGGTTAGGCATAATCCCCGTGGATAGTCGTTTCATCCATGGGTGAGATAGATCCACAAATAACATGCAACACCTGTCTCTTAAGTCTGCTTGAACTTCGCAAGGCCGCGGTTTGCACCCGTGGCGATTGGTGGGGTACCGTCCCGTCCCTGCGTTTCGGATACGCGTCAGCACATGGCCAGCTTACACCTACCAAGTACTTTGTTCCTGAGCAATGTAATCCAATCATCCTACATATACAACGTAATTCCCGTCATCTTTTGGGGCTTATTTCTGTCTTTTGCCAGACTCTCCGAGTGGCACCTTAAGACTCAGGGGGCCCCCTACTACCCGATTGCTCGAGGGATGCTGGTGGGGAACGGGGGCTGACCGGCTGAGAACATGCAGGGGGTTCGGAGCCGCACCTGCGCGGGTAAGACTCGCAGGAAGGGAGCTTTGAGTTCGAATGGGCTTCCTACCATTGCGGAATCCGGTCGGCCGTTCATCTCCTACAAGTTCGATCTACATTTACGTGTCGAGAGTTTGATCTCGAGGAAGCCGCACCGCCGGCGAAGGCCCCGTTCATCACTTGATCAAGGTTCGAAAGTCCCATTGCGGCGCATTTTGGTCGCTCTCTCGGGTGCCTCTGGGGCCACTGCCGTCGTCTCATTGGCCATACAGCTTGTGCGGAGCGTCCAGGATGTCACCAAATCCCTACAAATCTTTCAAGATGCGCCAAATCTTGCACTACTGAGAAGGAGCCTGTCATCACGGAGGAGGTCTGGACGATCCGGCCGTGTTTCTTGAGCTACGTCTCCGAAATGCGATCACGCAATGCTTCGGCCACAACTCGAGAACGTTGAGCAAATGTTCTATGCTTAATAGCCATGAGCTGATGATCGAAATGTTGTGAGCATGGCAGTTTGAAAGGGTTTCAAGTCGCCTTCGGTTGTAGAGGCATTTAGCCTTTCGTATCAGACGAAGAGGTTTGGAGCTTACTTCACGTGGTTATGCTGCACCTCTGTTTCCTCCAAAGTATTTTGTCTCAGCCTTGCCAGTACGCTCTGTACCACCTTCGACCACAATCATGTGATTGGCTTCTTCGGCCTGGGATAGGCCCGGAACGTGTGGATAAGATAGGACGATATGTAAAAGGGTTGCTTTGAGCGTATTTCGAGCGCTGACATCGGATCCTTGGCGAATCTTTGCGGAGAGCGGCGGTTTTAGGCAATTGCACTGAGTTCGTTCAGGATTGCGGAGGTGATACCATGTCTGCCGGGAAATCTGTAAAGAACTCCATCAGGGCACATACGCCATCTCATGATGTAACTAATGCAAACATTTAACACTCTATCAGCTCACTACGGAGGCCCGCCTAAAGGCGTAAAGATACTGTCATCTCAAGATCTAGTCCTGTTTGAAGCCTCTGACCGTATCGACGACGCGGCTCCTTTTCCTCCTCTGGCCATGGCTTTGAGGATTGGTGCCGATACTTATGAGCCGGAGGGCTTCAGACACTGAAAACGCATTCGCCGAGGAGCAGATGTCCACGCGTAGGAAGACGAGTGCGTGAACTCGGAATATCGCTGTGTATGATGGATACATGAGGGAAATGAGATACATGTTCTATGGAATAGTTGCAACGATCCGGTCATACGGCGTGTTGAGGTTTTCCATACTCCTTTGAAAGCTTAGCTGTCAATTCATACATTCATTTGATCGAAGCATGAACCTTATCAGCCCGTCTCGGGAGAATGACGGTCGTCAGTGATAGTTTATGTCAGCGTTGGTGTTGCAAATAGCCAGAAAGACTCAACAAAAGTTCTTCGTGCTTATACAATGATGGCATATCGCGCGCTCTCCTTCCTACCGCTCTCGGGCACATGACCAGTCCGTCTGAAGTGGGTGTGATTAAAGAATCTTGAATCTGGGGAGATTGGGGATTCTGGGCAACACCACTTATCGAACAGGCATTCAGGTAAGACCGTGATGAGTGAGGACTGAGAGCCGAATTTGATAGATCTCATCCTCAACACCTCGTTTAGCATCCTGCCATGGTCTACTAAGAAGATCTCATAGCATTCAGATGACATCAACAAGTCTGAAATTCAACAGCTGTCTTGGTTGTGATGGAGCCTGAACCCTATCGCCACAAGGGCATTCCTCATGCGGGTCTTGGGGAAAACGCATGCTCTTTGAAGTGTATGATGTCCTTGTCCAGAATGCATCGAAAGCAGAAGTCAAAGTCGATGCAAACGGCGCAACGATACCGAGTCTCCGACTTGCAGTTAAGACGTTCCTTAACACCTTTCAGTGTGGTCAAGAGCACTGTTTGAGGTTTGCTTACAACTTCACAGCCATCGCGAAAATAACGTTGCATAGACCGCAGCTGGGATCCTTCGTTCTCGGACGAATTATTGTCGGCCTGCGCCGTACCTTCCAGGATAGCGGTTTCTCCCGTCCTCTTGAACAATATTGCAAGATGGAGTGCTGTTCTGCCCTGTTCGTCTCTCATGCTCTTATCGCATCCATTTTTGTAGCAACAAACTGACGATCTCCGTTGAATCCTCCGTGCTAGCAGCTACGGCCCGGTGGAGAGGCGACCAACCATTAAGATCGGCTCCATCGACGTTGATTCCATACCGTAACATCCTCTCGATGAAATCGCTTTTGTTTGCGCGAGCAGCATAGTGGAGACCGTTGCATCCACGTCGATCTCTTTATAATGGATCAACGCCCAGACCGATTAGATTGTCGAACACTTCTAGCTGTGATGCCTGGCTGAGTATTGTCGTGAGCAGAGCGGAGTGGCCAACCAATTTCGTCACATCTGCGCCTGCTCCGACCAGCATTTTGGCATTCCCAAGCCGTCCTTCCGCGCATGCGGTGATGAGAGGCGAGCCAAGGTTCCAGCCGCTTAGGTTGACATCTGCGCCATGCGAGAGGAGGATTCGCGTTATTGACCCATCTCCAGTAACGCAGGCTGCCTGCAAAGCATTGTGGAAGTAACCACCGTAAAGATCTGTCTGCGCTCTACTCTCTAGTAAGAGACGGACAGGTCCTTCATTTCCGACTTCAAGTACTCCTTGCAACGCAAGATAGCGTGTGCCGCACTGCTGGATGTTTGGGTCGGCACCGTAGGCAAGTAGCGCTTCCATCATCTCCTCCCCTCCACATCCACAAGCCACATACAATGCGGTACCACATGTATCTCCTGCTCGATTAACATCACTGTCAGCGTCAAGCAACATCTGGACAACCCTGATAGAGGTTGAAACGAAGCACGAGGAGTCGTAAACTCCAAGCGTAAGGCTTCCCAGTACCGGCTGCTGGTCTGGAAGGGAGCATTGGCTTGATGGATTTGACGCGGAAGGAACGAGACTCACGGTATAATTCGACAGCGGTATAGCCATACGAGACACTCGGAATCAATTTCTCGTTCTTTAATTGCGCCATGAAGGATGCGGTGCCATCCACGATCGTCGTATTGGAGGGTCTCAACCCGACTTGACCAAGATATAATGGTTCAGTCAAAACACCAGCTACAACGTTCTGGTTTGATGTCAATCCGGTCGCAGATTCAACACCTAAGCCTACCGTGTCGAGTCCGTACTGCCCATTGCTCGCAATACCGAGCTAAGACTCGGCCATGAGCTGATAGTCACCAACAGTGGTCCAAGTAGAGGATCGATTAGCCTGGAATCCTGATGCTGCCAGTGCGTTCCCGTTGCCATCACTCAAGTCACGTTCGAAGGAGCGTTGAAGTCGACTCCAGAGCATGGACAACCGATATATGTACCCGTGCAGATACTGTTCAGTCCGTTGCATGATTGCGAGTTGCAAGCACCTGGAGGATCTCCACAAAAGCAGACTACGACGTCCTGGAATCAGCACTTTGTCTCAAATCTAAAGTTTTGAGGCTTGGCCGAAGTCTCGAAGGATTGCCGTTGTGAGACATGGCTCATGAATCGGACATGATGGCCAAACAAAGAAAGTACTGGGGAGAATCTATACTCACCGGCCAGTGCAAGGGCCATTGGTACATTCACAATTGATACTGAGGCAATCAACACACATCGGAGACTTGGTGGCCGTGCAAGTAGCTCCTGCATCTATTGTCGAGACCGTTCTATCGTTTGGCGTGCCAGAGAAGGGATATGCTTCGGCACCGTTAAAGGGTCCTACCCCCCGGGCATTACCACGCCAACTGATACCAGCGTTGCAATTGTCTGGTATCGGAATCCATGCCTCTGTTCCGCTAGTCAAAGGCAAGACACGGAAGGGTTGGGCAGGAGTGCCAACCCGAATCATAAAAGGTAGACCAGGCGCCATCGTTGCCATCCCAGTCGCCGCTGGGCGTGAGTGAGAAATGTTGAGTGTAGTGGATTGGTATTGCTCGCGACTCTAGGATAGAAAGACTTGAAAACATTGTGTTTGCCCTGGCTATGTCGACAATTTTCTAGGAACAAGATTGTTTTTGTGAAAGGAGATTCTAGAAGCCCTGAAAAAAGTCGGTCGATCGAGAAATCTAAGTGTCTGCTCACTGCAAGACTTTTAGGGCTATGAGACACTGTGGCGTGGCCCCCGGTATGATTATTTGCAGATGTGTGCACCAATCGAAACCTATACAAACAGCAGGCACATCGAGTACCATCATTGGCGCGGCAGAGAGAAAATGGCGGGAGTGGTGTGGGCGGGACGCCGCCTCGGTTTTGGAACCACCCCATCACAGAAACAAGTGCGGGATCTTTCTGAGTTCTTATTTTTCGAACACGGAAACGAGACCATGGAAACACAAACAACTGGCAGAAAGTATTGGTGCATGTAGTGTATGACAGATCTTTTTCTTTCTGATACGAGCAATCGGATGCAAGTTCGAGGTCCTGCGGCTAGAGTCTTTGGTAGGAACGAGATCGCTACCGCGTCTTCTGTGGTGAACCACGGGAATTCAAAGGCCACCATCATCGTAAATCGCTAGGAAGTAGCGTTGGAATCGTGGACCGGAAATGAACGAGGTCCCAGTCCTAGCATCTCAGCCTTGGCGCCCCACCATGTGCGACGCCGCAAGGTTGGAGATGTAGTTCTGCAAGGTCATCTGCCTAAGTGAGCGACAACCCAGTGCACCAGGGCGTGGGACCGGCAGTCGAAGCGGTAGGCTTACAAGGCGGATGGATGCAATAGATAGCACTACGGAGCAAGATGGCTATGAGTCAAGGCAAAGGAGATGGAATGGAACGGAGGATGGATTTTTGATGGCAAGAGCATGGGAGACACAGGGCAAATCTACAGTGAAGCTCCCAGGCCAGGCTGCCAAAAGGTGTTGGGGTGAATGCATGCGTTGGATTTTCTTCAATTCTTATAGTAGAAGGACTATGGTAAGAAGGATTATGGCAAGAAGACTGGACAAGGAGAAGAACTCGGAGAATCTTGCTGGCACGCAGGCAAGATATGGCCAATATCTCCAGGATCTCTGAAGGACAATGTGGGCATGGCACAGTCAAGACCAGCATGCGATCCGGCAAAACCTCGGACATGGTGTTTTTGAACGAATTGAAACCATCCGATGTTCGACTGCTACCACCACACCTCGGCAAATCGTCTCCGGTCGAGGCCTACACGGACTATGGATGTTTGGAGACACAGGGCAAGCAATGGGCGTGCATCTCCGGTCTACCAGCCATGGGGGCCATGGCTATTAAGAGGGGGTAGTGTTACGAGCGTACCCTTGACACACCACTCAGCCCTATGGCCTAGTGCCTTGGCAGGAGGCATCCCCTACTATATCATGCCTCCTTCCTACATACATAGTTCGGTAGCCTTATTATCCTTGATCTACCTCACCCATACTGGTATCGCACCTATGCTGGTCCTGACACCTTTATTAGATTTATCGAAAAATTAAAAATAGTAAAGCTATTTATACGAAGTATTCATATTATATAATAATAACTAATATTTCGATAATATAGTCTTATTTTATATAATTTATTTAAAGATTTACTTTCTTAAAAAATTAATATTATTAGAAAAATCTTATATCGATTAAAATCGTTAATAAGATAATTTTAAAAATTACGATTATAAGAAAAACTTTATTAAAAAACTTTATTAAGAACTAACGATGATGAGAATAACGTATATATAGTTTAATTTTTCTAAATCTTTATTACGTTAATAATTTATTTTTATTAAATATATTTTAAACGAACGATTTTATCTATATTAATAAAAGAGATTATTTAAAAATATATAATAACGATAACGATATTATTTTAAAAAATGAAATAAATAATATATTTTATAAATTTAAAGTAACGTTATTTAAAGTTTTAATATACGAAGAGATTATTAAAATGTAATTATTAAATAAATTAATTATCGTAAAATTATCGTTATAAAATAATATAAATTTTTAAATTATCTTAGTTTTAAGAACGTAATTAAATTATTTATTATAATATAAAAAATAAAAATCGTAAATTTTATAAAGAGATTATTTTATAAGTCGCATATATCTACAAAAAATAAAAAGATTTTTAATTATAAAAAAGATAATTAAGATAAAAAATTTTTAATTTTATTTATATTAATTTCTTTAATAACTAATTTATTTTATTACGATTTATTAGAAAATATTATTATTATTTTATTAAAATTAATTAAAAAACGAGATTTAAATAAGTTAATTTTTTTAAAATTAAGAATAAGACTCTATAATCTTTATAAAATTTCGTAATTATAATTTATATTTAATTTTATATTACCTTAAAATATATTTATTTTAATAATAATTATAAATATAATAATAACGTAATACGTTTATAATTTGCTTTATAAGATATATAATAAGAATTAATTATATTTAACTTCTCGAAATAGAATAATATCGATAAACGAATTAATAAGATTTTTATTTAAAAGATACGTATATAATTAATTATTATAAATTTCTTATTAAGTCTCTAAGTTGAGATTATTAAAACGATTATTTTAAATATAATTTATTTATTTATAACTTTATTAAAATCGATAAAAATAATTTTATATTAATTATTAATTAAGAAAAACTCTAATATAACTTATTTAATATTTTTTAAAATTATAATATACGTCTACGATTATAAATATAAGAATAATTTTTTTATAAGACTTTAAATATATTTTTTTAATTATAAGAGATTTAATTAATATCGATTATAAAATTAAAAAAAATCTTAATTAATACGTCGACGAGATATTTTATAAAAAAAAATATATAAATATTATTTTAATTTTTTAATAACTCTAACGATATCTTAAATAAAATATCTAAGAATAAGAAAATTAGTTATATCGTTATTTTATTTAAAAGAATAATAATATTTTTATTAAATAATAACGATATGAAAATATTTTAAATATCTCGTAATAATAATAATTTATTAATTAAAGATTTATTTAATTTTATAGATTAAAATAAATTTATAAATTTAATTTTTTTTAAATTAATAATAATAATAAGTTAAATGAGATCGTGAATAATACGTTTATCTTATTAAAAAAATTAAGACGTATTTATATATTAAAAGATTATCGTATTATTAAGAATAAGAAATACGCTAACTTCGATATTTTAAAACGAGAATTTACGAAAATAATAAAAATAATCTCTCGTTATCTAATATTAAATCTCGTTTTTATAAGAAAGCGATAAATTATTCTAAAATTTCGTATTATATCGCTCATTATATAGAAATAATAAGATTCTTAAAAAAGATAAAGACGTAAAAATTAATTATTAAGTTAGTTTATCGTTTTATTTTTAAAGAAAGAATAAAGATAAATCTTTAAAAAAAAAATTATAAACGAGATTTTACGCTATAAGATAAGATATCTTATTAAAAAATTCTTTAACGAGAAAAAACCGATTACGATGAAATCTTTTTAGAGATTATTAAATTTATAATTATAATTTTTTTTTAACTTTAATCGTTTATTATAATTAAGAAACGAATTTTATTAACGTTATTATATATTTTTTTTTTTTAAATTTAAATATAAAATTTATATAAAATAATTCGAAAAATTTAAAGAATTAAATAAAATATATTTTTTATTTCGAGTTTTATACGATCTTAAATAAATTAATCGTAAATAATATAAGATATTAATAAAATTCTTATTTTAAATAAATTTTTAATAATCTTAATTCGATTTTTATTTATTTTTTTATAAATTTAATAGCGAAATTATATTTTTAATTATATATATAAACGATATTAAGATTATTAAGAATCGTTTATTAATAAATTAAAATAAAAAATTCTTAAAAAAACGATTTAAAATAGTAAATCTCGATTTATATATATATTACTTAAGTATAAAAATCGAGAGAAATCGTAAGATAAGAATATTTAAAATAAGTTAATTAATTTTTATTAATAAAATTCTCGAAATTTATAATATAAGAAAGTATT